GGTAAGGATGAACAATATATTCATATAATTGAATCGGTTTATTTTAATATATATTGAACATCTACAAAGGTTATTACCTTACGACATTTCCACCATTTGAAAACAAAAACAAACAGGATGATTCTGGGGTTTTAAAAAAATCGGTACAGTCTCTCGTGTAATTAGGATAACCATTACCTATTAATATATAATGATGGTGCTTGTGGTGACCTTGACAGATGACTGTGAGTGAGTGAGTTATGTTTAACGGGGACGCAACCCCGCACAGTGAATTTAGGGGAATTAGGCCACATGACCACCCATACCCTGGTGATTGTGACGTTTGGCTGTCAACCAGTGTCGATTTGGTGGAGGACACATCCTCATCTATTATGGATTCCAGTATAAGTTAATAGTTAAGGGGGTTGACTGACAAGCTTCACAAAGAAGGAATTAGGTAATAGTTATATATCTTTCGTTGTGGATATTAGGTGATGGGAGAGGTATATCCAGTAAAGCTTGAGTCAATATTGCTAGTTCAGTTGGCATTTCCCAGGGAAGAGTACATTCCATTATCACAGAAACTTTGGCAACGAAAAAGTATCAGCTCGTTGGGCTCAAAACTTCTGACATCTGATCATTAACATACCACGCACAACATCTTTCGCGACAATCTAGCTCTGTTTGAAGCTGATCCAGAAAGGTTTTTGCAAGAATTTGTGACTATGGATGAAACCTGTGTTTCACTACTTCCACCGCTTCCCGTCGTTGGCAAAGGTGTCTTAATGTGAAAGGGAATTATGTTGATAAATAATTAATTTTAATGTCTAGGTGAAGTCTTTCTATGTGAGGTTCAGAACTGGTCAATCACCCCTCGTATCCTAAATTTCACAAGTTAATCATCTCCTAACATTAAACAAAAATCATTGCCCTTATACCTGTTAAATGGTTTGTTTTTTCGATTTCTGCTACACAACACGCAAATAGTAGCTGCTCATATGCTGGATATAACCTTGGTTTGGTGTGTGAAAGCAATCCTTCGCATTCGGTATTCTTTCGAATGAGTGAGTGAGTGAGTATGTTTTTTTACGAAGCTTTAAGGACAATTCCAACAATATGACGTCGGGGGACTCCAGAAATAGGCTTCACACATTGTACTCAATTGTACTGTGGGGAATCAAACCCGGGCCTTCGGCTTGATGACCGAACACTTCAACCATTGTTGTAGAAGGCGACTTCGTGTGTAGTGGTGATAAGGCTGTGTGTCACCGTATCCCAACAGTGTGGACCGATGTCAATCACTGAACTGGCTGGTCAAACACACAAAAAAGAACAGTGTCTTAGTAACATCCCGTCTTCAGCAGAGGGATCAAAGACGTTTGCCACAACGATGTCCTTGAGGTGAATTTAACAGTGTTAGTTGACAAATTTGCAGTTTCAGTCATTTCATGTTTCTGCCACTTTACGTCACATTAATGTTGGTTTTGAAAGGACCAAACTGTCTACGCTTCATACGTAGATGTTAAAAGGTCTACAATTCTCACAATAATATTATACAAAACACTATTTTGCATCAGAACGGGTTCCCTTTTATATGTTGTTCGAGAGCAATGTGCTTTGGCAACACTGGTCTGCCATATTTCAACACTGTATACCAAACCATTGTTCTCTTGTTGTGTTGTAACCATGGATAGCACGAGCCGGTCCTCGTGTCCGGAACTGTCTCTTCATCTGGTATCTTTTTACAATATCCTTGGTGATTCTTTACCCAAGAAAATAAAACAATCTATATTTCAGTACATAATAATTACATTTATCTTTACATGTAAAATGCAAATGTCAGCGCTGTTCAGCCCCATGTGAAATTATTCATCCTCTTGGAAACCTCCTGTGACCCTATCTATTTTTTTGTTAGGGTTTATGGTATTACCACCTCTTATTGTCCTGACAAGCGTTCTTAATCTGTGTATATATCTATACACCGCTAACATCAGTGTATAGAACCCTGTCATGCCTGCATAAATGTTTCTTAAAGTGGTTCTGTTCCTGAGCTTCCAACCCATCCACTTTATGGTAGTTCATTAAAAAAACTAAACTTGCTTCCAATCATCCACTGGGGTCAGATTTATGAAAGGGGAGATTCTTAAAATGAGTCTTTGTAAATGTAAGGCATGAATCCTGCAAGGATGGAAACATATATATGTTATAAATTAATAAGCGCACTTACACCTGAATGATTGAACAAATTCTCATGTTCATAATGTGGGGGCGAAAACTGCTCGTTATCTCGGAAATCTCATGTTGACATTTTTCAAATTATATTGACATGTTTAATATTATATTGACATATTTGATATTATATTGACATATTTGATTTTCGTGGCTTCTGAGAGACATAAAAGCACTCGTGCTTGGTTGCTCCTTGAACTTTAAGCCATCGATGAGCGAACTTTAGGTGTCAGACCTCTGGCTTTCCATCGCTTCCTTTCCCTCATACACTACATCGTGTTGCCTATCTTCAGGAATTGTGCCTTAACCTGCACTTAAAACACAAAATAAGAGCAGGAATGCTTTATTTGACCAGGTATGGAAATAGTGTGTGTGTGAATATTGTTTTATACTGCAAATAGCAATATTGCCGATAGTTCACAGTGCACTGTAATAATCAAGTCTGTATGGGGCAAGCCAGTGTCTGAAAACATGAGCCACAATCTACGCCATTGGGCCATGATATCACAAAAGGGCAAGCCACAGAGCCTCTCTTCATCTAATCCATTCTTGTTGACTTCACAAGCACAAGTTACTGGGTGTCAATTTGACCCTGGAATACCCTTCAGTTGATGGATATTGTATGACTACTTCAGATGGAACCAATCCCACACTTATCAAGAAGACTCAACCGAACTAAATGAATAAATCAGAATGAAAAGTAGCAATTTGTTTTGTAACATATTTAATCTGTTATCGTCTGAATACATACCTGATTCATGCAGTAACATTCCTCACTAACACAGCATCCAGTAAACACAGTAATAAGGCCACAATTTTCACATAAGAAGTAGAAAAATCATATACACAAAGAAAAAAGTTAAGCACACCCTAATATATTTCATTATTGTTTGGTCCCAATATTTGTAACAGTCATGAAAGATATAATTACAGGAAGAATTTTGTTTTCTCGAGATGATGTAATCAGTCATGCATGACAAAAGCTCACGTGCCATGTATGGTATGCCGTGCAGCAGGCTACCCTCGAGTATCTCTAAAAGCAGTATATCCAAAAGTTAAAATTGCTTTCTTAATCTCGGTTTTAAACAGTTATTCCATGACATTGTGTGACCATGGCACGAATACGATTATCAAACGCCACATGATGGCAAATAATCGGCATGCATAACGCAGGAATGTCTTGTAATGCCATTGGTCGGAATTTGGGGAATCATCACACTGTTGTAAGATGTTTAGTCGAGAAACATGCTCAGACCAGTGACGTACAGGACCGTCCCAGATCCAGAAGACCTCCTATGACGACACATCGTGAAGACATGGACCTTCTTTGTCTCATACCCTAAGAACCCTTTTAAACAAGAACTCATCTGAAACAGCTGTGGTTGCCCAATCGTCGTTTCAGCACCCAGTTGATGTCAGATGTTTGTTCTATCTAATGACATTGGTATCGCCCAGCTCCTGTGGTCAGTCATACCATGCCATGGTTTTTGCCATTTGTCATGGTTCAGAAATAGGGGTGTGCTTAACTTTTTTTCTTTGTGTATATAAAAAACAAGCAAATATACTTCTCAGTATTCCTGAAATCTATCCCACATTTGCCATCTTACAAATACATATTATTGACAAAATACTTTGGCCTAAAAATCGGATATATTTTCAAGGGGATACAATCATTTATACACCAGCATCATGCACATTCTCCTTTCAGTATCAGTATAGCACCGCAAGACATTTTAATCATCACCATATCATATATTACTCATCTAAAATATGACCTGCTACACTCACATTTCCTGTTGTATAGAAGCCCTCAGTACATCCTTCATTCCAACACTATGCTAAATATCGTCGGATCATAGGTTTTCAGACGTCATACGCTTTCAGACGTCCATGTTTATCGTGATTACTCGTGCTACAACCTGGGGTGTAGCATCACACAGACATTGTAAACACTCAGATGATGGCTTCTTTTTAAGTGAAAATTTCTCTTTTATAAGTGGATGAGATGTTTTAAGTTGTTCATGTGATTTAAGAGAAAACTATGAATGTTTTTCAAGCGTCCGAAAACCCACAACACAGAGATATGTTCAGTGTTTGTAAGCTCTCTACACTCATTACATGGTGTACAAGCAGGTTTCAAAATAAGGTTGTTCACCTACTGCCTTGTTTTGAACATTATTATGGTCGTCACAAAATTATTCTTTTGCAGTTACAAGGTGCTAGATCAGAGTTCTACAATCTTTGTGTTGTTCAAATATGGTAACAGATTTTCTTTTTCAAAACATGCAAAACAATTGGTAGATTTTTGTCAAATGAAAATATTTTTAATTCACTCTAAATACACCTTGTGTGACTTAACATATTCACATGTATGTAATGTGACAATGTGTAGGAGTGTTTTCAAGAAGGCAGTGACTGCCAAATATCTTTACACAGAGCAAACTCTTTGGGGGGATTTGATTTCCAGCTTATAAACAACTCAACTGACAAAATTACAAAAAAATGAAAAATTTGATTTTGTACAACAATGTACAACAAGATTTTGCCACTAACATGGCTATATCCCCCGTCCCTGTTGCAGAATTTATGACATAATTAAATCTAAACAAACCCTAACCATTTTTAACCGAGGTGGAACTTGTCATGGAAATTGTAAAAAAAAGATGAGTTTGGAACCTAAGTCCATCTTGTTGCCATGGAAACGTAAAAAATTAAAATTTCTAAAATTTCTCAATAGCAAAAGGCACCAGTTCAGCATGTACCTGACAAACCTGCAAAGTTTGATGAAAAAATATTGAACGGTTTATGAGTTATGCTCCGGAAACGAACCCTACCCTCACAGAAGCTAAGTCCATCTTGTTGCCATGGAAACGTAAAAAATAAAAATTTCTAAAATTTCTGACCTGTCCTCCAAACTATACATCTACTGTACGTCAGCATTTCAGTCTGAACCAGAGGACCAGTCCTCCACACTATACATCTTCTGTACGTCAGAATCGCAGTCCGAACCAGAGGACCAGTCCGCCACACTATACATCTTCTGTACGTCAGCATCTCAGTCCGATCCAGAGGACCAGTCCGCCACACTATACATCTTCTGTACGTCAGCATTTCAGTCCGAACCAGAGGACCAGTCAGCCACTCTATACATCTACTGTATGTCAGCATCTCAGTCCGAACCAGAGGACCAGTCCTCCACTCTATACATCTACTGTACGTCAGCATTTCAGTCTGAACCAGAGGACAAGTCCTCCACACTATACATCTTCCGTACGTGAGCATCTCAGTCCGAACCAGAGGACCAGTCCACCACTCTATACATCTACTGTACGTCAGCATTTCAGTCCGAACCAGAGGACGAGTCCTCCACACTATACACCTACTCTACGTCAGCATCGCGGTCCGACTCAGAGGATGAGTCATCTGCATTGGTGGAGTTGTTGGGAGAGATAGATTTTGTGGCATCTCGATCCTGAAAAAAATAACTTCACTACATAGAAATGCATTATTTGGATACTAAAACTAGACAATAAAGTTTTGATTAACTGAGAAATGTTCATATAATGCATTGAGTTGTCTTGTACTGCCATGGTTCCTGGATCTATTATTTACTTATCCAATAACTGGAGGCACAAGGGTCTCTAACTCACCATAATTCTTCTAGAATTTGGGCATCAATAATGAGTGAGTTTGTGAGTGAGTTGAATGTTATGCCATTTTTGGCATCATTCCAGCTAAGGGGGACACCAAGAAATGTCTGAATAACATGCACAGGTGACAAATTTGTTTAAAGTCAAATCAGAATAAATGTCACATGAATGAATTTGTTGTCTCAAATTATAGAAGATAATGTGATTCATTGTTTAAAAAATCATAAACACATTTAGGTGACAGAAATATGGAAAAAAGAGTTGGAAAAGTTTTGTTTTGTTAGTTTGTTGTTAAACGCTGCACTCGGCAATTTTCCAGCTATATGACGGCGGTCCGTAATTGAATCTGGACCAGACAATCCAGTGATTGACATCATGAGCATCAATCGCAATGGGGATACGATGACATGCATCAAATAGTCAGCAAGCCTGACCACCCGATCCCGTTAGTCGCATGTTACGACAAGCATAGTCGCCTTTTAACGCAAGCATGGGTTGCTGAAGATCTATTCAGTTGGAAAGAGGTAGAAGCATTCTTTACCCCATTAACCAGAGTGGGTGTGGAAGCATTATTTAATATGTTGATGATACTCACAAATGGAGATGCTATGTTGTTCTTCCGGCAGTGGTAGTCGACATAACGTACATACTTTCTGGTCAGCTGGGAACTGCGGATGCCAGCCTCCTGCAGTTGTCTCCCTGCAGTCATCATTGCATCAAGATCTCTGTTGGAATCTGACAACACAAACATGGCTGCTTAAAGATGGCAGTTCCTTTGATCTCTGTCTGAGTGAGTGAGTGAGTATGGGTTTACGCCACTTTTAGTAATATTCCAGCAATATCACGGCAGCAGACACCAGAAATGGGCTTCACACATTGTACCCATTTCAGGAATTGAAACCAGGTCTTCGGCTTGACGAGCAAACGCTTTAACCACTAGGCTACCCGACCGCCCCAATCTCTATATGACCATGATAAAGACACAGAGCCTAAATTGTTTTGTCTGTTATTCAACGTTGCCCTCACAAGCAATATTCCTTCCACATGATGGTAGCATGTAAATGACCAGTGTCTGGTCCAGACCATCCAGAGATAGGTACTCTAAACAACGATCAACACCATCGGGGTATGATGACATGCTATCATCAAAGTCACCCAGCCTGACCACCCGTTCAAAATGATCACCTCTCATGACCAGCGTAGGTTGCTGGGGACCTTCGCTTACCTAGAGTCCCATGGGGCTACACAGAGCCTATGGGACATGTAGGACCTAAATCTGAAAATACATTTAGCTCTTGTACCTAGAACTGTCACAGTGAGTCAGGCCCAAAAATGCTTTTTAAGGTAGAACTTATTTCCCAATCATGAATATTGTGCTAGCAGATTAAGTGGTGATGGTGAAATGGGTTTAACGTCACGTCCAAGATTATTGCACTGTATGTATATGTGTGTGTGTGTGTGTATGTGTGGGTGCTTGTACTAGTTCTGACTAATGCCGATTTATAGTGCAAGCCCACTGAGATACCATGCCGCAGTTTAACATGAATACCCCACTCAGACACAGTATACTGACTCCGAGCACACCAGTCAGTTTTACACACTTAATGCTGAGCTTCAGACAGGGAAACAACAAGTACCATCTTTTGGAATGATGCGGAAGCGGATCAAACCCCGGACCTTCCACTCTCCGGGTGGACGCTCTACCACTTGACCACAGAGGCAGTCCTAGCAGATTAAGGTTCATATTCAGAGCAAATATGGGATTCAAACCCATAACCTGCAGATTCTGACATGGCTAAGGGGTGCAACTCTGCACAGCAAACTGTACTATTAGTGTAGGGCACTCCACAAGCAAGTCATTGCAAAACAAAAGGTATATTTCTTTAGATCTCATAAACTGCTCCCACTGACAACTAAACATCTCATTGTCAAACTTACAATGGTAGCTGAGACAATGGTCGTAGGCTTTCAGTAGCAGCTTGTGCTTGGACCTGAAAGTGTTCACCAAAGACGGGATCAACTCCACCTGAAACATGCCATCATCGATAATTTGAAAACCTGTCAGACCAAGTGGGTGTTCACACTCCTATCTGTGACACAAGGGAAGCGTCCAAACCAAATGATAGCAACCAGTCCACAGACCTACAGACTACAGGTTTGTTCACAGTACTTAAAGATGTTATAGACCATTCTTACAGTCAGGTGGAGACTCTACTGCAGTCTTATTTGCACTCTCTTGTCCACAACAGTGGACAGTGTTATCGGTGTGATATACCAATCCAAAACTTTGATATCTCGAATGAGGTCACACAGCAGGAACTAGTTTGAATAAGATCATTAGTGACAACTTGCTAACAAAATACTATTTCTGAATGTTTCCTGTAAATTTAGAAAGAGATCTCCCAATATGTCAGCACCTCAATGAGTGAGTGAGTTGGGTTTTACGCCGCTTTTAATATGATTCCAGTTATATCATGGCGTGTCAGCTTAATGTGGGAGGAAAGCCCAAAGTGATGCAGGTCTCAGACATTTACCACTTCAGTGAAACCAACGAGCATGGGTATGGTGCTGACAAACCTAGAAACATAATCTGGGCGAACTGGGATTCAAACACACTTCAATGAACAAACATGGCTGTAAATCATTTGGTACAATATTACAAATAGGGTGGTTCACTCAGGCATTGAGGTCGAACATGGTTTCTTAGTTACTTCAATGAATGAAAATAAGTCTTTGAAAATTTTTAAAATGACATAAAAAGAAAGTGATTATTACCCTTGTGTGTTTAACTATCTTACATATCATTTATTAGGAATAAAAAATACTGACTACGATACGGGAACACATTCAGCTGATTATTAATATCTCTATATTTCCATGGCCCCCATGACTTCAAGCCTGACTCACCTCGTTTGTGAAACGGATGTGAGAAAACACAAAACCTAGTGGCAGATCTGCATTCAGACCCCGGTACATCTGAAAAGATTATCATTAGAGACGTAATGCTACACTTTGTCGCGACATCCATTAGTATCTCACAAGTAAGGTTAAGACATGACGTGCATTCCAGAATATAGGTGGAATTCAGTCACAGTCATGAGAAATTAACACAAGCAACCACGGATCAGAAGGTCCCTGGTTCGAATCCTATCACGGGACTTAAAAACATGTGACCCTCTTCTTTGACTAGTAAAGGTTCAGTGATTACAAGAATGGTGCTTTCACTGTACTCAGCAATAAAGCAAGAATTAAAGAATTCACAAGTCTTATGGTTTATTCATTAATACTGTAGTTACAATATGATAATAGTCTGCAATATATGACAGCGATATGTTCCATTTATGTGGTAGTTTGACTTGGTGTTGCTGCTGTCTTGGCTCTGTAGATCAGTTTAGGTCTGAAGACTTCTGCTTCCTTTTGAAACAGATCATCAAACCTGACAAATTTTTTAATAAACATATTTTGTCTATTGCCTTTTTTACATTCTGATCTGAAAAGTCCTTCAAATAAAAATAACCAGTGTGATCTAAAGATTAATAACCTGCCTGCAGCAGTTTGCAAAAGTCACTTGCTGACTGAGTCAGTTCTAGTCTAACAGAAGATTCTCACCTGCAGCAGCTGATCAGCCTCTGGTGATGAAGTGATGAAATAGTGCACCCACAATATGCCGGCTGGCTTCAGCTGACTGCTCATAGCTTGTCTGTGTATCATAGACACCACTGAAACACAGGCATGGTCAGCTGCATTGTCTCATCAAAAGAATATAACATCACAGAAACCTCATCCTGTGCTGAAATGATTACAGTAGAACACGGATATAATGAACATGGATAGAGCAAACAAACGGATACATCAAACTGTTAAAACATCCCCAATTTATCTCCTATATATTATCACATAAAATTTACGTACATGACAAACTCTCTACAGCAAACTAACCGATATAGCGAACTGATATCTGATCACCGACAAACCTATCTACCACAAATTAGTGACGTGTATAGGGAACTGAGAAATCTCACTCAGTGTCAAGTGTCACTGAAAATTGGCTGTATGCAATCAGACGGGAATCAACACAATCGCAAAGAATCAACACAATCACTGGTGACAATTCAACCTTGTTAAACTTGCATTATGTTAATCTTAATTGTCCATGTAATTGGACTTATCTAGTCTGTAAAACAAACAAATTTCTTTCAATAATGTTTACATTAATTTTGGTGATATTGGAATATATTATTCTGATAAAATATAAACTTCAGATACAGTTTCTTCCGACCATTGCATTAAATTTTGGTCCTTTTTAACCGAATCACAGGTAGATGCGGGAGGAAATGGGCACAAACATGTACGTGTATTAATATCTACAGTAGAACATGGATATAACGAACGAGGAAGACAAGGAGCTCACCAGACATGAACACCTACACTACACACCTTCAGTCCATGGGAAGACAAGGAGCTCACCAATACATGAACACCTACACTACACACCTTCAGTCCATGGGAAGACAAGGAGCTCACCAATACATGAACAACTACGCTACTCACCGTCAGTCCATGGGAAGACAAGAAGCTCACCAATACATGAACACCTACGCTACTCACCTTCAGTCCATGGGAAGACAAGAAGCTCACCAATACATGAACACCTACACTACTCACCTTCAGTCCATGGGAAGACAAGAAGCTCACCAATACATGAACACCTACACTACACACCTTCAGTCCATGGGAAGACAAGGAGCTCACCAATACATGAACACCTACACTACTCACCTTCAGTCCATGGGAAGACAAGAAGCTCACCAATACATGAACACCTACGCTACTCACCTTCAGTCCATGGGAAGACAAGAAGCTCACCAATACATGAACACCTATGCTACTCACCTTCCCCATAATGATACTGGGACTTCTCCTTTAACAACGACAGTCCATGGGAAGACAAGTAGCTCGCCAATACATGAACAACTTCACTACTCACCTTCCCCATAATGATACTGGGACTTCTCCTTTAACAACGACAGTCCATGGGAAGACAAGTAGCTCGCCAACATGTCTGTCCTTTGCTTGAGGTGCCATACAAGCTCATCATGTCTCTCCCTGGGGAAAACATTAATCTCTCATAACTAGTGTATTTGACCCAATAAGTGCCCCCCTATTAAAAGAAAACTTGCAATGAATGGTGGCATTTGTTCCTGTGTGAGGAATCCATGATGATACAACCACGAAGTGGACATAAATATTCCTAAATATTCCTATTGGTATATATTGAGGGAAGACAAGAGGTGCGAACAAAAGCTGATAATTACAGACCCATCACCATTCTTGTCTCAGAAACTTTTTTGCTTCTGCGTTAAAATCCATACTGACTAAATATATAAACAAAAGTCATTGACTTTTCAAAATACAGACAGGCTTCCATGCAGGGTATTCAACGGTGGACAACTTATTCGAACTGACAAATTGAAATCGACTAGAAAAAAAACAATATTTTGTTTTCAGAGACTTTCAAAAGGCCTTTGAAAGGATATGGATGGCTTTTATCGTGATTATTGTAAAGAATGGAAGTTAACTATCAATGTTGTCAAAACTAAGACAGTCTTATTTGGACCATGTGCATCTCTGAAAGAGACATTTTCATTCAATCTTGATGGACATATGCTTGATGCAGTAGATGCATATGTCTACTCAAGCAGTTCAGACCCGTGAAGATTCCGGGGTAGAATAGGTCTTCAGCAACCCATGCTTGCCGTAAGGGGTGACTATGCTTGTCGTAAAAGGCGACTAACGGGATCGGATGGTCAGGCTCGCTGACTTGGTTGATGAATGTCATCGATCTCAATTGCGTGGATCGATGCTCATGATATCAATCACTGGATTGTCTGGTCCAGACTCGATTATTTACAGATCGCCGTCATATACAGTAAAGTACGGTTATAAGGAAGTCAAAGGGACTACTAATTTTAGTTCGTTATAACTGTAATTCGTTATAAGCACATATACAGTATAACTACGGCAAATAGTCGGGACTAAAAAGTTAGTTCGTTATATCCATTAGTTCGTTATAAGCGTGTTCATTATAACCGTAGTTTACTGTAGCTGGAATATTGATGACTGCGGCGTTAAACAGCAAACCAACTCAAGCAGTTCAGTCCCTTGATGATCAAGGATTATAAGCCATGTCCAAAGACATACATTACCCCTTGACTGTATTTTTAAGTGTTTTCATTACATGGTATTACCTGTCATGCTTTATGGTAGTATAGGTGTTTTGTTAGAAAGTGAACATCATCAATTATGAAATCTTGGTAAAAGGTAAAATAGGGCATTTACCAAGTTCTGTATACTTAAAGAAATGTATGATTTCATACTGGTATACTTGAGTCACTAATGAATTCACCAATAAATCATCAGTTATTTACAATAGTTTAGTACCTTTGTTACTAATCAGCACTAATCATCATGGAGAACATTAATAAAAAGTATATTAGACGAATGAGGTTTATCTTACGTATGGTATAATCCTCATCTGTGTAACAGGTCTTGAGTCACTTACAAAGACGATCTGATCAGTTTATTCAGAAGTGGTTCATGGAGCACACAAACTCCAGCAAAGCTAAATTTTATCATTGTATTAAACCTAATCTTAGCTTCGAATTTTATGTATCTTCCTCGGGTTTTACCTTGACCTACAACAGTGGGGGTCCAGGGACCCCAATAATTAATTTTAAGGGTCCTTTCAGGCAATATTAGAGTCCTGAAATGAAATGGTGTGGTGTACTCATTTTGATAAGAACTTTAGAGCCTGGAATGAATCAAAGATCATGTGGACAGTGGTCATGATTGATGGATGAAATGACAAGCATCCATAACTGCTGTTGATGCACTGTGGTCTAGGTACGATGTATATTATTGTGCGTCCCTAGAGACACAGTGTATATTTTTCTGCAACCATTCTCTACATCTGTGTGTACTGGATGTACAGTTGTGTGTCGTGTAAACCCTGTCTTCCTGCTAAACAGCCTGCCCTATTTTAAAGTTATGCACTAGCATTCATTGTATACATGTATTATTAAATACTGGTTCTAAATTTCCAATATAATTCCTAATTGACTTACCTTAGATGCCCTCTGTAAAATGTTATATAGTCAGCAGTGTTAATGCATTGTTTCAACCATGTAAATATAGTGTCTCCCAACACCCACGTAGCCCTTGATAATTGTAAAAATGTAAACAATGTATTCAAGGCCTCAGATTTCATAAAATAATTCATTCATGTACTAAAAGTCTACATCCCGCTCTCCACAGGCTGCATAGTGAGTGAGTGAGTTTCCTTTTATGCCGCTTTTAGCAGTATACCAGCAATATCATGGCAGGGGACACCAGAAGTGAGTGAGTGAGTGAGTGAGTGAGTGAGTGAGTGAGTGAGTGAGTGAGTGAGTGAGTGAGTGAGTGAGTGAGTGAGTGAGTGAGTGAGTGAGTGAGTGAGTGAGTGAGTTTCTTAACTGTTAACCACTTTGATAAAACCCACGAGCACTGGTATGGTGGTGACAAACCTAGAAACTTAATCAGAGCAGATCTGGGCATCCAGCCCATGATCTCTCATATCTGGCACCTCTTCATTCGGTGTACATATGCTCACCTGTGTATGTATGCACAGAACAAGGCCCGTTTCACATTCTCCACAGCAGCTTTACGAATGGCCCTGCTGTTGTCGATAGCCCTCAGGGTGTCTATATTCCCCACCTCACCAAGATGAAAAGCGATTCTCTGTGTTGCTGTAACGTGAAATATTGAAATTAGACAAGACTGAGACCTACCTACCTACCTCAACCACATAACAATTTCCTACAGTGCTGACATGGTAGTTTGGGGCACCAAGTCGAAGTCAGTCAATTCTGCTGTTGGTAGCCTTAGTAGGCTGGTACATGCAGAGTGAACTTGGGACGTAACTGAGGGAAACAAAAGCTCTTTTTAGTCCTTCTTCATGACAAATCGTCGTGCTATTTTAAGAAAATACTAATACATAATGAGTTTAGTGAAAATTTCATTTTCGTTATTTTTATTCCAAAATGTCAATCAGCCAGTTTGTAGACCTAACCTGAGAAAAGCTAACCTGAACATACCTTGTGAAATATGGAAACCTGAGGAATGATATCGCTATCATACTCATGAGTCTAATATTGCAGTGCACAGATGAGTCAATTCAATGTTGATACCTACTGAGACTTGCCCGATCCTGGTAATAATCACATCACTATTTAATACTGCTGTTCCCCCCTCAGCATGTTCACAAAGCCGACTCAAAGAGTTCCCCTACATGCATCCCTCTCAGAAGTCGACCATGTCCAGCAGAGCGAGATTATATGATGCTTCATGTGGTTTGGTTAGGAAAAATATCTACTATTTCTCACTAAAATTTAATAATTAGAAATATTTTTTGCCTAATTGACTTGTCCAAATCTACTACTAACCTTGTACAGCACGTTCCCCACCAGGGATTTTGTCCACCAGCTTGAAAAACATATCAGGTGTTAAACTGAAAACAAGGACAAACAATATTACTTCTATGGGGTGTGACCATGTTTGTTTCTAAAGCGCATGACAGTAAGTGCATTGTAGGATTGTTGTGAAGCAGACAAAGATAATTATGGCTACAAATAATATTGACATTTGATTAAGATTAGGAAATAAGATTTTTAATATTTGTTTTTAAATTTTCTGATAAATGTAGGTAAAAACATAAACAAACAAAAAATCCATTAGAAAAAATCTCCGATAATGACAGTGATAGGGGAGAATGTGAACCTGTCCTGAAAAATTGGCAATATTGCGGGTTCAGTCTTGGCATATTGTGATAGATATCTAGACATCATAATGCGTAAAATATACCAGGAATTTGGCTGTTTGTGTCACACACTGATAGTGTATTGCAACAGAGCAGCAATCCAGGGACAGAAATGCACTTTCTATGATCATGATAAAGCTTGGCATACTTGCGACAATATCATGAGTGCCTGGAGGCACACTAAAAACAATGCATTTCTGATTTAATTCAAATATCAATTTCTGTTAAAAATAAACTCATGGCAGGAACAACTCAGGTAACTGTTCATTATTATCCTCTGAAGCAATTATGAAGGATGTCAGGTCGCTCACAGAACACAGCCCTATTTTGACCACTTATTTTTTTGTATCTGTATCCAAATGTATGCAAAAGTTGCCAAAGCTTGTATTTTGTAACAATTAAATCAAGTACAATTTCAAGGTATTGCTTTAAGAGTCTTTATAATAGTGACATATAATTATTTTCTGATTGCAGTTAACAATTGCACGTCTGACTTCTGGTTGCTGGACAACAGTTTTCAGCATGTTAGGAGACACACCAAGAGCTTTTGAAGCTCGTTTCAAGTATTTATTAATGGCATAAAATGGTTCTCCTCTTTCTACTTCACACTGAAAGAAATCGTATACCTTAAAAATCAACTGTTTCACATCAGCTGAGTAGTGCATTTTGTCAATCAACAACAATGACATACACCACGTAGCATGCTGTTCCTCCTACCATTGTGCCCCCTCCATTCAAGATGTCAACTTGTAGATATAACAACATGATAGTTTCTGTAACCACCGTTTTTCAGTGATGGGAATAAAAATAACAAACAGCAGATATTGTTGGTACAGGGTATTCGTTGCTGTGTACTGCATTGACATTTAATAGACAGTTCCCGATTTTGAGTTATTTTGCAATTCATCGTTCTCATTTGGAGCAAAACGGACTGTAAAAGATGGTTTACCTTTCCCTTTACCCCCCGACAGCAGTGGACAAACTTTCAACTTATTGTATACATCTCCAACCTTTTCAGTGACTCAGTGATGTTTTCCCATTGTTTGTGTACGATGCAGTGGAACAGGTATTCGTCTGCTACATCTTCAAACCTGTGAACTTGCTGAAACAGGCAACAGAAGTTCATCTGAAAATGCACACACTGATTGCAAGGTTATCATATCTTTGCACAACATGGCAATATGGCAATGTAACAGCAGTTTGTGTGTATATAGGAACTATTCAGTGAGAAATCTCCCACAAATCTTACAACACAATGTCTCTTTCCTAAATGCAGTAAGTCATCAATTAGTGCAGGGTGAATGTGTTTCAAACTGTTGTGGGAAGTGTGGATTTTCTGTACTTGCTGGACCAGGCAAACCACTGACCTACAGCTTGTTGGACCAGGCAAACCACTGACCTACAGCTTGCTGGACCAGACAAATCGCTGACCTACTGCTTGCTGGACCAGACAAACCACTGACCTACAGCATGTTGGACCAGACAAACCAGTGACCTACGGCAAGCTGGACCAGGCAAACCACTGACCTACGGCAAGCTGGACCAGACAAACCACAGACCTACAGCTTGCTGGACCAGGCAAACCACTGACCTACGGCAAGCTGGACCAGACAAACCATTGACCTACAGCATGTTGGACCAGACAAATCCACTGACTTACAGCATACTGAACCAGGCAGTGACCTACAGCATTCTGGTCAGGATGTTGTTGAGTGTCCTGAGTGAATTGTTTCCTACCTTGCTGGGCACCGGAGGTACAGGGAAAGGCACAGGGATGTCTACAGCTTGCAGGTAGTTGCTGAGTATATGGAGTGAGGCCGGTTCTAGAGACACACCCTCCTCCTGGCATCGTTCCCATACACCTAGGGCTGCATCCTCATCATGCAGGTTCCCTGCAGACAAACTCATTAATACACATGTATGATGGCAATGTCCTTGAACTGTAGTACTCAACTCAATTCATCTGGAATTCTACTTATCTCAACTTTATAAAACATTTCATGTGATCATATTGATTCAAAGGACTTGATTCATTTAGTCCATGAAATCTTATGTTTCAGATTCCTCTGTTGTAAAATGTATTCATTCGGTAAAAGCCTTTTTCCTGGTGCTGAATTCCTATTAAATACAAGGGGCGTTCGGGTAGCCAAGTGGTTAAAGCGTTCGCTCGTCATGCCGAAGACCCAGGTTAGATTCCCGACATGGGTACAATGTGTGAAGCCCATTTCTCGTGTCCCCCGCCATGATATTGCTGGAATATTGCTAAAAGCGGAGTAAAACCATACTCACTCACTATTAAATACAAGTGAGTGAGTGAGTGAGTATAGTTTTACGTGTTTTTAGCATTATTCCAGCAATATCATGGCGGGGGACACCAGAAATGGGCTTCACACATTGTACCCATGTGGGAAATTGAACCCAGGTCTTCTGCATGAAGAGCAACCCCTTTAACCACTAGGCTACCCCACCGTCCCGATACAGCAGGAATATTGCTGACTGTCCTGTGACACAACATCCACTCACCATAGCATCTGATGAGCTCCGACATGAGAATCCTCCGGTCAATATCCTCAACACCTCGGGCTGCTTCAACCAGGCCCTCAAGTTCTGTAATCTGAAAAATGAAGACGATGTAAACTCTTTACAGAGGACACATAAATTAATTAATTTCCCTCAGAAATATGCTTATTTGTTTCTGTCATGATTTTCTGATTGTGTAAGTTAAACTATTTGTATTGATTCATCTATACCACAAAAACCAGAGTACCAAAGATATAGAAGTTTTACTTTCATAATATTAATCTTAGGCCAAATAAAAAGTTTGTTGCCTTACCAATACCGTGAGAATGAAAGTTTGTTTGTTTCTTTTCTCTGTTTAACGCACACTCAGCAATATTCCAGCTACATGATGGCGGTCTGTTTGATCCATGCAATTGGAATAAGTGCTTGAGTATGGGGTAGGAGTGAAGCCCTAGAACTTCTCTGGAGTCAAACTGCCAAAAGATAGAGTGTTTGCTTGTTTGTTGTTTAACAACGCACTCAGCAGTATTCCAGCTATGTGACAGCAATCTGTAAATAATATTCTGGACCAAACATTCCAGTGATTGACATCATGAGCATGGGATACAATGACATGCATAAACTAAGTCAGCGAGTCTGACCACCCGATCCTGTTAAGTCACCTCTTACGACAAGCATAGTCGCCTTTTTCAGCAAGCATGGGTTGCTGAAGACCGATTCTAGCTAGGAACTTCAGGGTCCAAAGAGTGAGTGAGTGAGTGAGTGAGTGAGTGAGTGAGTGAGTGAGTGAGTGAGTGAAAAAAGTTCAATGCTGAACAGATCATATCCATATAGATATGGTGCCTTAGACCTGGTATAATAACTGTCTGTTCTATGGGCTCACCCTCAGTCCCTTCACTAGTTTATGAACCAGCTCCCTCATCCGATGATTCTCAAGATATGCACCTGATTCCTGAAACATTTGGACAAAAAAATACAGTTTCTTTAGTTAGAATTCTATGTTGAAATTATGTTAATAATCTTCCAAAAATACAGACCTGGCTGAAACTGAGAAGCCCCAAGTTGTGACATATACCCCAGGTACCTTCATGTACACTGACATATACCCCAGGTACCTTCCTGTACACTGACATATACCCCAGGTACCTTCCTGTACACATATATATACCCCAGGTACCTTCATGTACACTGACATATACCCCAGGTACCTTCCTGTACACTGACATATACCCCAGGTACCTTCTTGTACATAGACATATACCCCAGGTACCTTCCTGTACACAGATATATACCCCAGGTACCTTCCTGTACACTGACATATACCCCAGGTACCTTCTTGTACATAGATATATACCCCAGGTACCTTCCTGTACACTGACATATACCCCAGGTACCTTCTTGTACATAGACATATACCCCAGGTACCTTCCTGTACACAGATATATACCCCAGGTACCTTCCTGTACACAGATATATACCCAGGTACCTTCCTGTACACAGACATATACCCCAGGTACCTTCCTGTACACTGACATATACCCCAGGTACCTTCCTGTACACTGACATATACCCCAGGTACCTTCCCGTACACAGACACATACCCCAGGTACCTTCATGTACACTGACATTTACCCCAGGTACCTTCCTGTACACTGACATATACCCCAGGTACCTTCCTGTACACTGACATATACCCCAGGTACCTTCTTGTACATAGACATATACCCAGGTACCTTCCTGTACATAGATATATACCCCAGGTACCTTCCTGTACACAGACATATACCCCAGGTACCTTCCTGTACACTGACATATACCCCAGGTACCTTCCTGTACACAGACATATACCCCAGGTACCTTCCTGTACACAGATATATACCCCAGGTACCTTCCTGTACACAGACATATAATACCCCAGGTACCTTCCTGTACACAGACATATACCCCAGGTACCTTCCTGTACACAGACATATACCCCAGGTACCTTCCTGTACACAGACATATACCCAGGTACCTTCCTGTACACAGACATATACCCCAGGTACCTTCCTGTACAGAGATATATACCCCAGGTACCTTCCTGTACACAGATATATACCCCAGGTACCTTCCTGTACACAGACATATAATACCCCAGGTACCTTCCTGTACACAGACATATACCCCAGGTACCTTCCTGTACACAGACATATACCCCAGGTACCTTCCTGTACACAGACATATACCCAGGTACCTTCCTGTACACAGACATATACCCCAGGTACCTTCCTGTACAGAGATATATACCCCAGGTACCTTCCTGTACACAGATATATACCCCAGGTACCTTCCTGTACACAGATATATACCCCAGGTACCTTCCTGTACACAGATATATACCCCAGGTACCTTCCTGTACACAGATATATACCCCAGGTACCTTCCTGTACACAGACATATACCCCAGGTACCTTACTGTACACAGATATATACCCCAGGTACCTTCATGTACAGAGACATATACCCCAGGTACCTTCCTGTACACAGACATATACCCCAGGTACCTTCCTGTACACAGACATATTCCCAGGTACCTTCCTATACACTGACCACTGTGTGACACTGGGGCAACTGGACAAGAGTGTCCTAACTATCACAATACTATTGCAATTGCAGGAATGCCCACAATAGCACCACTTTTTTCCACTCACCTTTAAAAGTTTGGAAACCTTCTGGTGTTGTCCACATCGAAGAAAACCTTCAATCAATCGTACGATGGCTTCCTGTTGTCCGAGAAGACCAGTTGCTGTATCAACCACTAAACAGCGACAGAAAGTTAGATAATGGCATGAAAATCTCACAAAATCATTCTGTTAGGATTATGAGTAACATTTATATAAGTTTATAAATTTAACACATCGGTGTGTCTCTGGCTATAAACTTATGCAGAGATGTAAATTATTTAATTTCCCATCTTAGGGTGTAAGATTAACTGCAAATATCAACTTGTTTTAAAGACAGTCACTGCTGAGTGTTGTCCAAGACTTTCCTGTCTGCAGTACCTGGGATTAAACACAAGCTTACCTGTCTACAGTGCCTGGGATTAAACACTGACTCACCTGTCTGCAGTACCTGGGATTAAACACTGACTCACCTGTCTGCAATGCCTGGGATTAAACACTGACTCACCTGTCTACAGTGCCTGGGATTAAACACAGACTCACCTGTCTGCAGTGCCTGGGATTAAACACTGACTCACCTGTCTGCAATGCCTGGGATTAAACACTGACTCACCTGTCTGCAGTGCCTGGGATTAAACACAGACTCACCTGTCTGCAGTGCCTGGGATTAAACACAGACTCACCTGTCTGCAGTGCCTGGGATTAAACACAGACTCACCTGTCTGCAGTGCCTGGGTTTCCCCGGTAGTGATGAGCCAGAGGATGACATCATTCAGCTTCGGTATCCAGCTGTACTTGGAAGCAGTGTACATCACTCCTTCTGTGACTTCATGTAAATCTTTGCTGGAATGATCAAATACAACCTTACACACACTGAGGCCTAGTCTAGCAGTCACTCACCAGTAACCGGTACATGTTTATAACAAACTGATGGATATAACAAACTGTTTGTTGGTCCTGGCCATTTACTGTATATATGCTGTATATATGCTCATAACGAACTAGGGTTATTAAGAACTAAACAAAGTGGTCCCTTTGAGTTCATTATACATGTCATAACCATAGTTTACTGTAGTTTCCAACACAAATGATGTGAGACCTTATCTGTTCAGGTTAACAAACTACGTCAGGCAGTGATCCAGCCCAGCGATCATTACCTAAACCTATATGGGTGAAGTCCATTCCATTATTGAGATAGTGCTATTGCTTGCTTGTTTTTAACATCACTCTTACAAATATTCCAGCCATATAACAATTGCCTGTAAACAATCAAATCTGGACCAGACAAACCAGTAACTGATAAATATGAGCTATGTTCCACACCTTTGAGGTGCAATGACACACAATCACAATTAACTGACTTGTACAAAAATCACAGGACTTATGCTTACCCAGGATGCCCATACGGCAGAGCTACAGATAAGCTGCGCATCTGCATAAAATACCCCCGAAAAAAATTCAAAACCCAATTACTTTCAATTAATTTGCATACAGAAACGCATGCATCAAATGCATAAAAACAGCATGCGTAAAAACCCAATGAAGCTTTTTCAGCATGCGTACAATGGAGCTAATTTCCTAAACACAATTACAAGCTAATTTACTTTCTGAGTCAAGCCTATAGTTAGAACCCTAATCTACGTCTAAAACATTATTGTATTTTTTTTAAATCTCAAAATGTTGACTCATTTTGGGAAAAACCCAATAGAGTGATGCATAGATGAGTGAAAAAATAATGGTTACCCAATTAAAATAGAAAGCTTCGAGTAAAATCTCAATTGCTAAAAAAGTTATCTGGAGCTCTGCACAGGGAGATTGTGATAATTGAAAAATTATTTAAGCCTATATTGACTCACTCAGGAATCAGAACAGGTGCATCAGAGGATAATCCACAGTGTGACACTACCTACCTGTTCAGCAGTGCCTCCATGTATGTGTTCAACACAGGATGCGCCGTGTCAAGGTATCCAAAATACACCAGAGATTCCACCAGTCTAGCACCATAAGAGGCACTGGAGATAGTCTTGACCAGCTTGCTGCAGTCTGCCCTCATCGTGCCAGTCCTGGTCTTCAGCAGTTGGTGCCTCCACTTGTCAGAGTAATTCCCTAGTCGCACCAGGGCCTCTGTGGAAATAAAGTGTCACTTGTCAACAATCAACAACTTGAACTAATGACAACCATCTCCATCTATGCTGAACTGTGAACTATACCCGGTAGTGAGGACAAACCCAACTCACTCAAACATTACACACGATCTACTAACACTAACCATCAAGCCTAACACAATACTAACCATCAAGCCTAACACAACACTAACCATCAAGCCTAACACAACACTAACTAGGAAGCCTGACACAATACTAACCATCAAGCCTAACACAACACTAACCATCAAGCCTAACACAACACTAACCATCAAGCCTAACACAACACTAACTAGGAAGCCTAACACAACACTAACCATCAAGCCTAACACAACACTAACTAGGAAGCCTGACACAATACTAACCATCAAGCCTAACACAACACTAACTAGGAAGCCTAACACAACACTAACCATCAAGCCTAACACAACACTAACTAGGAAGCCTAACACAACACTAACCATCAAGCCTAACACAACACTAACTAGGAAGCCTAACACAACACTAACCATCAAGCCTAACACAACACTAACTAGGAAGCCTGACACAATACTAACCATCAAGCCTAACACAACACTAACTAGGAAGCCTGACACAATACTAACCATCAAGCCTAACACAACACTAACTAGGAAGCCTGACACAATACTTACCATCAAGCCTAACACAACACTAACTAGGAAGCCTAACACAAAACTAACCATCCTGCCTAACACAATACTAACCATCAAACCTAACACAACACTAACTAGGAAGCCTAACACAACACTAAACATCAAGCTATACACAACACTTACCATCCAGCCTAAGAACACAAACTATCAGGAATAAGACAACACTAACCATTCAGCCTAACACAACACTAACCATTCAGCCTAACACAACACTAACCATCAAGAATAAGACAACACTTAACATCAAACCTAACACAACAATAACCATTCAGCCTAACACAAACATCAAGTCTAACACAACACTAATCATCTGGCCAAACACAACACTAACCATCCGGCCAAACACAACACTAACCACCAAGAATAAGACAACACTTACCATCTTGCTGTCCTTCTTGTATTAGTAGATGAGCAACTGCTAGAACCAGACCATGGTAGTCAGAACGTTCAGGATACATCGCCTCTCTGACAAAACATAATATATATGTGTATAGACATACAAACATCCTAGCTAACGGGGTCACAGGTGGCCCAGTCGTCTAAGGCGCCGCGATTAGCTGTGCAGAGTTGCATCACTTGGGCACGCCAGAAACCTATGATTGTCGGTTCGAATCCCGGTTCGCCCAGATTATGTTTCTAGGTTTGTCAGCACCATACCCGTGCTCGTGGGTTTCACCAAAGTGGTAAATGTCTGAGACCTGCATCACTTCAGGCTTTCCTCCCACATTAAGCTGACACGCCATGATGTAACTGGAATAATGTTAAAACCAACTCACTCACTCACTCACTCACTTGTAGCTAACAAGTAGTGCACAAATGAATATTTACTTGGTCTACATTTGTTTGTACATAAAGACACATGCTTCCAACATCTGCATATTTTAAAAAAAAAGTATGGTGTAATAGCATCGTGGTTTAAGCGTTCACTCATCACCCAGGTTGAATTCTTTTCTCAAGGGTACAATGTGTGAAGTCCATTTCTGGACATATTTCATGATATTGCTGAGATATTGCTTAAAACAGCTTAAAACAAAACTTACTCACCCAAAAAATAAATTGACTATAACTTTCGTAAAGAACTATTAATATACTAATTGTTCACTGGATTCTTGTTTTGTAAGAATTTTTGCAGCAAAAAACCCATTGGGGGGGCAGATGATTTAATCCATCGAATTCCCCATGTAGGAGCTGTTTGTGCAGCATCTAGTTAGCAGACAACCTCACACTCACATTTGGTCCAGGCTCTGTAGTGCAGCAGGAACATCCCGGGCCTGTGTGGCGTACTGCTGTCCACGTCTCTGAAGTACAGGGAAGCTGACATTGGGTCCCTGTTCTGGATGACACTCTTCCTCTTGGTTCAAGGTCTGCAAGGGAAAATGCAGTGCACTTAACCTTGTTGGGCATAATATGCTTTTTTTTTCTATTTTTCTTTGTTGTTTAACACCGCACTCAGCAATTTTCCATCTATATGATGTGGTCTGTAAATGATCAAGTATGGACCAGATGATCCAGTGATTGACATCATGAGCATCAATCTACACAATTGGGATACGATTACATACATCAACCCAGTCAGGGAGCCTGACCACCCATTAGTCACCATTAGACTCGAAGACCATAATATGCTTCTATGTTGATCAATTAAGAAGTTGATTTGGAAGAGAGAGTTTTTTAAGAGTCTTGAACTGACCAATTTGAACGACAATTACTTGAAAATATTCTTTTCTTCAAAGTACTCATTTCAACTTTACTTAAATAAAATAAAGTTTGTGCTTACCAAATGTCTGCTAAGTCCCCTCGATTCTACCAATTTCTGAAATGAGAAAGTGAGTTGACATTTTTCTTATCTTTCATTGTACTGAAACATTAGTACTTGAATTAAAAGCTTGACCTACCTTAAGAATACAGTTCCACAATATTTTCAAACACGTATGCATAAGTTCCTCTCAGTGATCTATCATCTCTACATGCAATGTCATTGAATAAGCCCAGCAATGTTGAGAGTTTTGAATATGTGTTTATTATATATATATATATGTGTATTCATTATTATGTGTATATATATATATATTATATTTTTTTTAGAAGACGCCTGTTTAAGAAAACATTTATATTTTCAATATACTTTTTAGTTCTGTTTCAACTTAATTCACGTGGGTGAATGGATTGTAAATAGGAATAAAATGCATACCGTATTCGACGTAATAAGTGCCCAGGGCGCTCTCAAAATTAGAATATTATTTTGGTGAAAGTTGAAAGATAAATTTCATGGTTTATGCTGACAGCCTGAAATGTTTATGTACGACAGATATATTTTTCCAGAATTTAATTGCCCATAATTAAGAGTGCATATAACGCACGAGTGCGTATTATACGCGAATAAATAAGTCTTGTGTACATTAATCAATCGGAAGGGGTGCTAATTGGGATTGTTCACTAGCCAATATATTAGCAAATATTGCCGTGAGCGCTTATCAGAGCGGGGCGATTATTACGTTGAATAAGTCTTGTGTACATTAATCAATCGGAAGGGGTGCTAATTGGGATTGTTCACTAGCCAATATATTAGCAAATATTGCCTCGAGCGCTTATTAGAGCGGGGCGCTTATTACGTTGAATACGGTATTCTATTTTTTCAATTTGGTAGTCTTAATTATTATGCACAGGAAAGCAGCCTATTTGGTATGTTTCTATTGACATTGCGTGGGCCTACACCTAAACTTCACTGGTCCAAACACTGTCTACTGTGGGGCTACTCTCACAATATATCAGTTAGATTCATGATGATAAGGATGGACACAAGGCTTCGTGAGCCCTTCTAATGCATTTTCAAGCATGGGAGCCAAGACACGAAGCGTGCAAATACATGCACTTGTCAGGGGATTCTTGGTTCCTTTTTTGTTTTCACATTTTTAGTTGTATATATTCTTCTCACACAAACATCGAGTGGGCAGGATGAAATAGTTTCATGTCAAATGTTTTGGCTACAGAAAACTGTCATGGAATTTCCACCCAAGCCACTTTCACTCAGCACACCTCGTCAGTAATGATTCCAAAGCTGACTCATGTCGTCAGTAGATACACCTATGTCTTCCTATTTCGTTACTATGACCCATGTTATCATTTTTCTGTGACAAAATCCCCCCCCAAATGATTAAAACTCTGTTATTCATGAGTTCGTGTGAATTTAATGTCTGACACCTGGAGCTGACCGCGTCACATCAGCTCATTCCTCACCACTCAGGACCAGTAAATTACAGAATGGGACGAGTGTGCCATATGGCTTGGGATCACTCATGTGTGTTCGTATACAGAAGTCACAAGACACCATGGTTATCTGTAACCTTCGTGAGTGTCCGTGATCAATTCGACCCTTTCCGTTCAGTGCCATAACATCTCAGGCATGACTAGGTAAATTTGCATTAAGTTTAACAGTGTGGACGTAGCAACGGGCTAACAATCCAAAGGTCGCAAGTTCGCATCCAATGGATTCTCATAAAAACTGGTTGCTTGTCTTTGAGACATGATACCTACGGCAGTGATCATCCTCCCGAGAAGTTGTGGTACTGTATTCTAAAAGTGCCAAACTGATCACATCGCATCACATCGTAGGCTCAGCTGGAGAAGTGCTACATGACCTGCTTCATGGTGTGTCTCTAAAGGTTGCACCATTGTGTACCAAACTCTAAGTCAAGTTTCAGAGTTGTTTGCATCAAAATGTTTGATCAGTCCAGGAACTGCTCATTCCAATAAGCATTAGCTTCCAAAGTGATAAGACTTTCAAATAAGATGTGTCAATCAGAGGTAATTATTGTGATTTGAAAACAATTTTCAGTTTTCAAGTCAGAATTGCTGTGTTATGTTTATTGTAATATAAAATAATTAAATTTTCTTTGTTTTCATTGATATTCCTGGATTCTGATTAGCTGAATTGGTCATGTGTTATTGCATGCATTTCCCAATGAATGTAAAATATTAAGCCACGCCCACCGAGGTAGACTACTTTTGCTACTATGGAATGTAGGGGAATCCCAAAATTACAGTCAAGGGAATTCCCTTTCTGCTTAAGAGTATCGTCATGCACAGGACATTTAGCGAAATTCATGCATATTCATTGTCCAAACAACCCTTTGAGACTGAAGGAATGAAACAGCAAACGTGCAGGATCGCTCGCCTGTTTTTTCCCACTCGCCTCGATTCCACAACTTTCATGTCTTCGGGTTTCATTTTTAACTAGCATTTTGCCAACTGAGTCTTCCCGTTCTCTGGGAACTAATGTTTGAATCTGGCAATAACTGACCATGTCATTTGAAACAGCCACCTTCTCCCATACATATTTGTTCCGGTTCGTTACAGTCTGACTGTTGCATCTCTTCTCACCTCTTGCCTTGATTGACAGGTCCGAAGAACATTGTTTTCATCCTACTCTCCGTTGATTGGCTACTGACTTTGTAGGCGTGTCAAGTTATGCGCATAAATGAAACAATCACCTGATTCATGTCACGCCACAGTATGTATTCCTAACCCGGAATGTTTATCAGTGTCTTCATTTTTGTCTGCTTTGATATATACACCTGTTTTTGGTTAAACTATTGTAGTTAAAACATGTTTTCCTTGTCAAATTTAATTATAAGCATTGACTGAGTATTCTTTTCGGTTCATTGACGCGGATTCTTACAAAAGTTTGCACATCATTTTTTTTATTCATACCTCAATGAACCGAAAGAAAATACACAGTCAATCCTTAAATGAATGTGCGAATCATGGATTTAAACCCATGACCTACAGATCCACATCTAAGGTATGCCACTGCACAGCTTCCATCTTAGATACTGGAAGCATTCAGCAATTTTCCAGGATTGAATCATTATAACATAGGACCAGGCAAACCAGTGATTGAGCCCCCTTGAGTCAGTGAGTGATTGTTGTTAGAGCCGCAGTCCATAACATGCCAGCCATTTCACTACCGCTTGTATTTTGTTTGTTGTTTATCGAAGCACTCAGCAAAAGTCCAGCTATATAACAGCGGTCTGTAAATAATAGAGGTGGACCAGACAGTCCAGTGATGAGCATCGATCTACGCAATTGGGATAAGATGACATGCATCAACCAAGTCAATGAGCCTGATCCCATTAGTAGCCTTTTACGGCAAGCACAAGTTGCTGAAGACCTATTCTACCCCAGATCTTCACGGGTCTCTACAGCTTGTAACTGATCCAAGAAACCAGCGACTGAAAGCATGCACAGTGATACAATCCATCAGGACATGACACACAATCAGCCCAGCTACCAGTCAAACATCAAACATTAGCAGTCTATTCTGGATGGTGGATGTGGGAGATCGTACAATGACCTACCTCAGTGACTGATGCAGGAGCATTCTGCAGCATGGCCACAAGCTTGTTCTGCTCTTCATGGCTAGACAGCATGTTCTGTGCAACAAGACACAACACACTTGAACAGCGTAGGGCAATGATGTTCCCAAATCAATAGAGAACACGAGCCATGGGTATTGACTTTTGTATTTCAATATATTTCAATATATTGCAATAATGATTCATGTATGTGATATGTACAATATATAACATGCGTTCTTTCATCTGTAATTTGTTATGAACCTGAGTAAAAAAAAAAAATGACATCGGGACACGTTTTTGATAACTTCATAGTCGTCCACCATTTTGTTGGATGTTGCTGTGGTGGACACATTTTATACCAAAAATTTGCCGCGAATAGTTTCGCATTTATTATCACAGGATTCATTTGCTAATTTCTTAATTTCATAATTTCAATTCAACTTGTCATGTAAACTTTGCCAACAAGATGAAAATATGCATGATTTTGAAAAACGCAATATACAGGTGTTTTTCAAACATATTCATGAGTATTTTACAATGTGGTGTACCATGAAGCTCTAGAAAACACCATGGCGATTACCTACTGTAATTGCCTTCCCAACAACATAATATCCACACACATCAACTGCTTCTTTGGGATCAAACTCAAGATAAGTAAAACAGAAAATGAAATATGTTGGTCTTACTTACATTTTCTGTAACAAAACCAAATATTTTGCCTAGTATCTCCCTGCCCGGATTGGCGTTGATGATCTCCTGTAACACATGGCCGGTCACCTTCTCCAGGCTTGCCCCCTGGAAACCATGCAGGATCACCTGAAACAACACCATGTAACAACAAATGTCACAACATAATATGCATATGGTAAACAAATTAAGACTTTTTATCAACATCTTGAGTCATTGACAGTTTGACACACTAAACATATTGACCATTGCTAAATGTCAGTTGTTTTCTTTCATTTGTGCTCAAAAAGCATGCCCACATTTTTTGTTGTTGAGATAACATGCACAAAGTACGCAAAGTACCTGTCGGTCATAGTAAATCTCTGCATCAAAATAACAGTTACATATCATGGCCTGTCAGTGTAATGTTGGACATAGACATTGACCACATTGGTGGACCGAGGAGCACTGGTTCCAATAGACTAAGGATCGTTGTCGAGGTAAATCAGAGGATCGAACCAATGATAAGCAGATGAAAACAGATATGCAAGTGTTGACCTCAGTACTTAGTTACAGTTCCTCACTCTATCGCTGTCACTCACCTTGAACAAATTCTCCCAGGATGAATCCAGATTTCTCACATGGCCAATTTTAGAAGCTATTCTCCTAAATATTTTGATATTGCCATGAACTTTCTTGTCCTTTGCTGTAAAGGAAGTAAACGAACATGATTAATCTGCTCAGTATCATAAATGTAAACGTTACAAGTGACAGTGCAAAAGACATTTCAGCCCTTACCATGTACAATGTTGGAAATGACAATCAAAGGGTTCCTTGTACCAATCCTCATGGTAACAGTTAAAGATTTAGAGGGTGCATACATTCAACTACCTTAGAATACCTTAGGGCCCAAGTACTCCCCTATTTCCAACACTGCCTTGATTTACATGAAAGATAAAGTATTTGCCTCTGATACAGATGAGATTTGGTTGGTTTTTTGTTTAACGCCGCACTCAGCAATATTCCAGCTATATGACGGCAGTCTGTAAATAATCGAGTCTGGACCTGACAATCCAGTGATTGACATCATGAGCATCGATCCATGCAATTGGGATCGATGACATGCATCAACCAAGTCAGCGAGCCTGACCACCCGATCCCATTAGTCGCCTCTTACCACAAGCATAGATACAGATGAGAGAATGATTATCCTTGTATTGAAGAGGTAGAACATTTGAACGATCAGTGAGGGAACCAATAAGCATCAAGGCTTCTAAAGTCATGGTAAGAGTGAGCCAAGCATTCAAACTAGCATTTCTGATTTCTGCATCTGAAAAACTAACTAACAAGACAAGTTTCAAAGTAGAAAGTATAGTGAAGCCTTTGAGTTTTTCATACATCCAGTCGCTTCTAAAAGCTGTGGCATCCATAAAACAACATGGGCGTACCATATTTGTGTTCTCTGTGGGTTTTCAATTGTGCCAATAGAAATTTCTGAATTGAGCTGGTAATATAAAGAAACCGAATTGTTTCAGAAAGCTGACAACTGATTGGCTCAAGAACCCATAGAGCCGTCTTTTAGAATAGGTAGCCAAAGTCTGCTCTGGGTGCACCTGAGGCAACCTTCAATGGAGGTGTCCTCGTATCTTAACGTAGAGAGGTATGTACCGGACAGGATGTAAGTATCCTGCAAGCATGCAAGGACAGGAAGTCAAAGATTGAATCTAGGCAAAACAAACCACAGTTGACAGCATGAGCTACAATCCACATAGTTTGGGAGCAATGACATGCAATCAAGAAAGAGACACATTGTGACCATCTGATGCCCATATTAAACAGTACTGGACAAATGCCAGAGAACAACCCCATGGCACGTATATAAGACGTATATTCCAGATCTTAAACATTTTACCATAGTCCCAGGCTGCTTCAGGTCCCTCTGTATCCAAAATCCATGCCATATTTACAAAGTTCACATCCTCAGCTCGAAAACCAGCATTCTGAAATGTACACTCTACATTGTTAGATTACTTGATACCTATATGAAAATATGGTTTAATTTAACCAGTGTGAGTGAGTGGACTGAGTTCTAGGAGAGATGGTGACAACACTTCTAAAATGAAGCTATGGTGGGGTATTATCATAATAGATGAGAGTTGAGGCATACTGGGGTTTAGCGTAACGTTCAAGATTATTGCACTTATATAGTGATGTGCATACAAGCATGTGTGTGTGGCTGCCTGTACTAGTCCGGACTAATGCCGATTTTTTAGTGCTAGCCCACTGAGACACCATGTCACAGATTAACATGAATACCCCACTCAGACAGTATACTGACTCCAATATGTCCAGTCCTTGTTTTAGCCCCTTAATGTCCAGTGCCAGGCAGGGTAACAACAAGTACCATCTTTTAATGTCTTTTGGCATGACACAGCCAGGGATCAAACCATTCTGCTCTCCGGGCAGACCCACTCTACCACTAGGCCACAGAGGCAGTCTTATCATAATAGAATGGACACATAATACACTGGATTATTTAGTATTATCTTAAACATGGTTTACTATCATTTTCCTCAAGTTACTTACCACTGGAAGTGTCAGCAGCCGGTCTCTGGGTTCCCCCAGCTTCTTGAGAGCAGGATAGATGTACGTCAGGTATGTCTGAAGCTGATCGGACCTCGTGTCACACAGCTTCCCCATCTTCTCCGCAGTAGTGATGACACCTGGGGATGAAGCAGCACGAGGGTCACTCACGGGTCTGGATGCTGCTACTACATTACATTGACAATCAAAGAATGTAAGGGTTGGATTTCTTTATTGTTTGTTGGTTTGTTGTTTAATGCCAAACTCAGCAATATTCCAGCTATATGACGGCGGTCTGTAAATAATGACAAGCATTATCGCCTTTTACGTCAAGCATGGGTTGCTGAAGACCTATTCTACCCCGGATCTTCACGAGTCTTGATTTAATAAAGGTTTTAGCAACATTTCAGCCATATCTGGGCAGGTGGCACCAAGGTGGAGATTCACAGTAAATGAGAGAGTGAATTTTGTGTTACGCAACAAGGCATAATCTACACCAGGATATCAATAAGCTACAGAATATCAACAAAGGTAGCTTTTGTCTGTTTTGTTTTTATGCCACAGTCAGCAATGTTCCTGGCATATTATGCATTTGTGACCAACTCGTGTTATTCCAGAACAAGCCGAATAGCGACTCATGTCCCTCTCAGGGCCATTTTGGCCACTGTGTTCTGTCAAAGAGCAAATGGTCATAGTTAAAAGAATTGTCAACTCGTTGCGTAATGATTCACGTATATTTACCCCGATGTCATATATATTCAAGATTCTATTTAAAACACATCGGGACTTACAGTATTTATACAGTATGATTGAACACATTTAACTGTATCTTGGGTATATTTTTAGATGCATGACGTGTAAAAGCAAAAATTATTTCTGAGGGATTGTTTGACCAAAGTACTTGCAGTCATATGCACATTCTGCCTGGTTTGTCATATTTTTGCACATAACATTCATCGATAGGGGGACGAGTCTTCTTGCAGGTTACAGAAAGGGGTAAGTGGTGACGAATGACATATAATGGTGTAAACAATCAAGTCTGCCCTGAGACGAACCAGTTGTTTGTATGGTGAGCAGCATCCATGCTGACACCTTACAATGACACGAAAGCAACCAAGTAACTGATTCAATTAATATATTGGAATATATTCTTCCTGATAAAATAATAGTTTCAGATACAATGCTTCCAATCATTGCATCAAAAATCTTTAAAGTTATATTATTGGGTACTGAATCACTGATTCAATTAAGTCACCTCCCAGACTAGAAATAGAGTGCTGAGCACCTATTCTAACCCCATTGGGCACAGCCAGTTGATACAAAGTCATACAATGATGACACAAAGTAACGTAGGGAGTGCTGAGTTTGTAGGTCTCTTTGAGAGTGTTTTCAAAATGAAACATTCAAAGGTTTCTTATTTGGATACTGTTGTGCTTTCTCATCATTGTGCCCGAACTATATGCCCTGAGATTCATGTATGGCCTCCGAACTCGATGCTTGATCATAGTACTCACCTTGCTTATCTCCCTTGTCTCGGTACTGACAAAATGCTGGCCAGAAATAGTGGGTCCGCACAGGCAGATTCTGTCAAAGAAATAGGAAACTTCTCCAACAAACAATTCATCTCGTCACATTTCAACAGAAGTGTCTTAATATGTCTGTCTATGACCATGGGAATTTTAAAGCATAACATATGACATTAGTTTCTACAGAAATAATTTGATTATTGTTGTAACACTTTGAAGTACTTGTTGACAGGAATATTTCAGAAATTATATGTATTTTTAGGCCTGAATCTGGCTCACCAGTATGTTTAGCAGTGTATCTACCAGTGTCTAACAGTGTATCTACCAGTGTCTAACAGTGTATCCACCAGTGTCTAACAGTGTATCTACCAGTGTGTCTAATTGTCTAACAGTGTAACGGTGTACCTGTTACCATCTCCCTGAGGCAAAGGGGTCAAAGGACTCTTACTTTCCCTGTTTCCTAAACTTTGACAGAAAAGTAGCCACTTCAAACAGTATTTCAGTTTTTTCACATTAATCTGTAACCAATGATCAAACTGGTCATAGACATTTACCACTTTGGGGAACCCATGAGCATGGGTATCGTGTATCATGCTGAGAGTCAAAGGGACTTGAACCCACGACCATCTCATCTTGGCCCATAAGGCCATTCCGATCCTACCTCACTTACAACATGAGCAAGGAAGCATGCAGGGTATGTACGTTATCTCACCAGAGACTTCATCATTTCAATAGCAGCAACAGCATAATCTGAAACAGTAACAACAATGGCATACACATGCTCAATGAGGAGCATACATCCATAGTGGTATCTGTAGACTCACTCTACTGCTCCAAGAGAAGAACATGTGCTGATTTCTTGGGCTGGGACAAGTCCAAATTTACTACCCGGGTACCCCCTATAGGTCTCAAGAGATAGATACAAAATGTCCGATTGGGAATAGTTTGACCGTAGCCCTGGACAAAATGTATTTGAATACACGTATCAAACAATCTTGTCATGCATACACGGAAGTTGACTGAAGTCTCATCTTTATTCAAACATATAAACGTCAGAAGGAATGGATGCATAGTCAGAAAGAAATGCAAACATTAATGACTTGTAGTGTAACCATATAGTTCTACATCATTTTAGTCATTAAACAATACATCACATGAGTAACCACAAGTCCGGATAGTCCTGTGGGTACCTGGGTCATACCCACAGGACCTTTTAAGTACCTACCTGACCCAAGTACCCGAGTTACCCGTCCCACCCTACTGATTTAATTTACAATACATGGCTGGGCTTTCTTCAACATCAAATTTAGCTCATACATGAAGAAAGAAAACATATTTCCACACCAGAAAACCGAATGGTAACATAGAATTAGTTTTGCACCCAATAATGACTACACACGGACTCACCAAACTGGTTCATTTGTTTCCGTATGTGTGAGCAAAAGAGTGGACCAGAGTTTGACCGAAACCATTGTTGTCATTCTTATCATGCTTATTCCAGGAATAAAAGGTTGCTTTGAACAACCGTAGAATCACTGGGGTGACAACACCAGCTGTTCAACTGTGAATTCTCACCTGTCTTCCCCATCCTGATGGCAGTGCTGGCGACGTCACTTATATCATCGACAGTCATGTTATCTGCCTTGAGGCGTTCCATCAGCTGCATCACACTGTCAAGTGGCTGTAACCGTGGTAACATAGATCAGTAAGAGAGTTGAATCTGAATGCTGCTTTGAACATTCTTTCAATAATTTCATGTCAGCTAAACGATGGATGAAAGCAGTATGTGTTATGTTTATCAGTCTGGTGAAACTGACAAGCTTAGGTATGGTGTTGATAGATAAAAAATCATAATCGGAGAATATTTGGGATTTTTAACACATGACCAGCAAAAAATGCATTCAGTCTTAGGCAAAATACAAGATATGTGTCTATGTTTGAGGATCTCACAGAAGCAGTAAATGTGTCATCAAAGAATTTGTATGATGTCTCTAACCCTCTAGAAATTCCTGACCAATCTGGAACTAGCCAAAGAATGTTACCAGAAACAAAAATATTTTTCCTCACTGACGAACACAGCTCAGACACTGTATGCGAATCCTGATATTGTATGAAAATGTTATACAAAAGTCTAAATTACGCAAATATATAGTTGCCATATCAGTACATTTTATCATGAAAAAGTATAAAATTGATAAATGAGTGGCAAGGTGAGGTGAAATGGGGTTTAATGTTGCAATGTAATAGTCCTGACAAATGCCGATTTCATAGTGCTAGCCCACTGAGATTCAGTGCCGCAGTTTCACATGAATACCTCCAATCGGTTACCTACTCAAAACATTAGACTTAGGCCATGCTACTTCTCTAAATATTACATACCCCTGGACCCCAGTGTAACAAACAAAGGTAAAACCATGATTATACACATGACTATTGCATACAGCTTTTCCTCTAGCCAATAGTGTGCAGTGATGAAGCTGAATACCTACCCTCTCCAACTGAATGAACATCTGTAGGAGACACCTGCCATAGTTGGGGTCCCCTTGCTGTTTGTATAAACTGTGGAACAGCTTGTACGCATCATCGTCAAACCCATGAGCTACGAGTTGAGATACATACATCAAGCCATTTGCACCATCGTCTGTAACAGCTTCCTGCATTTTGATCATCTAGCAGAAAAAAGATTTACTGTTAGTCTTAATAAAATAAAACAATTGGTTCTCAGGCAATGGTTTTTCAAAATATAGTGCGGGCAGGCGGTGTCTTTTTTGTTGTTGTTCAAACTAGAATGTAACCAAATAAACAGTTGTTTAACCAAATAAAAAGTGTGTGTACAATCAACCTGGGACAGTGCCTCCCTACATAAATGTGTTCCTTGATGAGTGAAATAGTGGAATACAGTATTTGACTACTGTTGGATTTGGAATATTTAAGGATTCTTATTTTTTTTCTTAAAAATGGAAATAAAAACGAAACGTGCGGCGGACTTTGTGATGAAACGGGCGGTGCCTGAGAACCAAGATTATTATTTTTTTTAGCCTTAGTTAGACACATGTGAACAATCAGAACAATATGGTAATGCCATTTCTTATCCGTGTATCTCCTTGAGGACAAGAAATAATTAAGCATTTCCAGAAATGTACGTCTTCTTTCCAGTTGATCAGTAATTTATCATAAAGGGTGTGACTTTTATCCAAAGTACACATCTCCTGATACCGAACACATCTCCTGTTACGGTACGTACGTAATAAGCCCCTCCCCCAAAGCATGTCCCCATCTTGTGATCTCTCCTTCCACTTGTCTAGGTGTTCATGACTATGAGCTTATGATACCAAAGTGCTGAGTACGTTTGTGGTTGTAAACAAAATAAGAGCCACGAGGCTCTGTAGCTCACCTGAATTAAAATATAACCTGAGGATGAGGCCAAGTTTTGCTAATTTCTTTTCTTGTCAGGAAGCTTGTACATGTATATTAAAATCTACTTTACATTCTATCAGACCTCTCCCTAGCTCTGAACATAGTGAATCTTAATGCTGCTTTCAACAGTTCTTTAGTTAAAACATGGTGTATCATCTTGATCATGTTGATGTGGGAGAAAAGCAAGAAGTAATGCAGGTCTTAGACATTAACCACTGCATGGTGATCACCAACCTAGATACATCTGAGCTTCAAACCAACAATCATAGGTCCCTGGCATGCCTAAGGGATGCAACTCTGTACAGCGAATTGCAGCACCATAGACGACAGGACCACCCTGGTCTCTAAATATATACTCAGCGTCATCATTGAAGGATCAGCTAGATATGGAGGGTGTCAAACATGCACATATGCCAACAAGCTTCAATAGGTCTGAGTATATTGACATTGTGATTAACAAGAGATGAACATGTTGTTATGTGTATGTCACACTGATTGAAACTAGAAAAATACATGATGACTATAAAGACAATGAAAAAAGTGCAACATTGGAGGTGATGGAAAAAGCTACCAAAACACCCCTGAACGTAACGAGTGGTTTAGCCCATGCATGTGCAATACACGGCAAGTAAAGTCAATGGGGGTATAACATGGTACACTCCAGATGCAACTGAACTGCACTCTTGGCAGTTGGCAACATGGGCAATATGAAGTTTTTTCATACTTTTATTTTTATTATCTGCTGACACTCAATAATGATGCTGAGTATATATCCGTGCCTGCTTGTAAGGAGTAGAAGTGAGGCTTTCAGACATTGTAGTATTTTTAGTAAAACACACACAAACACACACAAACACACGCGCACACACATCCCTACCTCATCAACATGTTGTGAGTGTCCAGCCATCACCATGGTGACAACTGCCTTCATCACAGACCTTGAATTAATCATCATGCCAGGGATCTCAGACAGCAGCTGAAGAAGATCAATTCCCTACCACGTTCACAACATCATAACTACTCATTTAAACAACATAAAATTTGTGAAGTAACTTAGTGAATGATATTTAACACTACAATGAGAAATAATAACAGCCATGTCACAATGAGTCATCTGGATCAAGAGGATGTAACCAATGTCAAGTTCAAGCATCAAGATATCTAGTTGTCCAATATTACGAATGTCAAACATTAACACAAGTGCTTGTCAAGAATAATGCATGGTTGTATTGGTGTTATGTATGTTGTAGGTGCTGATCATTGTCAGTGGCAGCAAGTGAATGAAGCTCTTGTAAAATTCATGAACTTATTTTGTGGTATGCGACAACCACAAAATAGAGTTACCTCCCTCTATCACCTCTGGTACAAACTCCATCATTTGAGAAGCTTCGTGAGGTGACTCTCCCTATATAAGAGCAAGACGTTGGCTACTCAAGGCCGTCTATGACCCAACTTTTATCTTATCTACATGCTACTACTAACTACTTTGTCAGCTTTCAACATTATTCCGGATTCAACTACATAGCATGTGTCATATTCAAGACATTCGACAGTGACTTTATTCAGGACATTTGTAAGTGCACTGACATTTGTTGTAGGGCCTGTGATTTATTGCTGCTGCCACATATTTGAGGCAGCATTGTATTGAAAACCTAATCCTGAGACTTTACAATTTAGTTCTGTATCATAGTGTATGAACCGATTCCTGGTATAGCCTTCACGTTTCAACTTGGGATTCACTTTGTAACACAGGATAAGAAATATTGTGTCCTACTAGTATGTGCATACAAATTGAAAATGGATGCAAATAACGTGCACTGCTAGTCCTGTGGGAAACAATCAGTAAACTCATAAAAAGTTGTAGATTCCATGTTACATGGAACTGATGTTTCTATTCTGGTGGAGAAACGAGTCACTTTGGACTAAAAAACTAGATAGACCCAGGGAAATCCCTGTAAGTGGCACCTTTCTCAGAGTGACAAGTATTTCCAGAATGATCTCTTTTTGAAATACGACATAAATAAGACATTGTTCTGCAGTGTTCCAAACTAGTGAAAGATTAAACAAGCAGTGTTCCAGACTTGTGAAAGGTTAAACCAGCAGTGTTCATGACTAGTGAAAGGTAAAAAAGGTTAAATAAATAAGCTGTGTTTTCCACTGCCTCAGTGACTCATTTCAACCTTATACCCCTGTACAAAATGTTGACATCTGTGTCTAACACAACACCTGTTTGACGGCTGCCATGTCCCCCTGTTGGGCGTAGCCACACACCAGTGCCGTGTAACTCTGTACTGATGGTGTGAGGGAGGCTTGACGCAGTTGCTCCAGTACATCCCTGGCACTCTCTGTATCACTGCAGTGTATAAGAGATTCAAGCCATGACATTACCATGCACTGATCATCTCCAAGACTCATTCAAGAATCACTCATGATCTTTAATATCTCAGTATCTATAATAGTTTCAGATGCTGTCATTCTGTCTACAAAGGGCTGGCTGTAATTAGCGGCATGTGTAAGACACTTAAACACTGTCTCTGTGTATCTGTAATAATGAAGTGTCTCACCTTTTACCTGCTTGATACATCATACAAAGTTTAGTAATAAGTAAGAATAAGAATTTATGGATGAACAACTTCTTTATTACAATTAAGAGTGACGTTTTGTTGATGGTTCTAACAGGCTATGCTCAATGAGCACCCTCTTCACGAAACCCATATCACCTATCACATCCTCAAATGGTCGAGTACCGGTACCTTTGAGGCTTCCAATACATGACTCCCGGGGAACTCCAGGGTGAAATGAGTAGCAAAATGATCATAGCAATCCCTCAGAATATTTATTGCAACATTAATTGACACAAGGGATATAGCTGGTCTGGATCAGCGGTGGCTTGTCAGTAATGTATGGTGGATCAAACATATAATATAAATTTATAAGCATGACATAATGAATGAAACTAGTCATTACACACGCCGAGTGTCTTAAAACAATATGATAAATAGACAGAAAATCTTCCTATCACTGACACGTGGGACAAAATAACAAAAATGCCTCATGAAAATTCAACAATCGCCACAAAGTATAATGTAGTAACCAATGGGATGGTAACTGTGAAGTTTCGCTCATCAAGAAAATATATTCAGATTCAATGTTCAAAGATCTAAATCCCAAACGCAAGCACATGTGTATCTTCTTGTGCGGTGAGAAGGAAAGCGAAGGATCAAGGGCAGATAACTCTGATTGGTAACCAAAGGCAAGGAGCTCCCAAAATGAAGAAGAGGCACATTTTGGGTTCTGTGTTTTATGATCGAAGTGAAGACGGCAGTAGCAGTGTGTTGTGTCAGGATAAGACACAACTTGACATATTCAAAATGGCTGCCATGGCAGTATGTAATGGTCATGGTTGAAGCTGTGCCAACTATCACGAGTCGAGTAGACTTGTGGTTAAAGCGTTCGCTCATCACAACGAAAACCCGGGTTCGATTCCCGACATGGGTACAATATGTGAAGCCCATTTCCGGTGTCCTCCGCCATGATAATGCTGGAATATTGCTAAAAGCAGCATAAAACCATACTCACTCACTCACCACAAACCCCCTCACTCACCCAGATTTGAAGAAGCCCGTGATGAGAAAGCTGTACACTTTCTCTTTGATAGGGAAACCACATTCCTTCATGATGTTCATCACCGTACTGAAAATAATAAGCATAATAATAGACATGGATGGGTCCTCATCAAATAGCAGTGACATGGAAACACATTGTTTCAGACAAGTCAATCTGCCCCTTAGGCAAGCTGAAGGTTTTCTGGATACCTTCATACATGTTTTCAGTTTGTCTGTTTAACATCACACTCAGAAATATTCCAGCTATGTGACATCAACGTAAATAATTGAGTCTGGACCATACAAACCAGCTATTGATGTACAGTAAACTACGGTTATAACGTGAGCTGAGGTGAGGTGACATTGGGTTTAACGTTTAAAGATTATTGCACTTAAATAGCGACGTGCATGCATGTGCGTGTGTGGCTGCTTGTACTAGTCTGGACTGATGCCGATTTATAGTGCTAGCCCACTGAGATACCATGCCGCAGTTTAACATGAATACCCCAGTCAGACAAAGTATACTGACTCCGAGCCGACCAGTCCTTGTTTTAGCCCCTTAATGCAAAGCGCCAGACAGGGTAACAACAAGTACCATTTTTTAACGTCTTTTGGTATGACGCAGCCAGGGATCGAACCCCGGACCTTCCTCTCTCCGGGCAGACGCTCTCCCACTAGACCACGGAGGCGGTCACAGTTAAAACGAACTCAAGGGGGCCACTAGTTTGTTATAAGCATATGTACAGCATAGATACAGCAGTGGCATGGCAAATAAGTTCGGCATATCAGTCAGTTCGTTATAAGCTTGTTCGTTATAAACATAGTTTACTGTACTACCATAAAAACATAAGGAACAAATGATCTGAATGTAGTTTTCGTTGAGGTGAACATTTACAATACCGTGCCAACAACACAACATCAAATCACAATGAAATTTCACATCTTGCATGAGCTTGAGCTAAACACTTGATTAAAAGTGACTGCAAGGCATTATCAATGAACAAAATTGCGAATTGTGGGTATGACGGGGAACCACGTCAGTATCCCAAGTTGCCCAAATGCTTGGCAGATCAAAAAGTGTCATTTCTCGACTATGGGACAAGTACCATCAAACAGGTGGGTTGCAATGAGACCTGGGCATGGTAGGCCTAAACAATCTACACCAAGACAAGATCGTCTCACTACATACTACGCAAATCATCATCATCATCATCATAATCATTATTCATGGATAATAATACTCATTAACAAAGTAAATCCTAAACCTAGATATTCAAGGTTTCTGCAATTTGTTGAAAAATTAATTTGTTTAAACAAAGATGGACAAATTGGTAAATATATTACACAGAGTGCCTATAAAATTAAATAGCTGGAAATGTGGATATAGTAGGATATAATAAAATGACTCACATTGCAGCTTGGACATCTCCATGGTTACAGTAATGTTCCATCAGGTTTTCATACGTATCCTGCAGAACAGTGGCAGTAGCACATCGTCAGCATCAACACACAACAGCATCAACACACACCACAGAAATGTTATAGTGCGACAGAAGTTAAAACATAAAATGAAACTGTGTATTAATTGTCATTCTATAATATTTTCATAGCAACAAAAAGCTGCAAACCATTGAAAAGAAAAAGAGAGTGAACATTTCATGTTTTTGCTTAACATTTCTTCAGCAAGGTACTCAAAATACAGACCAGGGTACTCTTGGCCAAAGGATACTCATTGCCAGACAATGTGAATGTGTTCAGACAAACTGTCAGGGAAGTTTCAGGGAATACCGTGGCAACCTGAATATAATCGGGTCATGGCCAGGCAAATCATAGGCTGATAGCATGAGCACTGAGCCATGCCTGGGAGTATGAGGGAGTATAAGCATGACTTTGCAATATACCCTGCACTGAATCCCCATGGGAAGCATACAGGAAGAATTCCTGATGTCAGATGGAAAATGACAAATGGATGGGACAAGAAATCTTTTTCCAGTCTAATTTGTTTATTTCAATAACATATTTCTACTGATTTTGTCTTTCTTTTACATCTCATTCCTATCATGTCTCATTGAAGCCACTTAGCGCACTTAATTTGCACAAGAATATATAAAACAACATGCAGACTCTTACAGCAATTTTAATTACGGTATGTTGGGGGCATAGGTTGAAAATTGCTTGACAAAGTTGTGTCCATGAGTGAGTGAGTGAGTTTGGGTTAACGCCGCTAATCAGGGCGAACCGGGATTCCAACCAAGGGACGCAACTCTGCACAGCGAATCGCAGCACCTTACATGACTGGGCCACCCATGCCCCAGTGTGTCCATGAGATACACACAAAAAAAACTATTATCGTCTGTATGAATACCAGATTTGCTCTGATGATATTTATTTGTCACAGGCAGCACCCTAGGCCTGTTCAGGGGTTTCACAAAGGGGGTAAACATCTAAGACCTGCATCATTTTGAGCTCTCCTCCCACACCAAGCTGACACACCGTGATGTAACATTATTACTGTCCAAAGCAGTGTCCGTCAAACTCACTCACTCCAATACTGTCAACATCCCCATGAAGATCCTGGTGTGAATAGGTCTTCCACAAGCCATGCTTGTCATAACAGGCGACTAATGGTAGTGGGTGGTCATTCTCACTGACCTGGTTGATGCATGTCATCACATCACAATTGTGTAGATCCATGCTCATGATGTCAATCACTGGATTGTCAGTCCCGACATGATTATTTACAGACCAATGTCATATAGCTGGAATATTGCTGAGTGCGACATTAAACAACAAACAAATAGCCATGGGAGCCGTGCCAATGGGAACTGTGACAATTTACAGTTGTAAGAGGGGTACACAAAGTATGTGATCTAGACTACCAGTTGTCAGACTTTCATTTTTGTGAAAGCCTCATGGGCTGAGTGGGTTAGATCGTTGAGTTTGTGTGCTGGTGATTAGGTGCCTCACTCCAGCAGTGTGGGTTCAAATCCTGGACGGGACTCAACCAAAAAAGGTACGAGAATCTGAACTTTACTGAGAAAGTGTTATCCCAAATAGACCATTTGTAACAAACAAAGACACAAACAATAATGTGACTTTGGAGAAGCAAGAGGATCTCACCATGTCGGGTATGATGTGGTGAGACTGCATCTCGGTGATGATGTCGGTTGGAGTAAAGTTGTGGCCATTTTCAACATAGACTTTCAGTAGAGTGTTGTAGTGGCCCACCTCAAACACAGCTGTTATACAGAGAAAAGGGAACTTACATATATCATGTCAGCCTTCAGGATAAGATTCACATACAAAAAATAAATCATATGTATTTTCAAGAATGGAGCAATTAATCAACCATTTCGGGGTTCGAAACTCTTTTTATTGTTGTGTAAAAGGAACAGTTAAAATCAAGATAGCAGAATTAAAATTCGTACCCAGAGCCAAAGGGAATACTTAGAAAATCACTTTTCTTTTCACTTAAACTACCTTCTGATGATGTTTATTATTTGAAGCCAGTGACTTGAACATGTTAACTGGACAAACAAGGGAAAGGATAGACATATGAACACACCTAGAGTTCTCAATACCACTATCAAACCAGGTTTATGTATATATTGGTCTTAACCTCTGTATGTTTGAAAATATCAGGATATTTCTTTATAAAAATGAGTCTTTTTCTAACAGGTGTAATGTGCAAAAATATTGGTTTATTTCTCCCTTGTTTAATGAAGCCTCGAGTGTTTGAAATCACCCACCCTCCATATGGTGAAATAAATCCTGCAGGCATGGTTAAGCAGTGTCTAAGAAATTCAGCAGGCTAAAGGTTAATGAACAGAATTTCAAGTAACTTACTGCAAACTATGAAATTAATGAATCACCAAATTTAATGAGAGTGTCGACTTCTGGGATAAAACATGTCATGAAATTGCTTTTGCTGCACTGGACATTTTCACTATGTGGGTGAGCAAGTGTTTTGCTAGTATTCATACGACAGACAGACAGACAGACAGACAGATAGACAGACAGACAGCCAGACAGACGCACTCACTATGTTGTCGCAGCATGTTCCAGGTCTCCTGCAATAGGTTGGTCCTCTGTTTCGGGTGGACGTTATACAGGCAAGAGCCGAAACAGCTGAGTAGAGTCGTAGAAACTCCTTGGGATACATGCCCTGAAACAGGGGAGTGAATAATCCTTCAACAATTCAAGCTATACTTTAGTAAAGGCAAACCAGTGGTCAATGACATGAGAAGTGCCCTGGGATTTACTACCCGGGTACCCACCCCTTTTATGTACAACATTCAACAAAAACGTAGAAAAGGAAAAGCTCAGTTATGGATGTCTCGAATGATTAATCTTCACATTACATTAGGTAAGGTGAAATGGGGTTTAACATCACGTTAAACCAGCTTAACAGTGACCCAGCATCAGCGGGCAGCTGCATGAACAGGAAGACTAGCCATGTCTTCTCCTGCAACCAGTCAACACAACACACTTTCTCAACCTGTAAGAACATATTCCTGTATGTTATATTCAGTGAACTTTGTTGAGTCTCATACCTGCATTTTGCACCAGATGGCGAAAATTCTGGACCTGACTTTCATGTAAGCCTGGCGGCATTTCAATACTTTTTCTGACACGTTCTGCTGCTTTGGCAACATCCTCTTCGCCATGGTTACACTGTGGAAAAGCTGAATGTTCCGCAGTCCTTACTGTAACAGATCTGTAACAAAACATTCTGTGTCACTCAAAAAAACAGAAATATCTATCTTCCTTCTACTTGTAAATTGAACAAATAAAATTGGCTTTCCTAAATAATAAAATTAAATGGTTTTTGTATGAATACTGTCATGTGATTACTGATAACTATGGGCAGACATTCGATAAAAAAATAAATCAATTGAAACAAAGATGTAAGAAACAAGTATGCAATGACAGAAATGTTACAAATAAAGGTCATGATACAAAACCAATACAAATGTACAACCCTCAAAGAAAGACGCCATATTTCGTTGTTGTTTATATTGAGGCATATATTTTTAATTACGTATTACCGTATTCGCCGTAATAAGCGCCCCGCTCTAATAAACGCCCACAGCGATATTTGCTAATATATTGGCTAGTGAACAATCCCTATTAGCACCCCTTCCGATTGATCAATGTGCACAAGACTTATTTATTTGTGTATAATACACACTCGTGTGTTATATGCACCCTTAATTATGGGCAATTAAATTCTGGAAAAATATATATGTCGTGTATAATACACAGACTTTTCTTTTGTATTATTTCAGACTGTCAGCATAAACCACAAAATTTACGATCTTTCAAATCTGTTTTTTTCCACCAAAATGTTATTCTAATAAGAGCCCCCTATCTGTAATTTCGAGAGCGCCCTAGGCGTTTATTACGTCGAATACGGTATATCAATAAGGATTAACTATTGTTAGACAGAACATATGACCTTTACTTTACATGGATTATGGGTTTAAAACATTTTTATTATTATTCGGGTATTTATTCCCACAAGTTTGCTTTTTTTTCTTACGAGTCTTGATTTTTCGTAAGAATTTTGGTAAAATTGGAATCATAAAATATAACATGGCCAAATCGTCTGCAAATGATGAAATGTCACTCTTCTGTCTACGTCCATGAGTTATCTTTGCAGCCTGACAGAAACTGCACGTTTACCTGACATAATTCAAATGTGTCGGCGTATTGAGAGACTTTGCTTGTCGCCTTGCCATGCAAACCATTGACGTATAAGAGCGTACAAGCTTCGGCGATTGTGCAGCGATCAGAGTGTGCATGTGCCGCATGAGAGCAGCCATGTTTACTGTTACTCGGAGTATATCGGTCATTACCGGAACTTTCCGAGATGAGCCGAAGGCATAGTGTTGAGTCAAAACTTGTAACAAAATATAAGAAACATCAAATGAATGAAAAGAAATGTGTGCTAGTGTAGAGATGCCGAGGGTTATAGCGAAAACGGCACCGATTGGAGAAAACGGCACCTCGACTCAAGCGAAACCGGCTACTATTGCCTGGCGAAAACGACACCTTATAGTTTTTACACCTTGGTCAAATAAATGATAATAAACTTACATAAAACAAGTACGAAATTAGACCCCTTCTCCAATTTACTCGCCGACTCTGTTAACTTATTGTGAAAACACTATATACACTTTGACGTTTTATGTACTTTTACTCTGAGCGGGTGCTCAAAGTAGGTTATCTAGACTACCAGTTGTCGGACTTTCATTTTTGTGGAAGCCTCGGTGGCTGAGTGGGTTAGATCGCTGACTTTATGTGCTGGCGTTAGGTGCCTCACTCTGGCAAGTGTGGTTTCGAATCTCGGACGGGACTCAACCCCAAAAAAAGTACTAGAATCTGTACTTTGCTAAGAAAGTGTTTTCCCAAATATAACATTTGTTACATTTGACCACTTTCTAAATGGTATTGTGTATTCATGTATTTTGAGTCCAAACATGCTGCTGTCAGGTCACAATTATTCACAATGGCCTTTCGATGTGTGTGAGATGAATCTCAGAAAAAATCAACATGCTGTATCATGTGATCGGTAACTTTGATGTCAGTGTTGACAGCAATTCAAGTCCGAGTTGAGTTGTTATAACTGATTGGTTTAATTGTTCTCGGTAATTTACAATAAGCTCTCAATTACATGTTGAAAAGTTTATTGTTACAGTAGAGTAATTGAACGTATTATGTTTTAGGTAAAGGAACAAGCTGTTGAAAACATCTACAAATCGGGCGCCAGTATCGTTGAAGATGCTCAACAGAGACTCGTCGACCCTGACTGAACCCGGGAACTGTTGCGCCCCAAAGAGCCGAGGACTTTGGACTTCGAGGTACTGATAATAATAAAATAAACTACATAATGCTATTGTATAAATTCTCAGAATAACCGCAATTTTGTAACATAACGAATATTGTATTTTAACTTTTATTCATATTTACAAATTGCCGAGGACTTCTTACCTGTCCGTGTAAATACATCACATACATCAAATAACATGTAAATACATCAAATATCATGTATATAAAACATATATATTACTACAAAAATCGTTCTTATCATTATTAAAAATAGAGGTGCCATTATCGCCCGACACATAATAGCCGTTTTCGCCAAATGCGGCGCCGAGATCCCATTATACACGTAAGCCCTTAAGCTCCACAAGCGTACCCTAAGTAATCGTACGAATTAAACACATGTCCTTATGAATGAAATGAGGAAAACAAGAATTCACACATTTTATCGAATCAAACGCAGACCTTTAATAGGCATGGCGACCGCACTAGCCTACCAACTGCATGGGTATGGGGAGATGTCCTTTTGCATATATGAATAAAATGTTCCAAACAAAAATTGGCTGCGGTGCAAGAGGCGGGTTACCTGGCACGTCTGCACTAAATTCGGACAAACGGGCTATTAGTCATTAAGGGCAAATGTCTGTGTATATTGGGGCAGTTAGCAAGTATCGAGTGGAAATTTCCATGTTGTGGTTGCCTTGAAATGCCTTCCGATCCACTTTATTCATGATGTCCCGCAACGCACCACAGATCTGTTCTACGTACTTATTCTACCTCGGATATCGATGGGAATAATTTTATATTCTACTGATGAAACAATGTAACAGAGCACATTATGTGACAGAGCAGTAGTTGCAAAATAAATTTATAGAAATATATTACCATTACTTTATATGTAGTGTTCACTGTCTGAGGCAATATTTTATATTAGGGTTAAGTACGGAATTGTATGCCTAACACCCGTTCCCTTATTTTTCCCCGTCAGTATACACGGTGCCGCTACATCTATTTGTAGGTGTCGCTCAGCACTGACCATTATCCCATGTGTGTTAGTCCTGCACCATGACCGTGGAATATTTTTATTTTATGAAAAAATAATTATCTAGAAATGCATACAAAAGCAAGTCTAGCCAGCTCAAGCTCTATTTCTGAAATCAGCATAGGGATTTTTTTTTATTTTTAGAGTCAAGAAGGATATTGTGTAATATAAGATTTCAGAGACTAAATGTTAGTCTACATGTGTGTCTAAATAACCGAATAAATTGAGGATCGGATGGTTAAACAGCCATAGAAACTAACAGTTTTAGTCCACTAGTCCTTATAATGATAACATATGGCAAACCCTTAAAATAGGCAAATTTCTACTAGTCCTTATGGCAGTTTGGCAAGGACTATAGGACCAGTGCCAATTTCTAACGTTGGTTACAAAGTGTGACCAGAGTCCCCCGACGGCAGGGACCTTTGCTTGTGCTAACAGCTAATAGTGTAACTGGTGTAGACTTGATTATATTACAGGGCGTCGCGACATAGCTGGAATAAGAAGGAATGCTGTGTAAAACAACATTCCCTCATTCTCCTGTATTAGGACAGATATCCGCCGGAGATTCTATTCTGATCGTCTGCTCTTCTGGCCTGATCTGTCATGTCCAGATGCGACCCGATATATACAGATTAAATGTTGCGACAGATGCCTATAATAACGTACACTTCTTTCAGAAGGACTAAGGACTGTAAGGTGCAATTTCCCGACCCAGATAAAAAATTACTATATAAGCATGTTCAGTATATGCCCGTAGTAATGCCCGAATGATTACTCGTTGAAATATCTAGGTGGGGAAAATTTTCTGCTTCCAATAATTTTCTTTTACATGGTCATTGTTTGTTAAATTTAACGTTGTCAAAACAATTTAACAAAGTGATTTTTATAGCTCTCTCACTTTTTTTCACTAAAGAGATAATTGAAGAAGGATCGTGAACTAAAACATGTTTTAACAAAATGTGACTTTTTCTAATATCAGTAAGTGACCATCGCTGTATCAGAATCTGTAAACGATGAAATATGACAGTCGACTTGACTTTATGCACATGATGAATACAGAGATGTCCGACTACTCTTATGAAGGTTCCGATTGTATGCTTTTTTCTTTCAAGGGAGGCCACTCTAGTCGTTACACTCACGCTATTCGCGGCTGTCAGACTCCTTTGCGAGAATATGGACTATCCTACATCTAAACCTTTACAACACTAGAACAATGGAGCGATCGAACACAATGTGTCATAAAAACTATGGTGATCTCGGAAGCGAATTCATTATTGAGCACCGGAAAATCAAAACCACGAACCTCTGGATAGCTTTAATTATTTCTGTCATATTTGCATTATGCGTTGATCTACACACAAAGGTTATTCATATTCGTTGCATTTAATTCATAGATTTAGTCTCCCTCCATTTGTCTCTGTATAAGGCTTTGCATATCGAAAACTGTTCGCCGATCAGCTGCTGACGTTTGGACATTGCTAGCTTCATGTTTCGGAATGATTTCCGCCCATAACACATGCTTCAAATTTTACCCCTAACCATAAATACATTGTAGCTTTTGGTTATATCACATCATATTTAATTATTACCACAAATATGTTGGGGTTTTTTGGTTACATTTATTGTTTCCACAAATGTTCTCAGTGTCTTATTTCATTTATTGCAGGACATCTACCATCTATGGTCTATTTCAGCTGTTTTGTTTGGTGTTCTAGTTTTCAAACTCTACACAAAAGTACACAGAGGTATGTACATATGTAATGTAGGTACATTTTGACAGAATACATTACCAAAAGTGTTTAGTTGTGAAACATTTAATGCATTATTATTTATTATATCAAGCTATGGTCGGCCCAATCACAGGAATTCGAAACTGTTTACAAGTAATAATTGTTGGTGCTTTCCTGTCATGATGATACTGGAATTTTCTGTTAAGAGCAGTGTAAAATTACTAAAATGCCTAACTCACTAACTTCAAAATAGGTCTTGAAACCTTGAACTCATCAATCGAAAAGTTATGCAATAAGTCGCAAAAGGAAAGCCAGCTATAGTAAGATCCAATGTTCAGGCCACAGGAAGTAAGTGTTATATTTATTTGCTTGTTAGTTTGTTGTTTAATGCCACACTCAGCAATATTCCAGCTATACGATATGGGTCCTGACCTGACAATCCAGTGATAAACATCATGAGCATCGATCCACGCAGTTGGGATACAATGACATGCATCAACTAAGTCAGCGAGCCTGACCACCTTATCCTGTTAGTTACCTCTTAGGACAAGCATGGTCGTTCTGGATACTGATGGTTGCGCTATGCTGGCAGACTGACATATAATAAGTAAAGTGAAGTATGTGATTTTAGTCGCTCTTAGCGTCAAGCATGGGTTTCTGAAGACGTATTCTAACCCGGATCTTCACGGGTTATATTTATTTGAAAGTCATTTAGTTTGTGTAGGTGAAAAGCATGGTAATAGAAATAATCCATCTGTTGTATTTAATTTCAGTGTGAAGTTGTATAGGTCAGTCATCTTATTTTAAAAAACTAGTGTTAATCCTGATTACAGTGCAGGATGTGAAGCTGTTAACCATCTTGTATTACATGTATAACTTTTACAGACTGTGTACAGGTAGTTGATCTATTATTATTTGAAAGGTTAACAGTTACCTCTTGTATATATTTGTAATTTTCCTTTCCTAATCCATCAAAGATAAGGTTCCCCCCTCTCCCACTATTATGTCTTTGGATCACTCAGTGACTTGGGTATAGTATGCAACCATCCCTGTTCCACAATTATACATCCACCTCTGTACATTTAGAGTTAATATGCTACAACTAATATTCCTGTGTTAAGTAAGTAAGGATAAGATATATGGATGGACAACTTCTTTATTACAATTAGGAGCGACGTTTCAGTGTAGGACACGAAATATCTTATCCTTAGTTCTCAAACTGCGAAATGCCTCTCAAAGAAGTGTGTTTAAGACTTTCACAATCTCATTAAAATCAGATCTTAGTTTTCGCTATCGCTTAACAAAGATCTGAGGACATCCCATTACGGGTCACGTCAGAACGACCTTTCATCCAACCAATCAGAGCGTCAGTTACCAGATCATGAAAGTGACAGTCGGAATGTATTTTCTCATCGTGCAACCTCGAAATATTTAACAATATTTAACAGGGGGTATTACGAACGACAGTTACAGGTTTTATGATTATATCCATACAATCTATGCCATCTATGCGCCATTCCAGAATGTTCTTTTTATCAGTTTAAAAAAATTTAATCCAGAATATGTCAAAATATGTTTCGAAGCGTAGTCGCCAGTTTGAAACTAGTGTCGTGAAGCTCGAGAAAGCTGCCTTCTGATTGGCTAATGTCGATTTCTTGTCAGTCATTTCATTGGTCGGTCAAAGTTCGCGAAAGGTCGTTCTGACGTGACCCGTAATGGGATATCCTCAGATCTTTGTTTTGCGGTAGCGAAAACTAAGATCTGATTTTAATGAGATTGAGACTTTCACTTTTGAACTTTTGGTCGTATCACAAATGAGCATTTCATCTATTGTGAGATGGTTCATTTTATGATTGCTGAGGACATGATAAACGTGTGTTGTTTCCAGAGGTGATCCTAATATTACCCACAGTTGGTGTACAACTGAAGACGGAGTACATGCTGGGATTGAAGTGCACCAAGTTCATAGATCTCTCGCACATCCGGGACATCATCATCAATGAAGCTATCACTATGGTACGTTGTCTTCAAGTTCACTTTGTCAGTTTACAATCACATCACAATATGCAATTTGTGAAATTTTGTTGCAAGACATGTGACACAGCCTAGCAACAGGGTTGCTGGGGTCATCAATGTTCATAAGCTCCTCTCGGTGATTTATCATCTCTACACGTTTGTTAGTGAAACTTGTTACCACAGTACATAAGCACATGCTTGTTTGTTTGTTTGTTTGTTTAACTCCGCACTTAGCAATATTCCAGCTACCGGTATATGACGGCGATCTGTAAATAATTGAGTCTAGATCAGACAATCCAGTGACTGATATCATGAGCATCTATCCACACAATTGGGATACGATGACATGCATCAACTAAGTCAGCGAGCCTGACCACACAAGATTGGGTTGCTGAAGACCTATTCTAAACCAGATCTTTATGAGTCGTTTTGGTATTATGCACAGTATAATAGCAGCTTATTTTATTAAAGGGTTGATCTCTTCACGAGCGTGCTATTAAGTTATTTATGATGTTAATTCATTATTGTTTTTTGGTGTTACAGAATTAGATGCAAATGAATCATAGTGTTACATAGCTGTGCTAAATCTGGCAAAATCAGGAACAAAAGTTTATGATGCTTTGTATGATTAAAAATATGCTTATTTTGAACTTAATTTTGTTTAAGATAACTATTTCAAGCATCCTTTTTAGGAAATAAACTCCAAGCCCCTGTCAATATTTTCATTGTTTATTTTTATCCTATATTTTGTCGCATTAACTGGGAAAGTCTGTACAAAGAGATCTATTGGTTTACAGTTTTGTTAAAACTTTTATTTTATGAGGTCCTGTTCAGCATGTTCTGACAATTAATGGATCATATTTGTCAATTTTCTATTTTGCCTTTCATCTTTCAGTGTTTAGATATAAAGAATCTGTAATTGTCTCTCTGATCAGTTTTGAGGACCATGAAATAGAAATTAACTACTGCCCCTGGTCACCCTAAGCATATTCTCCTACCTCCCCCACCCGACACACCAGGGTCATTAGTTAATTTCTATTGTCACTGGTCCTGGTCCCATTTATTCAATGGTAAAGATGATAGTTACTAATGACTCTAATTCTGAATGTAGGCCAGACTGCCGGACACACACACACACACACACCACACCACACCACACCACACTCCTCAAGTTTGTTCATGACCCTGGCCAGTTCTAAGCCCACCCATCATATTGGTGACCCTAACTACTCCTTAGTGCATTCCATACTACTTACAATACACAGGATTCCAGGTAAGAACATAGGTCCCCAACCTGTGCTGGTTGTAAGAGATGAATGAATTAATGGTTAGGCTCAGTGACTTGGTGACATGGTTGATTGCCTGTCACCGTATCCTAATTGCATGGATCGTTGTCCATGATACTGGATTATCTTGTCCATACTCGATTATTTACAGACCTCCGTCATATAGCTGGCATATTGGCAGCGTTAAACTTCCAATATTGAATTTTCTACTTGTTTGTATTTTGTTCCAGCAAAGTGTCATCAGTTATCTTGCTGTTTTACTGAAGGAAGAAAAATCCGGAAAGTTAAAAACTTTGTATCCATTATTTTCGGTAAGTTGACTACATTCATGGGAGACACAATGACTAGACTGAATGTATCTACATAGGATTCAGCCTGGAGTACTGGCTAACTGGACCAACTGGTCTGGGGATGACGGCATGGGTTCACCCTAATGATCACCCACATTCTGTGAGCACCGTTACCTCACCAGAGATAAACATTTACAAAAACTTGGGATATCCAATTAAGAGGTTGCTGGGGTAGCCTAGTCATCAATGTGTTTGCTCATCATGCTGAAGGGCCAGGTTCAATTTCCAATATGAGTACAATGTATGACACCCATTTCTGGTTGTTTCACAATTTTATTTCCCGAGAAATAAGTGGTGTTGGTTCTTGCTGGCTCAACTTCCAATCATATTTCAGAGTATTGCATTTTTCTGTTGGAACTTCACCATACAAGTAAACATCTTTTTTTCCTGTTTTGCCAACCTCTTACACGTTTAAGTGAAAATATATGACTTTGTAGGAATGGTCACTGTTAGTTCATTACTGAAAACTAAACAATCAAATTCTCCTGGTCAGATATGGTTTATTGCAATCATAAATGTTGTCAGTATTCAAGAAAAGACTTGAGTAGTATACAGAATTATGTCTTTATATCCAATATACAGTCAGTATCTCTTTCACACTTCAACACCCTTCTTGAGATTCTACTGGCAATACAATGCATTGTTATACACACTTAATGATAGATACCTTAAATATTCTGCTTTTACAAACATTCAATATGCATCAACATTTCCTGGGCACTGGCTAGAAGTATTATTCAATAACTTTAAATCATCTTTCAGTATGGAAAATGTTTCCATGTTTTTCACAACATATCTTGTATGCAGACTTTTCTCAAATATGAATCATCAAATTAATCACTTCACAATACAGTCAAGCCTGTAAATACATATGAACATGAATATCATGATATGTTAACTATTAATTTGTAGTTTGATGTTTGTTAAAGTTAATGTATGTGCCAGTGTGACCAGCATCTGTAGCTCCACTTGCTCCTTGAATCAGATCTGTAGGAGGCTAGACCACTTTGTAGTTGAACTTCAATTACTTTATAGAGTGTTGACACCACTTTGAACAGTATTTTAGTTACATCACTCCATGTCTTGTTTCATCATCATGTTGACCAGGAAGGACAGTGATGTGATGCAGGTCTTAAATGTTCACCACTAAACCAAGAATCATATTCATAATTATCATAGGTCACATTTGGGATTCAAACCCAAAACCATATTCTTCTGGCCAGCCCCAGGGACCACCTCTGTCTGTGGTGAAGCGCAGCACCTCAGGTTACTATGCCAACCATACCACCTGTAGCCCAGCAGAGGGAATACAGATAATGAACTGAATGTGACATATATGTGTATCTTTAATATTACACTCTTCAGTAGTAACCTTGTAACAAACCAGGGATTTACCTGGGGTATTTATTTTGGGGGTCCAGGGAACTCACAACCTTTAATTACAGTACCAGTTAGAAAACATGGGATTCCCATTGAATTGACAAATATTGAACATAACAATCTTATTTCAAACAAAGCAGCTTAATTCCTTGCTTGTTCTCGTCTTATTTAATATGTAAATTATAATTTGATGTACAAGTTGAGACTCATGATTGTCTGAACTTTAAGACATACTTGAACTTTCGCAGCCAAAAAACCATTTACAACACTTCTTGTTCTGCCAATGCCATGCTTTGATGCACACACTTCACCCCTATCATCAATAGGTACTCTAGTTCAAATAATATATAAACTTGTGCATGCTGAAAGAGGAAATTGATCTTGTAAGACAAGTGGCGGCATATTATGAAATCGCAGCATAAACATGCATACAAATTTTCTGCGTCCAAGTGGATGCACTCTGCATTTCTGTAGCATCCATGTTTACGAGTCAAGGACCCAAGATTTTGCATCCAGCAAATTGGACACTTCAAGATTAAGTTTGGAGAGGTGAACAACAATAACAGATGCTAAAAGACTGGAACTAGGAAAACACCCAAAAACATTAAACTAATAAACATGGATAATTCAAATCTGTGGATCTTATTGCATTTCATCACCACATTAAACATGTTAAAACACTTGAGCTAGAAGTTGGACGTTCTAGAAGGCACAATTTGTATAATCATTGAGTAAACCATGTCATATTTTGTACTTAATCGCATTTCTAGATATAGAAGCCCTGCCTATGCATACTTTGTGTGCGTAATAACTTGATGCAAAATTATGTAACAAGACAATACACTTTGTAACCCTTTTACACACTTATAATCAATTTTTGATATTTAGCATTGCTCTAATTTTGGAAGGTAAAGATTTGGAGGGGCCCTTGATTCAAATACTATAGGTGCAAACCTACAGGACACCCCCGCACCCCTAATTTCAAACTCTGCCTACTTCATTGTTACCCAGTACATTGTCCTTGATTGATATTATTCACATGCTGATCTGTCCTCTTATCTGTATGTATATTCTTCCACAAAATACTCCATTCACATCCAAAGCTGTGGATAAAAACAACTTATTTCTAAATAAAACGAGACAAACAAATGCCCTTTTATCACCTCTCAAGTACACCTGCATTCATATTTCAGTAAATGATTAACGAGAGCGGTTCCTTACCAAACTGATCAATATCATCTTCCCGAGGCAAGGGAGTTAACTGACCATAAAAGTCCAGTTTCCATCCTTTGCCGAACAAGATTGAAATTTCTGGGCTCAATCGCAGTACCACCAGTGCCTATTACATTTTTTTTCTCTTCTATGTCCCCTCTATTGAGGATTCAGATTCCAACTCTTTTATCACTTGCATTTGCTTCAAACAAAATGGTGGTGCCCAGTCAAGACAATCTGATCAATAATCAAAATCTATATTGTGATAAAATGGGTCTTAATGCACAAAGTGCATCAAGTCAGGCGAGCACTTGCGTAAAAACTTGAGTAGATTGGGAAATATCTGCTGACATCAAGTTGACGGTACACATGCTTTGCAAATTCTGCAACCGACTGAAATCTGCATGGCAGTTTACCAACCAGATGTCAATTTCGTTATGCGATGTTGATTGGACTATGCATAGACTCGTTAGTCCAGCCAAAATAAAACTCCATAAGCCCAGCCTAGTCTGGCAAGGATGGAAACTGGACTTTTATGGTCATTTAAGTCCCTTCCCTCCGGAAAATGATCAATATTTAAGACACCCTATAACAAATGGAAAAACTCATGTCCCTTTTCATTATGCCAAAAATTAGCATAAGATAGTATTGGAGTTGTCCATGGCTGCAACAAAATATATCCCGATTACGATCAACTTGTATGTATATATGTATCCTACTGTAAATAAACCCAAACCCAAACAACAGGCTTCTCAAACATGTCAAACAACATGCACAAATTCAACAATCAACAACTATTGTTCAACTGAGAAAGTTCATTTCGCCGTTCATAACGGGCATAGTCCAAAATACTTTGCACCTGCAATATTGTAATATAGTCAATGTTTTTAGACTCCAACCACTGAAGGCCGATCTCAAATGCTTTGACTGCCTCGGCATTGGATGGAATCTTTGACTGGCTGTCCTCCTCATCCTCACTGGGCTCCTGCTCCATGGGTTCAGATGGGACTTCCTGTTCTTCATTCTCAGTAGCACCTATTGTGGAGATATCTGTGGTTGGGAGATTCTCATTGAGGCCGGTCCATTCCTTGATGGTTGCTACGGATGTCTCAATGCCTGCTGCCTCCAGTCTCTCCTGAAACAGCTTCTCAGAATCAGCTTTGTTTCTTCCGCTGGCATCGGTGAGAGGAGTTGATTCTTCATCAGCAGGATCAGAACCACCAGCTAGGGGGTCGAACACCATGGGCAGACACTTATGCCACATCTTTTCGATTGTTCGTGGTTTAATGGCAGACCATGCCTTCTCTCCAATATACATCATCCTCTTCAGTGAAAGGTGACGAAGAAATAGTTTCACATCAGTTTCGGTTGTCACCACCTCCTTGATTAACTCAGTCCTGTAGCTTGACTTAAAGGTGGCCATTAATCCATGGTCTAGGGGCTGAACAACTGAGGTAGTGTCTTTTGGCAAGAAAATGACCTGGATATTCCCATCTGGAGAAACCAGAACATCACCAGATGGATGAGCAGGATTCTCATCTAAGAGCAACACAGCTTTCTCGTCCAATTTCTTTTCTCTCTGATAGTGCCTCACTTCAGGAATAAAACATGTTATAAACCAGTCCATGAAAATTGCAGATGTCATCCAGGCATTGTGGCTACATTTATACCAAAAAGGCAATTTGGATACATTTACATGTTGGAAGCCCCTAGGCGATCTATACTTCCCGACACATAGAGGCTTCAGTTTGTGCTGGCCTGTTTTATTCAAACAGAACAGCATTGTCACCCGGTCTCTGATTCTCTTGCTGTTAGCACAGCTAGGTTCATCTGACGGAACAAGAAAGTTATTGTCTGGAAGAAGTTTGTAGAAAAACCCAGTCTCATCACATGTGTACACTTGTTCATCATTGTAACCACCAGAAAGTAAAAGTTCCCTCACTTTCTGACAGAACTGGTGAACCTTCTCGTCAGCAGCTGACACATCCTGGTTCTTAAGAACTTGATCATATGGGAAATGCAGGATTTCCTCCTTGTATCCCAGTGTTGGCACATTCTTTGCATCGTCTTCATCTGGATCTCTCTGCTTGCCAAGGTTATGACGTTTCTGAAATCTGTACAACCATCCAGCACTAGCTTTGAAATTATTTTCACCATTAATGTCTTTATTTAATTCATCAGCTTTGATCTTCAACATGGCTCCTGTGACATTCATTCCACGTTCCTTCTGCTGCAAGTACCAGCTATGCAGAACTGAATCAAGTAATGTATCTTTTGCTGTCCTGGCTTTCTTTTTCTTAATGTCAACATTGTATGCAAATGTACGCAGTTTGTCCTCATCTTTCATCCAACCTCTAAGTGTAGAATCAGGAATTCCCAGGTCTCTCAGAATCTTTGATCTTGGTTCACCTGCTTTTACTCTTTCAACGGTATTTAGTTTTTCTTTGATAGAGTATGCCTTCCTTTTTAGCTTACGAGGAGAAACATGTAATGGTTTGGGAACCATGGATACATTTTTCAGTACCTCTGCCAGGTCCATTTGTTCCTCTTTGCTCATTGCTGAGAGAGGGTCAGGGGTTGGCACAGCTGCAGTAGAAGATCGTGTTTTTGTTGGTGACATTTTAGCTGCTGAACGAGGGGATGTATTTTTGCGTGATGTTTTACCACCTCCTGAAGGCCTGCCCCTTCTTCCATGTTTTGGACCAACATCTGTTAGTTCATTCGATTTTGCTTGTTTGGTAGGGGGTGGAGCTTGAACTCGGGTCTGAGGCAAAACCTGAGGCTGAGGAGTTATGGGCGGTGTATTCACTACAGCTTGAGCGAGCTGTGCATGATGGGTAGTGATGTGTCCAGTCTGACTATCTATAACTGGTGCATGTGTCACTACTGAGTATGCTGCAACAGAATGAGGAGCATGCAACATAGTGTCTTGTGCATTGATTATTTGCTGATGTCCATCTTGAATAGATATGTTTGGGACCATCTGGATCTGACTTGGAGTCCTAGCAGATATAGTAGTAGGAACAACAACATGGGTTTCTGGTTGGAGTTTACTTGATTCCAAAGCAGCAGATATTATGTTGTTATCACTTTGCATTGTTGCTGCTAACCTATCTTGTTGAAGGGGCACAGAAGTTACTGACCGGACGGATGTCATATGAACTGTAGTAGCCATCATTGTTGATGGGTCAATCATGGTGACGTTATTAGCAGGTGCTGTGGGTGGTGGTGTGTGCCTGATTGGCTCCTCAATTGTTTGGCGGAGCTGTCCTTCTATTGTTTGCCTTATCGGCGCTTCAAGTGTCTGTCTTATTGCTGGGGAGTCAATATTTTGACGAAGGGGTGCTTCCAGGGTGGCCCCACCATAAACTGGTGCAGATGTGTGGTAACTAGTTGGGTAGTTTCTTGGAACAACCTGGGATGCTAATGGCCTGGGTATGCCATCAGGATTTGACACCCCCAAAGTTTGTGGAGGTGCTGCATTGCTCAGTCCCACATATGAGTTCCATGTCATGACAGGCGGTATGTTGGACGGTGCTGCCAAGCTGCTTATCGGAGGCATGGGAGTGTTAACCCCATGTGTGTCATGACTGACACTTGCAGTATGAACTGGAGGCGGGTCGGTCGACATGTTAACTCACAAAATAATACACCGTTTAAAATTATGAAAAAAATCAATGATTGTCTTCATAGGTAACATCTATTTTCAACACATCCCCCACACCTATGGAGCGATCTGTTGGTTGAAAGTTTTCTCACTTGTCAATCGATTTTCTGAATGGAAGCAATTTTATGTCGAGCGGCGACGTTACAACGAGGCTCTCGGGCAGAGGTTGATAACAGTCTCAATTTACCGCTTCATGCATTTTTATACTTCTCACACATCGCAGTTTTGGTTGTAAACCTTCTTCCCAATTTGTTATTTCGATCCATCCATGGGAATAGTTCTTCTTAACTTCTCTTGAAGCCGGACAAATTTTGATACAGATGCGGCCCAAGAAAACTATAACGCCATTTTTGTCATGCGTAATGAGTACTTCCTGTTTTCGCGCGCCGGCTAAATTCAGGGTTACTTCCCTTAGATCACCTGTCACCTCTTATCCATGATTCCTCGGGACTACCGTAAATAACACGCCCTCACCTTGTGCAATGTTAATATTGATGTTGTCTTTTCTTGAAGTAAGTCACAATACCACAGCTTTCATTTCACTGTCACCAAAGGCAGTGAAATAACAAATAAGAACAGCAAAATATAGTTGAACACATGAAAAACACTTGACCACTACCAAGCAGTGTTATCATATGCACAGGGGCTTGTAGCGCAAAAAATAGCAAGACATATATATAATATGGTCACATATATATATATATATATATATATATATATATATATATATATATATATATATATATATATATATATATGGTCACAAACGAGGGCCACAGTACTATATCCATTTATATAGTACTATGTCCACGTTAGTGACAATTTATATCTTGCTGCTATATTTTGCCTAACAAGCCCCTGTGATCATGTGAAATACGGTCTGTTTGAAATAGAAATCAAAACTCTCAGCTCTGAAATAATACCGCTTATTGTATCCGTCATTTTTGTAGGCCCACTAAGGTCTTCTAACCGATTGTTATTACACATTAAATTTACAAGTTTAAAAACATCTTCGAGCAAAATCGCCTTAGCTGTAATGTTAGCTTCTTGTTGCTTTCAGAACTCCAGGTATGGGATGGACTGTCTCACAGCAGTGTATGAGGTCTCGCAAGAAAAGCTCTTCCCTAAACGCACATGACAATGAACCGGATGATGGATGATGCTGCAGAATTGCGTGCATACTAAGTCATCGCGATACGCTGTGCCTTAGTGCGATACAGACGATGCATGCACATATATAGAAACATCTTGAACATGATAAGGAATTGTTGATAATGATTTTGGACGGCATGTGAAAATGCTGGCAAGCTTTTGTTAAATTAACCGACGCAAACAGACCAAACGTGTCTTCACCAGACGAAGTCAGTTGTTCATGTATGGCATCGGAAGTTACTATGGAGATATGTATTCAGTCGCGACCAAGTGTATCTCCACAACCCTACACATAGACGTTCACAATGACTGTGTGAGTGATCTATATTTTACGATGTACTCGACAGTATTTCGGTGACATCAGGGCGTGTCAGAAACAAAATGTGGGAAACAAAGCTCAAAGAGGATCCAGGTATGGGACGTTATGTCTAACAGCGCTTGAGACTACTGGGTAATCGTGCTCCCTTAATAACTATGAGTGAGTTTTGTTTCACGCTGTTGTGAGCATTAATCCAGTAATATGAAAGAGAGAGAGAGAGAGAGATTCACATATGTAGGGAATCGAACCGGGTCTCCGGCGTGAAGAGCCTGTGATGTAACCACTAGGCTATCCAACGCCACAAGTACATTGAATCAGATGGAATATGAAGAGTACTTCTATCTTTTATATTGACAATGGCATCCATAAACATAATTATCAGGGAGGTCCGTATAATTTTTGTGTGGTGATCTGTGTGGGTAAAGTGTCACGGCGTTGTTGTAGTCTTCGTATTTGGCGCCCTTTTTATGTATTTACGTTTTGCACAATACAATATTTTTACACGACCAGTTTGTTTGTTATATAACTTAAGTGAATCACCGTGAATTTTACCCCTTACTTCGAACAATTTCACCAGGAACGGCATCAGAACAATGGAGTTTGTATCAACTCTGTGTGTGTGTGTGTGTGTGTGTGTGTGTGTGTGTATGCTGTGACCTCCTGTGGTAACCTTTCCAGGGGTGAGGTTAAAATGGGGTTCAACATCGCGTTCAAGATTGTAATATTTACATTAGGACGTACATGTATGTATTTTCGCGCGCACTAGCCCGGGACTTATGCCACAGTTTAACATGAATACCCCACTCAGACAGCATACTGGCTCAGGGCCGACCAGTCCTTGTACAACAAACTTGTACAACAAGTACCATCTTTAAACGTCTTTTTGTGTGACGCGGCAGGGGATCGAACCCCCGACCATCCGCTCTCATGGCCAACGCTCTATCCTCTAGACCACAGAGGCAGTCTGTGCAGTAGTGATCAGTGTGTGAGCAACTTGCAAGGTTTGTTAATATTCCGTCAGAGCTTTAGCCCAGCTGGGAATCTGGGTTTGAATAGGCCCCCAGCTACCTATCGCTCTATCCACTCTACACAACAAGAGTTGTACATTGAGTACAATTCATTTAGCAGTATTGCAGCAGTAATATTCCGGGAGACAGATTATTACCAAAATGGGAATCGATTGTCTGCGGCGTGACGAGCGAACATTTGAACCACTAGGCTACTCTGTCATACTACCTGCTCGCGGCCTACCGTCCACAATGAGGCGTATCTGCACGAGATTACACATTCAGTATACAGTCGACGCGTAGACATACACGTTACGGCTGCTCGCTTTATAAAATGTACAGACTAAGTTAGGGATTTGAGGTAAACAAGAAGGGTCCTCACGTATATAAAGACTACAGCTCCTGTATTCTATTTCTTTGTTGTTTAACGCCGCACACATCAATATTCCAGCTATATGACGGCGGTCTGTAAATAATTGAGTCATGAGCATCGATCTACGCAATTTGGATACGATGACATGCATCAAACAAGTTAGCGAGCCTGACCACCCGATCCCGTTAGTCGCCTCTTAGGACAAGCATAGTCGTTCTGGATACTGATGGTTGCGCTATGCTGGCAGACTGACATATAATAAGTAAAGTGATTTCTATTTCACAGCTGTATTTTAGTCGTTCGTAGGTATTAGCAGGAATTTTAGCAAAACAAATTTCCCAAACATGATATGTTTTGAAACCCCACCTCGTGTTTGTTCCAAGACATCACTTCACGCGTGATGAGTCGCATGCTTTTACAAATGTATAATTGTTGGGTTAATCGGAGTTGGGATATGATGACGTTGTATTTAGATCAACTAGCCTCCATGAGTGATAACCCAAACGAACGAATGCTATATTCACTAGCTAGCTTATAAATATAACCCGCCTGCATGCGGGTGTAGTGAGAGAGTTGGGTTTAACGCCGCTCTGTATTCCAGTTATATCACGGTGTATCAGCGTCATGTGGGAGGACAACCCAAAGTGATGCAGGTCTTAGACGGTAACCACTTTGCTGAAACCCCCGAGCACGGATATGGTACTGACAAACCAAGAAACATAATCGGGGAGAACCAGGAGTCGATCTCACAATCACGGGTTTCTGGCGTGCCCAAGGGGCGCAACTCTGCACAGCGAAATGCGGCGCCATAGGCTACAGGTCTACCCGTGCCCCACACGAGAATAGAGGCTACGTACCGTCAATCACATTTACCTGTTCATAGTGATATTCAGAACTCCATTACCAACGTTTAACCTCAGTTTGGGTCAGTAATCTACATATGGTGCTTTAATGGGACCCTGTTTCTATTAGGACCGCCTCCGTTGTCTAGTAGTAGAAGGGAAGGTCGGGGGCCGCGTCATACAAACAGACGTTAAAAGATGGTACTTGTTGTTACCCTGCCTGGCGCTCGGGGGCTAATGGGCTAAAATAAGGACTGGTACCCCGGTCGTCTCGGAGTAAGTATACTGTGTCTGAGCGTGGGATGCATGTTAAACTTCGGCATGGTAGGTATATATATATATATATATATATATATATATATATATATATATATATATATAGTACGGGCTAGTACAAGCATCCCCGCGCACGCACGCACGCACGCACGCACACACGCGCGCATGCACGTCGCTCTATAAGTGCAATAATCTTGAACGCGACGTTGAAACCCATTTCACCTCAACTCTAAAGAATACCAGAGGGGTAGCTTGAAACACGTGGAAAATAAGATACAAGGACCACACTGAGAAGTAAGTTTTCCAATCATACACGAAACTATTTGTTCCACTGATTCGAGAAGCGCCTTCATCCACCATGCTGAATGTTGTCGTCTGCTCAGCTTTCCTAATTCTCCAGGTTGGACAAAGTCAGCAATCATCTGGTAAGTACTACAGAGCCATGCTCCTCATGTCTGAGATTGTTAAGGAACTCTGTGTAGCAGACACACTGTTGACGACAGTGGATGGAATTCATACCACAGCACCCGAAGATGTCATAATGAATATCATAATGAATATTATCTACATTGGATCACAAATACTACCAAACAGAACTTGACCCGTGAAGATGCGGGTTATAATAGGTCTTCAGCAACCCATGCTTGCCGTAAGAAGCGATTATATCATTGTCGTATTTAAAGAGGCGACTAACGGGATCGGGTGGTGAGGCTCGCTGACTTGGTTGATGCATGTTATCGTATCTCAATTGCGTGGATCGATGCTCATAATATCAATCACGGGATTGTCTGGTCCAGACTCGATTATTTACAGACCGCCATCATATAGCTGGAATAACGCTGAATGCGGCGTCCTAATGCGCGTGCGTGTGCGTGTGCATGTGCATGAATGTGTAAACGTGACGTATCACCAGGTATATTTTGAATTTCTATGTGTGATGGCAGTCGTGTAATTCAAATACAAATAGTGGAATGAAGGTAGTATGTAGTGTGTATGTGTTCGCTCTCATTCTTTACGCCTGTTGACGACTTTCAGAAAAGAATGTGTACTCTGTACTTCAACACCATTATCTGGATGCAGACCCAAGTGGATTTTTCATGTAGACATTTTTTCTATCAGGTTAATAAACAATTACTTCCAGCTTCCAACGCACCGTCCCATCGGGTTTGTTCAAACGAACTCGAACAATCGCGAGGCAATCTCACGTTTAGGGTTAATAAAACGCACCAAGGGAAATAACTCGTGTAAGCATTATTACTGTCCTCTCCCATGAGGGCTGTCCACACTTCTCGTAATGCAATTAAATGTAATGCTGACCGAGTGATATTGAGGGCACCGACGTTGTCTGAATGTCTGATAGGCTGTCATATGCCGATATAAAGAGGTGTAAATATCACATTACTGCGCGTGGTGATATCATTATGAGGGGGCGTATCAAAAGTCAGAGGTATATTATCATTATTATTCCACTTGCGGTACATACCGCTTAAACACAATGTGTAAGTTCGGAACCAATGGCGCAGGGCTAGGGTTATGTGTCGTTTTACCATTATGATGCGTTAAGTCCATTTTCCCTCAAGTTCGTCATTCTTCGGAACGACCCCTGCACGCTCTAGACGATTCGATTCGGACGAAATGGGGGCGAACCTCGGCTTAAAGTCTTGCATTGTGAGCGTCACTGCGCCTCGAACTTGAAAGTCCTTGAAGAGGGCGCTAACCTATACTTATCATATTTGACTGCTTGAAAAAATATTGAAACATGTGTAGGACAGAATAATGATGATAAATAGAAATTACTCTGAAAATAACATTTCGTATTGTTATTATCAATCTGCATTTAGGGGCGGTCGGGTAGCCTAGTGGTTAAAGCGTTCGCTCGTCACGCCGAAGACCCGGGTTTGATTCCCGACATGGGTACAATCTATGAAGCCCATTGCTGGTGTCCCCCGCCGTGATATTGCTGGACTATTGCTAAAAGCGGCGTAAACCATACTCACTCACTCAATCTGCATTTATCAATTTGAAATTTTATACAGTTGATAATAATTGATAATTTCAGCATATTTGCAACTGTCTATGATGTTATGATGCTATCGTAGTTAATCAGTTGTTAAAATCCTCGATCTGCGTCTCTACCATCCAAAGGTGTCATCTTAAACAGGTTTTGATAAAAGGCAATGCTGTACATTGAATTCTTAAGTTAAAAATCATAATTGTATATGAGCTTCTTTGGTACTCCGGTGTAGAATAGATAGCATTTACTAAACGCTTGACGTAAGAGCCGACTGAAATGAGGATGGGGTGGTTACAATGTGTGACCTGGCCTCTCTGTGTGTCGTAATGTTTGACGTAATTAATATAGCAGTATTTCCAATATTACCAGTGAGGGTAGCCCGCAAGTTTTTTGTCGTCCGACAATGCATGCACGTGAATCACATGACGACCCAACCTGCTTGTACTAAAATAAAACCGTGGAGATCCGGGTAGAGAATAGGCAACCCATGATTGCCGTAAGGGGCGACTAACGGGATCGGGTGGTCAGGCTCGTTGACTTGGTTGATGGTTGATGCATGTCATCGTATCCCAATTGCGAAGATCGATACTCATGGTGTCAATCATTAAATTGTCTGGTTCAGACTCGATTATTTACAGATCGCCGCCATACAGTTGGACTATTGCTGAGGGCGGCGTTAAACAACAAACAAACAAGTATTAAAATAACAAATGCCAGGATTCAACCTCAATTGATTTATTGCATGATGAACAACAAAATAACCACACTTTGCGTGCATATTATGCAGAGCTTTAAAAGAAAAAATAACAATACGATTGATAGCTCAACAAATGGCCGAGCAGAACCAGTGTATCACTTGCTCATAGATATCTACACTTGTGCATTGCAAATAGCGTATGTAGATTAAACTAAGCCATGATAACCAGCATACACAACTTATTCTTGGTCTTGGAAACAAATTATCACCACATACATGCAGGAATTGAAGTGATGGATCATATTAACAGAACAGAATACCTTGTGATGACAAACTCTTCATACACTGGTTTGAAGCTGGAAGCAGCCAATTAATTAAGGGCAAACAAAACTGTAATATGATGTTATTCCTGAACAGTTCAAATATGCTTGACAAATATCAAGGAATAATCGATTTCGCGAAGCACATATATCCTTTGCGGGATAGTTACATAACTAAAGCCCATCACTTTACATATATAATATTACAACGTGTTTACACAGTTATTGTTTACCTTTGAATGTTTATAATCAAGCCATCTAACATGTAGTGAAAGGTTAAACGCCACCAATTATTCCTTTCACATATCACCACTAATAATAATAATAATAATAATAATAATAATAACAAGCATGAAATACTCACATCCCCCGCCAATATGACATGTCGGGTGTGTGCAATGCATTAGCTCCTTTGAACTATGTTCACTGGGCCTTTTTGAAAAGAAATATAGTACGGTTTTCAAGATCTGCTCCGGAAACGAGGACTACCTCCATTTTCAGTCTAAATCGAAGTCGTTGCCATGGAAACTACAAAAATAACTTTTAAAAATCCCAAACTATCAAAAGGCACCAGTTCACCACTAGATCTATCTATGTGCCAAGTATGACGAAGAAATATGGTACGGTTTTCAAGATCTGCTCCGGAAACGAGGACTACCGCCATTTTCAGTCTAAATCAAAGTTGTTGCCATGGAAACTACAAAAATAACTTTTAAAAATCCCAAACTATCAAAAGGCACCAGTTCACCACTAGATCTATCTATGTGCCAAGTTTGGTGAAGAAATATGATACGGTTTTCAAGATCTGCTCCGGAAACGAAATGTGACGGCCGGACGGAAGGACGGACGGACACCACCCATTCCTATATCCCCCTGCCACTTCGTGGCGGGGGATAATAATTGTTAAATAAGGATGACGAGATTCCAGAGAATATATATGAACATGAGTGTATACTCTTCTTAAGGCAGCGTGTAATAAGTGTTTGTTGCGCGTAAATCTGAATAAATAGGTGAACATTTTTATGAAGATTGTTCCAGCTCCGTTAATAGGTGTTATTAAACTAGAGTATCATCACGTAAAATATTGCACTTGATATCATTCGAGAGCACTCGTGTCATTCCGGGACAAGCCGGATGGCGATTAGGAAGGTTACGGAAAGAGACGAGCGGTGACGAATGAACCGATATAACCTGGTTAACCATCCCAAATATACACGGAATGAAAGATGATCTTGATTCAGATGTTGTTTACATGAGTTAGGGTGTGTTATAGAAACCTCTGGTGAACTATAGAGAATGTCACCCAGTGTCGTTTGATATCAATAATATCAACACGATTAAGCTCCGATGCTTGCTATTTATCGATGAGATTTGATATACTTGATATCAAGACACGAGAGTGAGATTCTATTTAATAACTTTTTCGGTTGCAAACAGTAACATGTGTCTTGAGTGTAAACAGTACAGCTAACCAGCTTCAGCGACAGAGGGATTAGTGATGTCATTTGATATTTACGTCATGTTAAACGATGACGTCACAAGGGTTTACAAAGCATTGTGATGCAATTTATTTGTAGCGATATCTAGGATATCTCCCGTGGAAGCCAGTTTGGTATGATAAACAATCGCCCTTGACTCATCTATACAAAATGCTGTCTTGGTTCGCAATGGAATATCCCACATGTGAACCCGAAGGGCTTATAATATAAAATATTCCAAAAATACCTTGGATACCAACGGATGATATTGTAAAGCAAAGAGACATTATTTCCCGAATCACCTACAACAGACAATGAATTGAGGCTTTTTCATTGCTTAGTTTACGGATTTACAACACAGCATGACTGTGGTCGAAATAAAAGGAACATGCAATTGCAAAACGGATTGTGGTATCAAACGGATGCAGATCGGTTCATTTTCTTGGACAGTGACCGATTTTTATTGACAACTTTTCTCTCTCTAAATTTTGTAATGAAAAAGATCACAATGAATTTGTTCCACTACTACCTTTTTCTTGCAACATCAATGCAGGGTAAATGATCGTCCGATCTTTAAACCAAGAAATGAAAGTCGCCTAAAGAGCTCAACCAAATACTCTTCCATCAGGAACTTCCATAGTATCTTCAGTAGCGATTCCAGGCACAACCATGCACGTCTCCATCGTGGAATGTGTAGACATTAAATAGCACTAACAGGCACGCCTGAACCTCGCCCTCCCCAGTGTTAAACGCACTCGGGGGCTCGGTTCAGGGTGTTTTCTAATGGTAACAATTAAGGCTTGTAGACTTTCAGGGCAAAGCTCTATTCATGACTACAATGCTACGCTAATGACGTCACAGTAGTTTAGTACTCGTGATGTCGACATAGGTACAGCCGTCTGGCACGTTGCATTCGTACTCGATGTTGTGAAGGGGTTGCCCCCAATGGCAGTGTTGTGTTTCCTCCTCAGGGTAGAACTTACATTGTAGTGCCAACTTCATATACACGCCGTTAGACATCTACAACATAGGGAATATTCTCAATTTTGGAAAAATCGAGTTTCAACGTGAAAAGGGTAGTGCAGTGCAACTTGCTTTGCAGAGTTATAACAAATGCAGAGTTGCGTCCCTTTGACGACAGGACTTTGACTTAGAATTTGACAATATCACAGAAAGTTGTATTCCCAGACAAAGTATACACTATCTAGGATAAACCTAAAACGATTTTCAAAACGCAGCCCATAAAATAACTATACACGTGGAATCGCTCAACCTAACGGCTTTTAACCTATTTGGGTAAACATTTAAACAATCTCATATGTTGGTGGGAATATAAGAGAACAAAGAAATCGTTTATTGCTGTTTTAAACCAAAGTTTCGAATGAACCATATAAGTCATTTCCAAACTAACTTTCATGTCAACCGCCTACCCACCACCCATCCATGGGCGTTGGGGCAGTGGAGAGGACTGGATTATTTTGAAGTGTTTTTTTCTGCAAGTAGATTACAGGCTTTACACATATCAAATAACTGTTCAGTGGACTTGATGGATATCCTGGGGAAGAGTGTGTCTTGACGCAGTGACAGTGAAAACACCCACCTCCCTATGCGCACGCATACGCACACCTAACATGCTCAATGATCAGTCCCTTTTAACCGTTCCCTTACTTCTTTTCATGAGTATATATATAATCCGAGTCGGGTATACCTCCAGCACGACCGGGAGCTCCTTCCTCTCGGCGCTCTTGCTCTGTTCGAAGCCGACAGTGACCCAGCTGGCCTGGTACTTGCAGCTGTCGTCATCGTCGCGTTCTGGCTTCACCTGGTTCAACCCCAGGTTTTCACCCTGGATCTGCAGTCGCCTGTACCCAGAAACATAGCAAAGTGGGTATTAAGGTAAGATAAAATGATCACATTGAGATTTGAATTCAATCAATGTTTCATAACAAGGTAGTGTTTTAAACACGCTAGGGTGATTTCCCTTTCGATAACATTCGTAAATATATATCTACATTTGAATGAAACTGTATTGAACGCATTCATGTTTGGTGTTATATGATCGGGACAAATGGCAGCCCTATCAAGTTTGGTCCCTATAGTTGAAACCCACTTTACACTACGTGCAACGTTTATACCTGGACTGGACACTGACAATGGGCAGTGAGATATAGTCTCCCTGTCACAACAACGCGGCAATTGGCAAAGTGTTCACCTGCGCTATGAGGTTTATCTTACGAAAATGACCGCTCCAATTTGTATTCTTCACAATTAACAGCATCGACGACGGTTTCTTGTAAGGAATGGTATCGGAGTGCTTCAACATGCAGGTAAACATTGGCGTGATGTTCTCAAAGATTGTTAGTTGTAACGCAGCACACGCTGATCAATACTGGGCTTTGGGCTTTTTCAAGACAGAAGAGCTGCATGGTTCCCTGAGTATGCTGCGCTGGCGCTACAGGAGCATACGCAGAGAACGAGGCTGGACTGAAGAGATCCTTGCCTGCGGCCAGGTGCCCAGTCTAGGTCCAAGTGAGGCATTACTGCCTTGTTTGAACCCAGACGCCGAGATAGTCTGTGGATATGTGGATAACTCATTACCCGCTTGACTGATAAATATAATAAAATGTCAGAATACATGGCGGTGTTCGAGTGACTTAAAAGAACTAGGACACTGTCAGCGGACATGAGTACAGCCTCTCATCGAAATCAATACACGGTCCAAGATACTATAACAGAAGCTTTACTATAGATAGGGGTTTAAAGGTCATAACTGCCTAGCCTGTATTCTTCAGTATACTGTATCTAAGTGACAACATTAACAGGGGTTGTACTGTTGTATTGCGTGTGTACTACATGTGAGTATACATCTGATTACCCTGGTTTGTGAATTTGAAATATGATATACCTTACCAAGGTAGAATAACTGTTTATTTGTTGTTTTCGCCGCAGTTAGTAACGTTCCAGCTATATCACTGTAAATAAATCACAGTGTCTGATAAAATGAGCAACGTGAGCAAGGTCCCACTCCGTCGGCTAAGATGACATGCAATCAACTGTTACATATAAGTCACCGAGCTTCTAAGTCGCTTCTTACGACAAACAATAAAGTGCTAGGGATCTAACCGGCTCCACACAACCTTAACTGCTGTCCTCACACATTGAAACTGTGGCAACCTGTGCTTGATAAAAGCTATTCTTGCTTTCACGAGACTTCCAGATTTACACCTTACCACAGCCCCCTCACCATTATGTTTAAAAATTCCGACTTTTAAATGCGTGTATAAGACAATTTGTTGTGGTTTATCTCATTAGGACAAGCATATCTCATGAAAAAACACTTCGATAAACATTTCTGGGGTAACGTTTGGTAATATTATGGTGGGAGATATATACACCCTGCAGCGTCTAAACTGACGGTTGTAACCACCACAATAGTATCTTACTTCAGACACGACAAATCTCCAAAACATAGAGACCCGTGAAGATCCGGCGTAGAATAGGTCTTCAGCAACCCATGCTTGTCGTAAATGGCGACTATGCTTGTCGTCAGAGGCAACCAACGGGATCGGGTGGTCAGGCTCGCTGACTTGGTTGATGCATGGCATCGTATCCCAATTGCGTGGATCGATGCTCATGATATCAATCACTGGATTATCTAGTCCAGACTCGATTATTTACAGACCGCCGTCATATAGCTGGAATATTGCAGAGTGCGGCGTAAAACAACAAACCCACCAAAGCATAGAAGCCGTTTGATCAAGGAACACGTCTGTCACGAACATGTGCCGCTTAGTCACATTTAAGTCTGTTACAGAGGGGAACAAACTAGTGCGATTAGTCAACTACACGCACGTCAGCTTACAACACATGTTCCATCGGCAACGTTATACATGTAATTATATTTATATATGATAATTGTTTATGCGCCTCATGTCACCTGCTAGCGATGAAATATGGATAATATGGTTCTGTAGCTTAGCGAGAGTGACTGTACATTCGCTGTCTCATGGTTCTGCATATAATTTTAGGTCCCTAGTTGCCACGTGGTGACAGGTGTGTCAGAAACCAACGATCGTCATTTTGAATCCCAGATGATTACGTTTCTTAGTGTGTCATAACAATACCCGAGCTCGTGGGTTTGATATGAGCGGTAAACGTTAAGACCGCTATCACGTGGGGCTTTCCTTACACATCTATAGATATACCCGCGACATGACAGAAAAAACTGTTCAAACGACCTTAAACCAATCCCACCAACTCAATGTATTCATGGTGCCCCGTCCTTCAGTGACCATCGTTTAAAATATGTCAACTGACACGAAGACCATTTAGTGTAGAACAGAAACGACAATTCCACCTTTCATTGCTCCAACAGATGAGGTCTCAGACACTGCCGTGTCTCAAGATACAGCCCTGAAGCGTGTACTGTGGATCTTGACTGAAGCCAGTGCCAACGAGTAGTTGATTGCTGTGGCACATGAAATCAATTTGTCCTAAAAATACACTTGCAGCTATGGAGATCATCTTGGGACGCTGGTCCTACGTGTGTGTGTCCCAAATCAATTACGGCCTAAAAATACACGATTCACTTAGTGTTATGAAGTGAGTGAGTGACAAATACGCCGCATTTCCCAAAACTGCATTCAGTCACAAACCATTTCTGAATAGGAAGTACATGCATAATTAATGTATCGACAACAACTTTCGTATCAAACATTCAAAACCAAAAACGGACATTTTTACTTCCTGCTGCAAAGTGCCCATCTTCCGATTTCGGTTTCATTCCAATTCATTATAAGGAAGACAGACCCAACAGAATACGATCCATGTCGACATAGGAATGGATTGTGCAGCCTCCGTACTATCTCATAGTCTTAACCCACTCTTCACAGAGACAGGGGTTACATGTGATCTGCTTCTACATCCAACATTAACGCTGTTTCGACAATGTATAGGTGTAGCGTGACACTGCCTCCCGACAGGAGCATTACATCGAGTGTTAACGTATGACAACACTATAACTATCTCACTGGTGATGTGTGTTCAACAAAACTACGGGGGCACGGGTGGCCCAGTCGTCTTAGGCGCCGCGATTCGCTGTGCAGAGTTGCGTCCCTTGGGCACGCCAGAAACCTATGATTGTGGGTTCGAATCCCGGTTCGCCCCGATTATGTTTCTAGGTTTGACAGCACCATACCCGTGCTCGTGGGTTTCACCAAAGTGGTAAATGTCTAAGACCTGCATCACTTCAGGCTTTCCTCCAACACTAAGCTGACACGCCGCGATATAACTGGAATACTGTTAAAAGCGGCGTTAAACCCGACTCACTCACTCAACAAAATTGCATGACTACCAGCACAAATCGACACATATAAAATGCATCCCCGCTGTTCCCGTGCCTGTAGCTTGTTTATATGAGGTTTAGAAATGATGACAATAGTTCAGAAGCCATTGTTAATTGATTTGACTCAAGTTAAAAACAATCATTGACCCGTGAAGATCCGGGGTGGAATAAGTCTTCAGCAACCCATGATAGCCGTAAAAGGCGACTATGTTTGTCGTAAGAAGCGACTAACGGGATCGGGTGGTCAGGCTCGCTGACTTGGTTGATGCATGGCATGGTATCCCAATTGCGTGGATCGATGCTCATGATATCAATCACTGGATTGTCTGGTCCAGACTCAATTGTTTAGACCGCCGCCATATAGCTGGAATATTACTGAGTGCGGCGTTAAACAACAAACAAACAAACAATCTTTAAGTAGGGTCTACATTTTTTCCCTACGCTCCTCTTCACAAGTGTGAATTCATTTCTTCAGATATATCGTGACTTAACTATAGATTTATACGCATTGTGCAAATCTGACGCAGAGACAGCAACATTCTTTACTGTCACACGTCTTCGGATAATACGACGATTGGCACAGTGGTTTAAGGGCTTGTACTTCACGCGGAGCAACTCGGTTCGTTTCCCCAATATGTGATCACCATCCTGGTGACACGGCCATGTTAATTCTGTGATGCTGCCAAATGCGACGTTCGTTCCTCTAATCGATTAATCTACATATTTATAGAATTGCCGGTGACTATGGTGTGGACATTACTTTACATGGGACCAGCACATGTACTTCATAATACTGAAATCTGACTAACAATGTAATATGTTACATTAAATGGAAGCTTCTCCGGTCTACAAACTATAAATACTTGTGTGTTCTCTTGCACAGGCTGTTTCGCAGAACAGTAGCCTTTGCTAATATAACCCACAATTTATAATAATAAAGCATCTATTAATCATGAGTACATAAAATAAATAAAGTTTTCGTAATTAATGTTTTGACTGAACATTTCACTTGTTAATGAACACCAGATGCGTATTCAAGGACATCTGTTGTTTCTGTCTAACGAATTTCATTTACATTTAAACAACATTCTAAACTAGAACAGCTGTGTCATGACGTTACACCATTGTCGTGCCTTTGACCTGATCAGAGTTTCAGAAAGTCTGATGGCTAAGTGATGTACTTAGGATCCATGCCCTGTGACAAACATTGGCCACATACAGTAAACTACGGTTATAACGTACACGCTTATAACGAACTAACGGATATAACGAACTTATTTTTTGGTCCCGACTATTTGCTGTAGTTATGTTGTATATATGCTTATAACGAACTACGGTTATAACGAACTAAAATTAGTAGTCCCTTTGAGTTCGTTATAACCGTTGTTTACTGTATACGAATTGATTGAGTGTAGCCACCACTTTAACCCTTTAGTTATATCACTGCGGGCCGGGTGAATGTGTGAAGAAAACCAGAAAGTCCTAGATAAGACGTTAAGCAAACGAAGAAGCCAGCGTGTGATCAGGGAGAATGTATAGAATTCGAAATCACGATTAGCTAGTGATGACAGATATAAGGGATGTTTCGTTCTGATTTCAACATTGGTACAATGTGTGAAAGCCCATTTCATGAATATTGCTCAAACGCAGCGTTAAACCCAATTCACACACTCACTCAGATTATAGAACGAATTTGTTAAAGAATTATTTGCATAAATTACACAACAAGGGAGTGGATGAGTAAGTGTCTAGCCACATGCACACATTCCATCCATATGCCGGAAGATAATAATAACCAATGGGTAATTTATTCAATATATCCCATTCAAAAGCCGGTTCTGTTTAGCCTGTCAAGCGAACCCTTTATCCACGTAGCTACCCAACCGCAACACTTCACAACCATGTCACTGTGCATGGTATAAGCAGGAGTGGAAATATGTGCAGCTGTTGTGATATCCTTTGTAAAACTTTTTATACTTTAAAACAGCCATTTATCGCGTATTCATTACAGAAATGAAAGCGTGTATTAGGTAACATTGTCAACAGGAACCGCTGTGAAGACATTGAGCTCATGCATATTAAATGCATGTGTAGCTCCCATTTATGGTAATACCTCTCTGAAACGAAAGTGTTTGAAAGGGCAAAACGTATATATTTATATTACTTTCTTTTCTTCCTATTTTACATATTGTTGTGAAAATGGGGATGCATTTGCATGAGAAAATTTTGTTTTAAACTTTAACTCAAACACTGTAGCTAATATCAAGTTTGAACCAAATAAATGTTGATATGTCGAGTGAAGATCCATAACCTGGGGGTACGAATAAAAGAAAAAAACACCTTTCCATGTTCATAAGAAATCTCTGCCAAAAACATGAACAACAGCCAGGCAAGAGATCGCAAATACACTATCGTCACTTAACTTGACTCTTAAAAAGACCCGTGAAGGTCCGGGTCATCCCATGCTTGTCGTAAGAGGCGACTAACGGGATCAGGTGGTCAGGCTCGCTGACTTGGTTGATGCATGTCATCGTATCCCAATTGCGGGGTGCTCATGATATCAATCACTGGATTATCTGGTCCAGACTCGAATATTCAAATACTACTAATTTGTATCCTGTATATTGTATCATTAAACGCCCGTGTAGTTGTATATAGGTTCGGCTTTGGCACTTTTGGTAGAAGTGTAGTGGTAGTGGAGACAGCAAGAGGGAAACGTGAAATTGTGTTAACTCTGTTCAATCAGCAATATGCTGTAATGGTACTCGGCGTCGGTTCTACTTACGGATACCCTCGACATGTATTCGAGGGTCACAGGTATTCGAGATAACGAAGTTTCACTGTCGTTAACAGTAGGGGTACCATACTTTAACATAGACTAACGATCGCGTTGTGGTCCATGTTGTATTTGTCTACGGTATCGAAAAACTGCGATGTTTTCAGTTATGATATAAAGCCGAACTTAATACGCCGATACATATCTTCTTACATTAACATTACACATCTTAAGTTCAAGTATCTTGATTCATGCATTACGTCAGAGGGAAACAATACATCAAAGAATTCTATGGTGATTTCCCATCCCTCGGTCATCCCTCTGTACAGCCAAATATCGTGTCGGTATGTCGTTAATATGAACATTACGCCTTTACACATCTCAAGAGAAACAACAATAACCTACAAGAGACAAGTAGGCGGCACTGGTGTCAGAACGTCGACAAACGAGAGTGAAGATGTCATGCAAATGACATATGACAAGCGGTCGTTGATCGAGCAAGCCCCTTGTGTATTCGCGTCAACCTTTGAAGACAAATATTATACATCAACATACCACTCGTGTCACCTAAACAACGAACGGAAGCACAGAGGATATAGTATATACTTACAATAAAGTACGTTGGGGGCGGATCACAACGCTCACCGTGTAGGTTGAGTTGACGTTTAGTTTAATAGTGTTGCAGACGGAAAACCTCTGCCCGTCCTGCTTCTGATACACCGGTTCATCCTTCGGTTGCTTGGTGAACGCCAAGAATACTTTGAAGTTACTCGCCATCACATTCCTTGAGATAATTGATCTATTATCGTAAGTATATTCCGCAGGATCAAGTGTCGTCTGCTATATACCACCTAGGGCTGTTTTCCTCCCTGAGAAGACCTGGATTGCCGGTGGTTATATGAACTCGCTCGGCAAGACGTAATGGCCCGCCAAATGATCAATACCTTTCTCTTCCAGGCTAGTTCTATAGTTGTCAGGACTCATGGCACCACCTCTCTCACTCGGCATCATGTTACAAGCTTCTGCGCATGTCTAGAACAGAGGCCTCGCGACACAATTAGGCCAGTGCGGGCCGACAATCATGGATCATGTGTAGGAAGTACTATGCGTTATTTTCACTAGCTATCTGTGCCGGGGGCGTGACTATTTTTACTGTAATCTAATCGCTGCATAGTTCAGAGGTCACAACCTTCGTAGTCAGAGTGTGTTTATGAATCAACAATGGTATTTTCGTCTTTGGGTATTAATACACACAATACTTGTGTGTTTTATACAACGTTACAGGAGATTTGGATTGTAACATCTAAAGCATTTGAAATTACTATAAAACTTCATCTGCATACACCTTACTCTATGTAGATATTTAAAGAAGTACACACACACCTGTCAATGAATTGTCAACCTGAAATATTAATATCTTGCAAACATTCCATTTTGAAATGTCACACTGATACATGTATTTTGACTGCCTCAAAGTATCCTAAAGTACATATTCGATAACGCTGTCTTTGGATAAATGCAGTTGGAAATTTATTTTAACTGTCGCTATAAATCACTAACCCATTGCTTAGAGCTAGCGCCAAAATAGTATGTGTGTCAATATATGCATAGATGTTATTAATCCTTTGACAGTTCAAACAGGTTTGTATAACATGAGTTTCTTTTCAGCACAACACAATGATACAAACGCCGATTACATTCTCCCAGCAGATAGGACGTGCAGTTTCCCGCGTGGTTATATCTAGTCCGTGTTTGTGAGCGTCAGTGTGAACTTCAAAGGCATAACTGTCAACAACTGAGAGGCCCAACACAATTGGAACAGGAGCCCTATTTCAAGGGTTATGTTGAGTCATTAACTGGGCATTTCCGTACGCAAAACTGTGAAATCTATTGTAATGCCAGTGATATGGGTCAGACAAACAATATAACGCTTGTTTGTATCTAGATTTTGTACTGTTTCAGTCCTAAATAGGCCACAAAGTAGCAGTGATACCATTGAGGATTTCAGAGCAGAACTGGTCCATCTTTACAAAGCTCTTTGCATCATGCCTACTGAGAATCACATGGTCACAAAGTGTGAAATGACTGATTGTGTGTTACCATAATCTGACAATATGAAGGATCGCTCATGCAACCAGCATCCATTTAGATGAACCCACTGGTTCGAGGTTTAGGTAGTTTAACTGAAGATCACTTTTAACTTGGAAACCAGCCCATTCAAATGTATCAATAAGAGGTATCTTATATACAGTTAGACTACCTCAAATTTCACTGTAGGTTTTTAATTTATTCTCCTATGAGGACAACAGCACTTTGGCATGTTAGTTTTGAGGATTAGAATGGAATTAGATACCTGATTTTGACCAATCAGAATCAAGCATTCTTCAGTGTCATGGCAGAATTTTCTTGTACCAGTCTTGATTATTTAAAAGACATCTGATATGACACAATCTGTGCCAAACAACTTTTGAGTCTAATGGAACCGGTCACTTGACATAATTTTTAGAAGGTTGTAGTGTTAATGTGTGAATGGACTGATAATTGCAAAGCTTACTGAAAGTAATTTTAGACTCAAGCTTTTGGACCAGTGGCTGAAGTCACAGACTGCACAAATAATGTTGAAACAACATTCTTGATTTTGCTTGGTTGGTTTGTTGTTTTACGCTGCACTCAGCAATAATCCAGCTATTTGGCGGCGGTCTGTAAATAATCGAATCTGGACCAGACAATCCAGTGATTGATATCATGAGCATCGATCCAAGTCAGCGAGCCTGACCAACCGATCCCTTTAGTCGCCTCTTACGACAAGCATAGTCCCCTTTTACGGCAAGGATGGGTTGCTGAAGACCTATTCTACCCCAGATCTTCACCGGTCAAAACAACATTCACTCAGCCACTCATTATCACTGCTGGTGTTAACATAGTGTACCAATGTGGTTATCTATGTCTGAGTGTTGTCTCGATATTATGATAAGCCAACAAACCAAGTTTCTAATGTGAGTAGCAAGAAGTTGTCCTGTTGACTCATCTCCATGTCTGAAACACCTCCACACAATCAACAAACATAAAACCAAAGAGTTTGTTTTTTTAATATCACTAGGTAGCTTTTTAACAAGATTGTGCTAAAACTTTCTCTCACTTCTAAGTAGTCCTTCTGACATGTTAATACTAAGTCAACATATATTAGTACACACACCAACTCTGGTGGATCAGGAATACTCCAATAAATAAATACACTATACAAAATCATTTAAGGCTTCAAGACTCGGAAGAGTCTGACTACAAATTAAATAATTTCAACAATCCATATTATTTTTAATTGGCGTTCCAATTATAATTCTCTTTAATAAAAAAACAATTTTTACCTGGGGTTCCAGGTACTGCTATTTATTTGATACTAGAATAATAAAGACTGGGCCTGTCTATATGGGTTCATGCAAGAAACAGCTTATGGGCTGTTTACACCAGGGACATTAACATAGTAAACACACAAGATAATTAAATCACTCATATTGCTGATAGTGTAATCACTGATATTGTCAGTTTTCTCTGCTTAATGATGCACCAAGGGTATACCATTTGTCACTTAATTACGATGTCATAAGATGTGTATCCTCACAACTCAAATGAAAGTTATTATCAAGAGAAATTAGATGTATCTTAAAATAAAGCTGAAATTGCCAGCAAATTCCACAACAAAATATGGTGGGTAGCTATCCATATTCACAATCACTACCAAAACAAGGCACACTACAGGCAAAGGGACAGGAGGAGCACAAGGTTCATGTCCCCAGAGGTGACCAACATCTTCCTGAAAGAAGACATGGATGACAACTTCTCTGTTTTTCATCTGGTTTAGGGCTGTTTAATCAGTGACTTCTTTATCTTATCACTGGGAAGTTTCATGGCTGTTTCCTCATAAAATAGAGACAATTTATGGATAACAACTTCTTTACTGTAGAGACGAAGTTTCAGTATAGACCTTTATACTGTTGTCAAACTTTGCCTTCACAGTAAATAAAGAAGTTGTTATCCATAAATTATCTGTATTTTGTCATCCGTCAACTTCTAAGTAATGGCTATCAAACAATTGTTTCTTCATAGTTTTGAAGTCATATCTCATTTCACAACTTATTATATGTTCATTTCAATATGTAAGGGCTATTTATTAATGGATAACATATTTCACTGATGCATACTTCATTATCCTTTCCCTGGGAAAGTTCATGATTATTTCTTTTCTCACCTCACTGGGAAATTGAATGTCTATTATTGATAGACAACGTCTTTACTATGTCCTTGTGATGTTTCAGAGTAATTTCTTAATTGATAACGACTCGTAAAAAGGCACATTTTAACCCTTCTGTAAATTTATAATAATTACACTGTCATCCACAAAAGTACATGCCTTCCTGTTCTTACAGCCCATAAATATCTATCAAAAGACAATTTAAGTTCTCTTCACTTATTAGCAGCTTCCCTTTACTGAAACCCGTTCCTGGACAACCTGGAGGACATGTGAACAATGTGCTCTACTAACAACATAAAGCCTCTTACAAACAAAGAACTGTGCATGTTACTACATGTATAATGTTGAGCAAATCACTTGGAATAAACAGAACACTGATAATCAAAACTTGTGCAAAATAGAGGTCACAGAACCCTGTATGCTTCTGATGATTGAATGCTTCCAGGAATGTGTAGATTGTCCTAATCATTGTGCAACAATTGGCATCATGGCCCCTGGTGGTTCAGTGCTGCTTGAACAGTACATCAGTCAAACAACAGCCTGTCAGTGTATTGTTGGAGAAAAGGCCAGAGTGATCAAGTTGATTGTGGTAATAACACAAAACATGGACATGGGACTAGTATCGACAAACCAAGGATAATAAAAATGGCTAATCTGGGATTCAAACCCAGACTCACCAGATGATGTCACCACAACTCTGCAGGGAAAATATCAGCACCTTTGACCACATGGCCACCATGATCATTTTGAGTGAGTGAGTGAGTGAGCGTGTTGGGTTTAACGTCGCTTTTAACAGTATTCCAGTTATATCACGGCGTGTCAGCTTAATGTGGAAGGAAATCCCAAAGTGATGCGGGTCTCAGACGTTTACCACTTCGGTGAAACCCAGGAGCACGGGAATGGTGCTGACAAACCTAGAAACATAATCGGAACCCACAATCATAGGTTTCTGGCATGGCCAAGGGACGCAACTCTGCACAGCGAATCGCGGCGCCTTAGACGACTGGGCCACCCGTGCCCCCTGGTCATTTTGAAAATCATTAATATGATTAACCTGAATATTATTTGACTACATGCATACATTAAACAGAACACTGCAATGAAAATACATGATAATGAAATAATGTATTCACTTGTAATGTATTCATGATATTCTACAACATTCCAGGAATAACCAATAACGTCGCACTTGCATCACTGACATGTAGCATACAATGAATATGTGTATCCTGGTGCTGACAATCTTTATAATCATTAAACATTTCTTCAACATAAATGTTCATAAAGGCAACAAAAGACAATATGGTGAAAGAAACAAAATAAATATCAACAAGCAACTTAATAAATAAATCATAATTGTCATTTTGTGAAATAAAACATCAATAAGATTTGTTCAAATGTTCAAATATAATTTCTAATATTTCAATACACAGCAACTCGAATTGTAACAACAACAAAAAATTCTGCTAAAATATGACGTAGGCACTACACTCAAAATTGAAATTTTAAACAATTTACTGCCCAAGAGAAACAACTGCTTAACATGTAAATGAAAAAATGACCTATAAACAAATGCACGACATCACTGTTACATGCCTTGAAAATTTTGTATACAAGGCCAAAAAGAATAATGGTCTTGGCTCTCAGGCACTGCCTGTATCATAATAAAGTCTGCCGCACGTTACGTTTTATATTTCCATTTTTGAAATAAAAATTTAAAAAATCCTAATTCTTAAAAACAATGCGATCCACTATAGTACACAGTTACTTCCCTTTCCATGTGCAATGCCAAGCTTCTTCCCAGCGCGTGACACCTTCATTACACTCTCGGTACATGCTTTCTAATGATGAAAAGGTATATATATATATTTAGGTAATTTACTTGAGATGGAGATTGGTCAGGACAATTCAAGGCCTTCTCAAAGTATGTTACCCTTTTTGGGGCAGTGGGTTAGCCTAGTGGTTAAAGCCTTCGCTCGTCACACGAAGGCCTTGGTTCGACTCCCCACATGAGTACAATGTGTGTAGCCCATTTCGGGTGTTCCCCGCAGTGATATTGCTGGAATATTGCTAAAAGCGGCATAAAACCATACTCACTCACAGCCTTTTTATGGCAAAGTTGAATTTTAAGCTTGTGCAAACCCTAAAGAGCTATTTCTACTCTAATACCACACAGACCAATCACCAGTCTTAGATTACATGCTTACTGCGCATCAAAATCTTGAAGAGACAAGCTCTGTGATCCATTGCACAAGCTCTGATCAACATCAACACACAGATGTAGAATGATACAGAAATAACACAAATAGTGCCACAAGACACTTCAGTAACAAGACAAGTCTATAAAAATAATTTCTTTGTTTTCTAAATAAATATTTCACACAGAGCAAATATGTGTGTGTTTGTTGAAATGCTACACTCAGCAATATTCCAGCTATTCTAACCCAGAATCCCCATGGTACGACCAGCATAGATTGCTGGGGACCTATTCTAACCCAGAATCCCAACGGTACGACCAGCATAGATTGCTGGGGACCTATTCTAATCCAGAATCCCCACGGTACGACCAGCATAGATTGCTGGGGACAAATTCTAACCCAGAATCCCAACAGTACGACCAACACAGATTGCTGGGGACCTATTCTAACCCAGAATCCCCATGGTAAGGCCAGCATAGATTGCTGGGGACCTATTCTAACACAGAATCCCCATGGTACGACCAGCATAGATTGCTGGAGACAAATTCTAACCCAGAATCCCCATGGTATGACCAGCACAGATTGCTGGGGACCTATTCTAATCCAGAATCCCCAAGGTACAACCAGCACAGATTGCTGGGGACCTAATCTAATCCAGAATCCCCAAGGTACGACCAGCACAGATTGCTGGGGACCTATTCTAATCCAGAATCCCCAAGGTACAACCAGCATAGATTGCTGGGGACCTATTCTAACCCAGAATCCCCAAGGTACAACCAGCACAGATTGCTGGGGACCTATTCTAATCCAGAATCCTCACGGTACGACCAACATAGATTGCTGGGGACCAATTCTAACCCAGAATCCCAACAGTACAACCAGCATAGATTGCTGGGGACCTATTCTAATCCAGAATCCCCATGGTATGACCAGCACAGATTGCTGGGGACCTATTCTAACCCAGAATCCCCAAGGTACAACCAGCATAGATTGCTGGGGACCTATTCTAACCCAGAATCCCCAAGGTACAACCAGCACAGATTACTGGGGACCTATTCTAACCCAGAATCCCCAAGGTACAACCAGCACAGATTGCTGGGGACCTATTCTAATCCAGAATACCCACGGTACAACCAGCATAGATTGCCGGGGACCTATTCTAATCCAGAATCCCAAAGGTACGACCAGCATAGATTGCTGTGGACCTATTCTAATCCAGAATCCCCAAGGTACAACCAGCACAGATTGCTGGGGACCTATTCTAATCCAGAATCCCCAAGGTACGACCAGCATAGATTGCTGGGGACCTATTCTAATCCAGAATCCCCAAGGTACAACCAGCACAGATTGCTGGGGACCTATTATAACCCAGAATCCCCAAGGTACGACCAGCATAGATTGCTTGGGACCTATTCTAACCCAGAATCCCCAAGGTACGACCAGCATAGATTGCTGGGGACCTATTCTAACCCAGAATCCCCAAGGTACAACCAGCATAGATTGACGAACCCAGCATCACCACTGGGGCATCATGGACATAGGAAACATTTATTTGATGCCAAAATATCAACTATTGAGGAAAACATTTTTTGATGCTTGCTTTGATTACCTCTGCTTCATAACTACACAAGAATGTTTAACAGCTGTCTCAATTTTTACCTGAAATCAAGTGGTACAGTGTATCAGGTATCTGTAACAGACTCAACAAAACAACAGTAGGATACACATCATAGGTTAGAGAATAGAAAGACACGGAGTAATACTCCTGACATCAACAATATTCCACAGAGAGTCTGCAGCAGCAGTTAGGACATTCAGGCAAGTTGGGCGACACTCTTTTAAGTTTTATGGTTTATGGACTCAACTGACAAGAGACAAAGTAGACACAATTTATGGATAACAACTTCTTTATTAACCTTAAAGGCGATGTTTCGGCCACCTTAACAGTAAAGAAGTTGTTATCCATAAATTCTGACCACTTTGTCAACCGTCAACTTCTCAGTAATGCCTATCAAACAATTGACTAGTGACAATACCAAAATCCACAAATTTAGTCATATTTATTCTACCACACTATCTTTAACATGTTTAATGGATTGGAAAACAGCTACAAATATAAGCTGCTAACCCTTAACACTGATGAATGCATTGAATGTTTCTGCCCTCTGCAAACCCATTATCATAAAGGCCTCCTCAAACAGGTACATACAGGTACAGTAGTGTTTTTGTTTGTTTGTTTGTTGTTGTACGCCGCACTCAGCAATATTCCAAACATATGATGGCAGTCTGTAAATAATCGAGTCTGGACCAGACAATCCAGTGATTGATATCATGAGCATCCGTCTGCACAAATAGGATACAATGACATGCAGCAACCAAGTCAGCGAGCCTGACACCAATCCCGTTAGTGGCCTTTTACGGCAAGCATTGGTTGCTGAAAGTACAGTAGTGTAATGTAGATCATACAAGCATCATGCACTCACAACAGGATTATCATTTAGTTTTACGTATAAACCAACCAACGCAAACAAGTTTCTGCCTGACAAAAACATAATAATGAGTTAGGCTAATTTTCTCTTTATATTTTGACCTACTGAAGACAAAAGGTCAGCAGAAAATCAGTAAAACTATGAAAGATTGAAAGGATGCCCTTCCTTCCGCCATCACTATCCAGGTTAATGCACTTAATTCAAACCATTTCTCAGCTTCAAGCAGATCTGAATACCTTGTCCAGACCAGTTTAGTTTTTCAGGATTTCTTTGTAATCATATATTGTTACAACTGATTTCACATTAATTTCCTTAATACAAATCCTTCAAATACACATCTTTCAGAACACTGTAACAAAGACATAAGTTCAATTATGCTCAACCTTCATGTTTCATTTTCTTTTGTAAAATGTGTAGTCATTATTGTTGATCTACCATAGAAAACAACAACAACTATATATGCTGATTTTGTGAACATGTGTTATCTGTGAAAATGATGTGCCGGGTTCTAGAAGTATTTTACCTGGGGACCCATATTTAGCCCAGAATGTATTTTCTGGGGTCAATGGCCCAGGTGACCTTGAGTTATCCAGCATATTCTGTTTGTCTAAGTGTCTTAACACAATTCAAATAGGTGGGTCATGACATCCCTCAAGCACCAGGGATGAAAATATCAGTTGAATTTCTTCTTTGTTGCCGTGTATCTTTCCATATACTGAAAAGAAATGAAAGTATTTGTAAATAAATGCAACAAAACACTTAACATAATAATCATACCGTATTTGACGTAATAAGCGCCCCACTCTTATAAGCGCACACGGCAATATTTGCTTATATATTGGCTAGTGAACAGTCCCAATTAGCAATTCTTCTGATTGATCAATGTACACAAGACTTATTTATTCGCATATAATACACTCTCATGTGTTATATGCATTCTTAATTATGGGCAATTAAATTCTGGAAAAATGTATCTGTCGCATATAAACATTTCAGTGTGTCAGCATAAACCACGAAATTTATCTTTCAACTCTTTTTTCCACCAAAATAATATTCTTATAAGAGCCCCCTATTTCTAATTTTGAGAGTGCCCTGGGCGCTTATTACGTCGAATCCGGTAATAATAAGAAACCTCTGCTGAATGCATAAGCATGTGTTCTTGAATCACCATAAAATGACGATTACACCAGGTGTTTGTCAAATGGTGAACATATCCTGCTCCACCGGTGGGCAATAATACAAAGAAAGTAATTAATATGCACTTCATATGATGTATTTTTAAATGTTAGATGATAAAAAACAATTAATTTATTGTTGGAAAGCCCATTTTCTATATCTCCAGGGCTCGCATTTCGGTAAACCTACACAAACCCTTGAGTCCATTCCTGTGGTTCTTGCGATCTCAAATTACCTTCCCTTAATTTTCATCAAAGTTTTACCTACCCATCGAACGTCGAGATAAGGAAAAAAGGAAATGGGTAAAAGACTTCTCACCGTCAGATTTAATGGTCATGAATAAATCCTTCCTTTAAAAAGAGTTTTAGGGCTTTCTTTTGTTCGTCAGTCAGATTTTCAATGTTGAATTTATCACAAACTCTATCATAATCAATGGGATTGTTGCTATGTTGTTCATATCGCCAGCCCAACATTGAGGCTGCTTTGTATTTTGTATTCTGATTAGTAGGTTAGACAGAGTAGCACAGCAAATCAAAATGGCTGATGAAAATCAAGGTAGAACCATGGGAACAGATCCAGGTGTTAGTGTACATGGTGTACGTTTACCGAAATACGAGACCTGGTGATATAGAGGATGTGAAAACCCAGCATGCATTTCATGAATGCACAAGTGTCTATACCATTTCAAACACTGATTAATGCATCTGAATAACATGTCATAATCTTTCTGAAATCAAGCTTATGTCTACGCATAGAGATGTCGTGGACAGATGTAAGCGAAAAATATAACCTAAGGACAAATATTAGACTCTCACTTGAAATAATCATTGTTATATGCAAATACAAACTTCTCATATCATCATGATCATTATTCAGACTTGTACAGAGCACTTCTGATATATGTGTGATCTATTGGACTGACAGACTTACCTCATCATAACCCTCTAGGTTGTGGAAGGCTTTCATGTCAAACACATTACCATCTATAGCAAACAATGCGATTTTGGAAGTCTTCATTATCTTCGGAGAAAACGCCAAGATCTCCAGACAGTTTTCTTCCAATCGAAGAACCTTAAGGCGAGGGCAGTCAGCTAATGCTTCAGGTAGGCGAGATACCTGCAACAACAGAGCATGGAGATACATTAAAAGAGAGTCCATCATATATTTCATTTTAAGCATTGAATGTCAACTTATTGTAGAAGGAGCTGTGTGGTGATTCCGGGTTAAAAATGGTGCCCACCAGTCAATGGCAATGGATAGTGCAGGGTTAGAAATTGGCACTAGTCCTGTAGCCCTTGCCAAACTGCCCAATAGTAAAGGTATCATAAGGACTAGTAGAAATTTGCCATTTTTAGGGGTTTTGCTATATGTTATCATTATAAGGAATAGTGGACTGAAACTGTTAGTTTCTACCACTGATAGTGTGTCTCGTACCCCATCGGCATGGATCGTTGCGTACAATATTGATCACAAGATTGTCTGGTCTAGACCAATCTCATTAAAATCAGATCTTAGTTCCCGCTATCGCTAAACAAAGATCTGAGGACATCCCATTAAGAGTCACGTCAGACCTTTCATCCGACCAATCAAAGTGTCGCTTACCAGATCATGAAAGTGACAGTCCGAATGTGTTTTCTAATCATGCAACCTCGAAAACACATAACACAGGGTATTCTGAACAACAGTTATGACCTGTACGACTGATTCCGTCAAAATTATCGTCGATCTCACGCTTCCGTGGGATAAACATTTGAACAGAGGAGCCGTTGCAAAGTACGTGGGAAGCACTGCCATACAATCTCAACCATATATTAGATATTCCGAAATGTTAGTTTGTTAAGTTTTCAAAATCTAAATCGAGAACTGTGTCAACATATTTTTCAAGCGTAGTCTGAAATGGAAGTCGCCAGGTTGAAACAAGTGCCGTGAAGCTTGAGAAAGCTGCTTTCTAATTGGCTGATGTCAACTTCTTCAGTCGGTTGGTCAAAGATCGCGAAAGGTCATTCTGACGTGACCTGTAATGGGATGTCCTCAGATCTTTGTTTAAGAACCTAGATCTGATTTTAATGAGATTGGGTCTAGACGTGAATATTTACTGGCCGCCATCATATAGATGGAATACTGATGAGTGTGGCATTAAACAACAACCACACCCTGTTGTGGGAGGAAAGTACCAAGTGTTGACTAGTTTGTCCCAGCAGCCAAGGTACACAACACTGTACATTATGTTGCAGTGAACTACTGTTATCTGATGCCCCTACACTTATAAGGAGTAAGCATGGTAAGCAAGTTGGGTAAGCACAGCTTTGAATGGTATATTGATACCTTACATTAAGGTAGGAGAAAACTACAAAATAATGCATGTCATGGAGGTTCACCACTGTGAAACCCATGAGTGGGAATGAGGCTGACAAACCAGGGATCATGATCACGGTGAATCTGTGTATTTACAATCAGGAGATCCTGACAAGGGAAGCAACTCTGCACAGTGAATTGCTCACCTTTGACCACTAATAACTGATGCCCTCTAAAAGCATTTGGACATGAACAGAACAAGGTAACAAATATTCTAAAAGAATGATAAGTCCTATGTACATGACAATAACCTTGATACAGAAGATGCCAAGAATGCTCATGTTACACCCATAGCGTTGGCAGCCCATCGCCAAGCCCCTTTGGCCTCAACAAGTAAAGTATGGCTGAATGGGTGAGTGAGCGAGGTTTTTACGCCGCTTTTAGCAATATTCCAACAATATCACGGCTGGGGTCACCTGTAATTGGCTTCACACATTGTACCCCTGTCGGAAATCGAACCCAGGTCTTTGGTGTGACGGGTGAACGCTTTAACCACTAGACTACCCAACCGTCTGCATGGCCTGGTTGATGTGAGAGGACTGAATGATGTAATATTCTTCTGCCTATATTTCATTCATGTGAACTTTCACCTCAATTGCAAAATCATTTTCTGAGATGAAAGGTATTTTCACAACATCATCAACAATGTTCACAGTGTTTACATCATATATATCAGGACATCGTCTTCAAAACTGTCTGTAGAACAAACATGACAACTCACCTGGTTTTGATTAAGGTTGATTTCAATTGCTTGTATTGCACTCACACATTCTGGTATTTCCGTTATTGAGTTCCGAGAGAGATCAACACCATCTAAGTTTTTTAAACCACCCAACTGAGTTGGAAACAGTCTTAGGCCATTTCCAGAGAGATTAATGTTGCGTAGGTGTGACAGGTTTTTCACTGTTGCTGGAAGTGTGGCAATGCTGTTATGTTCAAGATTCAGTGTCTCCAATTTCTTCAGTTTTCCAATGTCCTCCGGAAGCGAACCTGGAATTAAGAATTAATGAGTGACTGTTGTTACAGGCTTCAGTTAGTGATATTTGAGCTATACAATGGCGGCCTGTAATGTTCAAATCTGGGCCAGGTAAATCAGTCATGCATAGCATGAGAAATGATCCACAATATCGGAGTACTGTAAAACACCATCTGCTATTGTCTGTAACCTTCCTATGCTCAAAAGTTGGCCCTTATGGGTACTCATGACCTATTACATCTTCCTGAGGCAAGGGATTTATGACTTCATAAGTCCAGTTTCCATCCTTGCCGAACTAGGCTGGAATTCCTTCACCACCAGTGGCTACTACGAGTTATGTGCCTTCTACATGTTCTAAGCCTCTCCTTTGGACCAATCAAATCCCACCTCTTGTATCACTTGCATTTGCTTCAAACCAAATGGCGGCGCTAAGTCAAAACGATCTAATCGATAATCAAGATATATACTGTGATAAAAAGGGCCTAACATCGCGAAGTGCATCAAATCATGTGAGCACCTTGATTAAAAACATGAAAAGATTTGGAAAATATCTGTTGAGAACAAGTTGGCGGTGCACATGCTTTGCAAATCCTGCAATCGACCGAAATCTGCACAACAGTTTACAAACCGGATTTTTATTTCCTTGCGCGACTCAGTCCAGCCAAAATGTAACTCCATAATACCAGCCTAGTTTGGCAAGGGTGGAAACTGGACTTTTACAGTCAGTTAACTCCCTTGCCTCGGGAAAATGGACCTATTCTGTCATACAAGTAATTGCTGACTTTGTGTACCGGTACTGGCAATAAGGTGCCTCACTTTGACAGTGTAGGTTTGAATCCTGGATGATACTCAACCCAAACAAGTACTAGAATCTGTACTTTACTAAGAAAGTGTTATCCCAAATATAACATTTGTTACATTTGACCACTTTCTAAATGGCATTGTGTATTCATCAGTAACACCTAATAGTAATAACTTCTCAAAGACATTTTGATGGTGTTAAACATGTTAAATATAGTCCTATATATCTGTATGACAAAAATAACAATTTATGATGGTTATACTAAAACAGCATCCTTGATTATCCAGTGCAATATATCAATGGGCACAGGGTGCTTTTCATAAAAGAATAGACGTATAACCATGATAACTTACGATGCATTAAAAAACATATTTTGTACATGCACAAGTCAGTATGACCATGATGACATAAATCTGTATGAAGAACATTTAAATCTTTGCTATCAAAAATATTTTATTGTATGAACAGAAATCCATTTTCTCGATGTTTGCATACTTTATTCACCATGGCAACTTCCCGACACTGACTTCATTATCTCAGGCCATCAGCATGGTCACCCCTGTCTGAAATAAGCTTCCATGAGAAAAATCCATCGGCTGCTAAAATGGCATAGATAAGCATAAGCTTTCCTTTTGGGTACAGTAAAGTATGTTATAACGAGCCGACGGACATAACAAACTTATGTTTGGATCCCGACCATTTGCTGTATTGTGTTGTACATATGCTTATAATGAACCAAGGTCATAAGGAACAAATATTAGTGGTCCCCTTGAGTTTGTTATAACCATAGTATACTGTACTTATCTGCTTGTCGTAAGAGGCAACTAACGGGATAGGGTGGTCAGGCTTGCTGACTTGGTTGATGCATGTCATCGTGTCCAAATTGCATGGATCGATACTCATCATGTCAGTCACTGGATGGTCAGGTCCAGACTTGATGATTTACAGACCACCGTCATATAGCCAGATAGCTGGAATATTGCTGAGTGCGGTGTTAAACGACAAACAAACAAAAAGCTTAACCATGTAACCCTGCTGTACCAGAATCCCTATGATACAACCTTACACACATTAATTATGTTAATCAATGAAGCCAACCTAATTTGTTGTTGCTCAGGTTTAGACTCTTCAGATGACTGTATCTGCCAATCAGTGGTGGCAGCAGTTGGATCTTATTCTCTGACAGATCTAAGGTGCGCAGATTACCAGTCAGTGCCTGGAGATCCTCTGGAAACTGAAATTGAAAAGTTGAAATCATGCATATATAAAAATCCGACAGCAGTAAAGGTGTTGGAAAACATTATCCTGATGATGGCAGCCTTCATGAAATCCATCAGTTTTTAATATTCAGTCCTTATTCAAAATTCACTTTCAATCAAACAAAGCATATGTGAATGGAGATTAACACGATTAAGTAACAGATCAGTATTTAAATTTAAAAATAGTTTTGTAGCTAATCAAGGTGTAGAAGTGGGCTGAAAATCCTACAGTGCACACTGGCAGACTTTTCTAAGAATGCGGGTTTCGATTCCACCGCAGGAAAAGAGGCTATAGTCCTAGGTGTAATGTGCAAAAGTGTGTCGTGTCCTGATACCAAGGCTATGGGTTACTATTTTCTAAAGTTATTCAGGATTATTTGACCTTGCTAATAATGGAAAAGTAAGAACATAAACATGTCAATGGCAATTATCATTTTTAATCTCTTATCGTCATGGATCCTGATTTGTATTTTTAGTGTGTAGGCTATACATCTAACATTCATCAGTGCACCACAACAGTATCAGTACACAATATCAAAGAATAACTTACTGATATAATTAATCTTTTCTCTTGTGACACTAAACACTCAACATGCTCAAGTACGAACCTCTTTCAGTCCTAATTTACACAGCTGGCAAGTCCCAGTTTTCTGTGCTGTCTCGATGTGTTGCTTGATTCCAGAGTTTCCCATGGTCCCAAGGTGATTGCAACAAATTCAATCTTTGGTCAAGGTGGAAATCTAATAAAACATGGTATGGCACAAACTGCTGTGTGCCTCGATCAGCTGTTGATGTCTAAAACATCTTGTTGTGATAGATGACAAATTCTCATTATTTTCCCGGAAGTAGAGATCTTTAAACAAGAGTTATCTTTTCTTCAACGTGCGTGCACATATATGGTTTATTTCTTCTTATGCACGTGGTTCCGGTATTAATGAGTGACAGGTGACTGTCGAAGCCGGTTATAATTATAACTATGGCAGGTTCAGGAGCCAGTGCAAGACATATATTTTTGACAGGCACTCCAGGTATATAAAAGGTTATTTAAAGGGGGTTGGGGGATGTCATGAAAAATGTGACATATTTGAGGGAGCCATGAAATGGGGGAGTGAGAAGGTGTGTGTGAGGAGCCCAGGGTGGGGACAAAACGTGTAAACATGTTTTGCCGAAATGCTAAATTAGCGATTTGAGAGAACCGTTTGCTTTCTTCATATTGAATTGCATGTTCAAACTTTAAGGTTTAAAAAATGCCAGACGGGCCCCTTAGAAAAATATAGCCCACGGGATAGCAGGCAGGCAGCAATTTCGAATACTGATGTTGGAGTGTTTGCCCAGCTAACAATTTCACGTTGTGACAACGTCGTGACAACGTCGTGTTTACGTTGCGGATGTTACGTCCATATAACGTTATTCTGTGGACTCCCATTTATGTTGTCACAACGTCATGGCCTAACGTTGTGTTACGTCATATTTACGTCGTCACTACGTTGTGATGACGTTGTATTTTACGTTGTGATAACGCCGTGTTTACATTGTGGTAACGTTGCGGATGTTACGTCCATATAACGTTATTCTGTGGACTCCCATTTATGTTGTCACAACGTCATGGCCTAACGTTGTGTTACGTCATATTCACGTCGTCACAACGTTGTGATGACGTTGTATTTGACGTTGTGGGAACGTTGTAATTTTACGTTGAGGGAACGTTGTATTTGACGTTGTGGTTATGTTGTATTTTACGTTGTGGCAATGTTATAATAATGCGTCCCTACAACGTTATTCTGTGTACTACCATGGACGTTGTCACAACGACGTGAAATAACTTTGTGTTACAAGGATGAAATACGGTTGTGACCATTCCACACTAAAATGTTGTAAAAAAAACCCCAAAACTTGTTCCGGAAATGTTTTAGAATATGCTTTAGTCACGTGATTGTGTATGATTCGAGATACCTTTTAGCAATATTTTAAAACCAGGGCGTCGAATAGCCCGGTTAACAGTGAGTTAGATCGTGTTTTGCTAACAATGTTCAAAATGTAAAAACACCACTAAGCTGTTAACTAGATACATGATTTGACTATAACAAAGTCAGACACCATTACCCTTTAGGCTTGTACTGAAAGAAAAAAAAAGAAAAAAATGGCAGACATTGTAAGGGGTTGACCATGTGATATTTTCTGGGGAGGGTCAGGTCCTGGAATATTATCGAAAATATATTTTGTCACCGAAAACTCTTGACAAAAATAATTACGGTTCAGACTGGTGAAAAAAATGCCTGCCACAAAAAAATGACATAGATCTAGGTGCAAGGTGCTTATCTTCAGGCTCATAGAGTTAAAGAAAATCATGTATCTGCTTTCGTAGCTGTGACCGAAAACATATGTAATCTCCATAGAAAAGTTCCAGGTCCCCACCTCCTTGAATATTAAATGGTCGGTCTCTAATCAAGTCCATATAGTATACTTCAACATTCAGTCATGCGAAGTCACTATTCAACAAAGAACTCCAAGACACATTTGCGTTGACATTTTATTATTTTTAGATTATAGAAAATGTATACACTTTTCGAAATTATTGAATGCCAGAATCTTCTTTCTTTGGTGTTCACTTCCACTTCCCTGAAATACAAACAGCTTAATAAATCTTGAGCAGGTATATGAAAGATTTCATATGACGAGAAACATTCTTTTCGAGATAAGGTTTTATCAATATTCAAACTATAATGTATAATTCAAGTGACTGATGGAAACAAATTTTAACATTCATTCAGAGACATCAAGAATCAGGTTGAATACAAAACGTGGTACGAGCATAGATTTATATAAAAAGATCTACATTCTTAGCATTCATTTCAAGCAAAAAAAACCCCACCAATTAACATGGATATAGACAATGGAATGTAACCGTAAACAATTGTACTTACGTTAACATAATTCACAGCCCAGGGTTTATTTGGTGTGTTCCTCAATGATTCAACATTCTTGATTTTATCTCCTGGAATGGTCGTGTAACATTTTCCCCCTTGCTGCAACGAAAACATATGAAAAAAGTCAAAACTAAAACTATATTCAAATCAATAAGCATACATTTAGATCTGTAGTCTAAACAAAAAGATAACATACATTGTATAATTGCCTAAAATTTAGGAAAACTGTAAATCTAAAGTCTTCATGTAAAAGGTCCGATCGGAAATAAACTCAGGCTACAGATATAAGTAACAAAATTATGAGTACCATCATAAAAAAAACACCTAATGTAATTTGGTTTTAAATATACACCGGTCTGACAAACCAGTGATTGTTATAGTGAGCCACGTCTCACAACCTCTGTCAGAGTACAATGACACACAATCATGTTAGTACAAACATGGTTTGTTGGGGACCTTTTCTAAACCGGAATCCAAACGGGAACAGATATATTTGACAGGCATTGTAGCTAATTACGATTCACATCTTCATCGCAGCGCTGTTTATATAGATCTAGCTACAGTACGATTTCGTAGCTAGCACTGGAACTTACTCGTTCAGTTTTCGATCACCATTTTATTCTCTCTCATTGCGAAAACGTTTCAGAGAACCAAGTATCATATACTTACTACGTTTATTAACATAATACAGTTCAATCTCGTTAAATATAATTCTGTAGTATGGTAGCCTACCTGGCAACATACGGAGATCGAAAACCGAACGAATATGGTTGCTATCAATTCCATTGTATTTTTCATTGATGCACATTGACTAGCCTAGATCTACACCTATCTCACCTTAATAATCAACAAACGATGACCAAATCACTGACAATGTATGGTGATCATGATATTTAACTTTTGATTATCAACTAGCTTATCATCACTTGCGAGAACAATACCGCAAACACCCCGTTATAGCGCGCGACGAGACTCGTTTTACTTTTGCTCGTTTTCATTAGAAGGTAGTCGGACATAGATCTAGTTATCGGAAAATGATGAATTGATTCTTTTTTTTTTGAAATATAATAAGCGCCTTGCTCAAATAAACTTTATAGACAGCACCAACAACCATATGATCCACATTTAGGCTACTTCAGTCAGTGCTAATTGGGCCTTTTTGGGAACAACGAGTATGTTTCTGTCTCTTCCCGAAAATAAAATTTTTCATAACATCATTGAGCCCTTTAGACTAGGGCTATAACTAGCAGCCTACAGAGAGTCGATCTGAAAATACTTCCATTGTTTTGATTCCCTCTCTTCGCTGTATAAGAGAAATCTACTCAACCTTTCCCATGGCCTGAATGAGCCACATTGTTTCACAAAAGTCAAAGTCAGAATATTAGTACATGTAAACTTTCAGATTTCAGAAATAACACGGAAGAAATGGCGATAACTGTCAGTGGTCAGTAGGCGATGCAGGATACGTTAGGCCTATTTAGGCCTACAGACCTTATACGCTTACGATCGAAACCCGAACATGATATGACGACCACAAAACGCCGCCAGACTGAATTCTGGTCAAACATATACCTACTGCTTGCCCTTGGTAATTACCCTTGGTATCCATAAAATAATAATATGGTAAAAAGTCACGGGCTTCCTTCACCTCTATATACATCACATTCTGTGTATCAAATATTACTATTACTAAGTGACCGGCAAACTGCATTCTAAACCCCGCCACTTCCGAATAATACGATACATTTAAATCATTTGACTATCTGCATGTACAGAAACATATCAACAAGCGGAAACTGCTTTTGTAAAATAACTTACCTTATCCGAATTTACAGATCATCTGTCCAGTTCCCGTTGCTGCACAATCACTTGGTTGTAATAAATCCAGAGTGAGTTTGAACTAAGATGGCTGGTGACAACAAATCTTCCGCGACAATGTGACGTCATTTTGACGTCACTTCACGAGGCAACAGGCTAAACTTTTCAGCTGTCGCTCTCACGCCGCAAAAAATGCGCGCCAATGTGTTTTTAACTGTAATTTTGCTTTAGACAACATTTAGTAGACAGATAACTTCGTTCATAGATATATATGTTTAAAAAAAATAAAACTACGAGATGGTAGATCTACAAGTGGTTTCCTAAACATCATTTACAAAAAGTGTTGTAATGTCCAAAGCATAACGTTATCACAACGTTAAATTGCAACGTTGTTGTTACGTTGTGGAATAACGTTACAATGTAACGTATTACTAACGTTGTAATAGAGATACGCAATTACGTTCTGGAAATTTTAGTATTAAGAGATGAAAATTCAAATGCCGAATATACAGAAAGGTAATGCATTACTGCTTTGGTATTCTGACAAATTCATGTTAATTTTGATAAAGCAGTTCTATTCCTTTATGACTATCAAGAAGCAAACTTTATAACGTTTCACCGACGTTTCAGAAACGTAGTTACAAAACGTTGTGCGATGTCCGATGCACAACGTTTTCACAACGTGAATGTGCAACGTTGTTATAACGTTGTGAAATAACGTTGCACGTTGACGTTATAATAACATTGTGACAACGTTATTTCACGACGTTACCAATCCACAACGTTGTGACAACGTTGTGTGTTAGCTGGGTGTCCGGCACAGCGATTTTCTCCAATATTGCAGTTTATCATCACTTGACCTCTAATTAGTCACACATACATTGAATTGAACATGTGTAAAAGTTCAAAATCAACTGAAACTCTGCACAATCACCATGCATCACCACTGATGTCAAAATGCAGTGCAACTGGTAGGGGTGTGACCATGCATCACATCAGAGGTACACATGGTAAATGTAGGATATCATAGATGCAGTGATTGCCTCCGTGGTCTAGTGGTAGAGCGTCTGCCCGGAGAGCGCAAGTTCCGGGGTTTGATCCCCGGCCGCGTCATACCAAAAGATGTTTAAAGATGGTACTTGTTGTTACCCTGTCTGGCGCTCGGCATTAAGGGGCTAAAACAAGGACTGGTCGGCTCGGAGTCAGTATACTGTGTCTGAGTGGGGTATTCATGTTAAACTGCGGCATGGTATCTCAGTGAGCTAGCACTATAAATAGACATCAGTCCGGACTAGTACAAGCAGCCAAACAAACACACACACGTACATGCACGTCGCTATATAAGTGCAATAATCTTGGACGCGACGTTAAACCCCATTTCACCTCACCTCACCTCATAGATGCAGTATTGTTTCTGTGTTTATCATAACTGCATGGGTACTCACATTGTTAGCTTTGTTTAAGACTTTTATAATAACAAAATCAACATAATATGACTGCGTAGCCGATGGAGGTCACATGATTGCTTTGTGATTTTAATATACGAATGTGCATTGTTAATGTATGGTTACCTGTGAAGATCTGGGTAGAGAATAGGTCTTCAACAACCCATGCTTGCTGTAAAAGGTGACAATGGGGATTGGGTGGTCAGGCTTCCTAGCTTGGTTGATGTATGTCATCATATACCAGTTATGTAGATCTATGCTCATGGCGTCAATCACTGGATTGTCTGGTTATCTGCCATCATAGAGCTGGATTATTGCTGAGTGTGGCATTAAAAAAAAAGCAAACAAATAATGGACGGTGTCATTCAGTTGGTGTTGTATGTGTCGAACACTTGGATATGTCAAATTGTTTCACAGGCACATTCAAGTACTAGACGACAGTGTTTAACTAAATTTTTATACAGGTATCTTTAGATGGCCACATATGCTATCAATAAAATTAATGAACTCAAATTTAATGAACTCAAACTAAAGAAAACACACCAAAATAACCCAATATAGGACCTGGACAGCGGTAAAACCTTTGAGAACTTGAACATGTTGAACTCAGTCTATGATAAAACACCACCACTTCCTACTCCCCTGATTCTAGCTCCCAACACCCTGTTTATAGGTGGTGATGTATGTTTTGTTGTATGTTATTCTTCATCGAGAGCAATGTTATGAGTTTAGATTTGAATAGGATTAGATAGGAGGTGCTGGCTTCTAAACTAAGACTTTGCAACATTTCATAAAAGTTACGTGTTTTGTTATGCTCCATAGGGATTGGCAAGACCACCTTAATTCACAAGGCCTGTCAATCTCTGAACAAAGCAGGACTTCTTACTCAAGGCTTCTACACAGAAGAGGTCCGAGTTAATGGCAGGAGAACAGGTTTTGATGTTGTTACATTAAATGGTAGAAGAGGACCCCTTGCCCGAGTCAGGTAGGCTGCTATTTCACTGTTAGGATGGCTATATACAGAGCTCCAGATAAGCTTTTGGTGTTGTGGGTATTTTACCCATGCATTTTAAAATCATTGGGTATCAGTAATTCTATCTGGGTATTCAAATTTCTGTTACCCACTAGTTTTTACACAAGTGGGTATTTAAGTTAAATATTTAAAAACACTATTCATCAAGTCCCTGCAAACTGGTGTCGTGTGGTTTCGAGAGCTTTATAGGACTCAAAAATACCACGATACTTCCACAAGAAAGTGTGATGGCAAATGATCATGATGTAACTGTCATCGTGGAGTTCGGGAAGGTTGACGGAATGCCCGGTTATAATTTCAAAATAAGTTGCTGATTTGCTAATCGAATACGCAGGGTTACTTCACAATATTTTGATGATATGCACAATTTTTATTTTTGTAGCGTATCTGTAATGTTCGTTGCGTATTTGATACGCTTGGATTTTATTTTACTGCGTATTTATGCATGTCTGATGCGTATTTTACGCAGATACGCAGCTTATCTGGAGCTCTGATATATATTTGTTTTTTAATACTTCTGCAAATAAGCTGAACCACAATACAAAAGGAAATCATCAAATCTGTGTCAAACTGCTGTCCTTTTTCGTGCTCGGACTTAGAATAATCAAAGCATAAAATAATCTTGCAGTGAGCAGTGTGACACTTTCTCTGGGCGAAGAAGGGAGTACAGAGTGGGCCAGTATTCTGTGGATCTGCAGTCATTTGAACAAACAGCCATGCCTACCATCAACACCAGGGTGAGTTGAGGAGCTGGGAAACAGCTTCAGGAGTCTTGGGCTTCCAGGTTAGAGTAGGAATGAGATGACATGATGAAGTGTCACTCATGCCATGGGGTATCACTATCAGTGGGTCACAGTGACCCGAGGGGGCACGGGTGGCCCAGTCGTCTAAGGCGCCGCGATTTGCTGTGCAGAGTTGCGTCCCATGGGCACGCCAGAAACCTATGATTGTGGGTTCGAATCCCGGTTCGCCCCGATGATGTTTCTAGGTTTGACAGCACCATACCCGTGCTCGTGGGTTTCACCGAAGTGGTAAATGTCTGAGACCTGCATCACTTCGGGCTTTCCTCCCACATTAAGCTGACACGCCGCGATATAACTGGAATAGTGTTAAAAGGGGCGTTAAACCCAACTCACTCACTCACTCACAGTGACCCTTGTGTGTCACACGTACCATGGGGTATCAGTGGGTCACAGTGACCCTTGAGTGAAGTGTCACACATACCATGGGGTATCAGTGGGTCACAGTGACCCTTGAGTGAAGTGTCACACATACCATGGGGTATCAGTGGGTCACAGTGACCCTTGAGTGAAGTGTCACACATACCATGGGGCATCAGTGGGTCACAGTGACCCTTGAGTGAAGTGTCACACATACCATGGGGTATCGGTGGGTCACAGTGACCCTTGAGTGTAGTGTTCAACCAGGTGATGAAGTACATGTGGTAAGAAGATGAATAAGAAGATTATATGAGAATAAGAATGAAACTATCCCACACACTGTATATGTGTACTGATTGCATGAAGCAATATAACTTCTAAAAGATCTTATTAAATTAATGTCATGCCACTTCTAAAAGATCTTACCAATAATGTCAATTCAATCATCAGCATTATCACATGTATTTGTAGTCATCATCTGTTCTCAGTCTAGGAATGATTCCTGGAACTATTTATCTAGTATGACAACATGTGTCAACTGCCAGTAGTCCCATAAGGAAATTATTATTTGAAACATACAAAATGTTAGCGGAGTCATCTTGAGACCCGTGAAGATCCAGGGTAGAATAGGTCTTCAGCAACCCTTGCTTGCCGTAACAGGCGACTATGCTTGTCATAAGAGGCGACTAACGGGAATCGGGTGGTCAGGCTTGCTGACTTGGTTCATGCATGTCATCGTATCCCAATAGCGTGGATCGATGCTCATAATGTCATTCACTGGATTGTCTTGTCCAGACTCGATTATTTACAGACCGCCGTCATATAGCTGGAATATTGCTGGAGTGCAGCGTAAAAAAACAAACAAACAAACATGTCATCATGATGGTATGTCAGCATAATTTGTACACTGAGTCAGGTTAATACCAGATAGGTGAGTATTTTAAGGTTTAGTTAGATGCTGTAATGAATTTTTCCTCAGCTGGAATCATTACATTCCCCATTGTTTCCATCCTCTGTATCTTCAGGGCTCGCATTCGGTAAACCTACACTAACCCCTGGATCCATTCATGTGACTCTCACTATCTCAAATTACCCGTCCTCGATTTCTATTTGCCAATTTGCTTGGCTACACTACTAGGTCTAACGTACCAATCAGAATACGAGTTACAAACCATCCTCAATGTTGGGTTGGCAATATCAACAACATGACGGCCAGTCTCATTAATTCTGATCGAGTTTGCGAGATCTTCAACATTGAAAAACTGACTGCACGCAAAAGAAAGCTCTAAAAATCTTATTGTTGAAAAGGATGCCATCATGTTCCATTTGAACTGACAGTGGCATTAGTACCCCATTACCCTTTCCCTTATGTCAACGTTTGACTGGTCCATAAAATGTTAATGAAAATCAAGTGCCGGTAATGTCAGATCGCGAGGACCATGGGAATGGATCCTGGGGTTCGTTTAGGTTTACCGAAATGCGAACCCTGGAGATTTAGAGGATGCACTGTTTCATGCCTCGTGAACATATCATTCCAGAGCGTTAGTCCAGGACAGGAACCAGTGTTTGTAATTGATGAGATCGGGAAGATGGAGCTGTTTAGTCAGTCGTTTGTCCAGTCAGTGAGGGGCATCCTGGATAATCCCATGACAACTGTGCTGGCAACTATTCCAGTCTCCAGGGGAAAACCGATCTCATTTGTGGAGGAAGTGCGCAATAGAAAAGATGCAGTTGTCTACACGGTATGCAGCTACAATATTTCAAAACATATTTGAGCAGTGGTATAGCTTAATGGCTGCTGGAATATTGCTACAAACGATCAATACATAGTAGATCAAAGGTCCTATGCCGAGTCGTGCTTCATTTCAAATGATAACCAGAGCTCCAGATAAGCTTTTTGTTATTGGAGTATTTGACCCAGGAGTTTGATTTTGACTGGGTATCCCAATCTCATTAAAATCAGATCTAAGTTTTGCTGCCGCTAAACAAAGATCTGAGGACATCCCATTAGGGGTCACGTCAGAACGCCCTATCGCGAACTTTGACCGACCACTGAAACGAATAACGTGACATCAGCCAATGCGAAAGCAGCTTTCTCAAGCTTTACGGCACTCGTTTCAACCTGACGACTTCCATTTCAGACTACGCTTGAAAAATATGTTGACACAGTTCTCGATTAAAATTTTGAAAACTGAACAAAAGAACAACCCGGAATGTCTAATATATGGTTTCGGCTGTATGGCAGTGCCTCCCACGTACTGTGCAACGCCCCCTCCGTTAAAATGTTTATCCTACGGAAGCGAGAGACAGACAGTAATTTTGACGGAATCAGTCGTTTGGGCCGTAACTGTTGTTCGGAATACCCCGTTTTAACGTTTTCGAGGGTGCATGTTTAGAAAACACATTCCGACTGTCACTTTCATGATCTGGTAAGCGGCGCTTTGATTAGTCGGATGAAAGGTCGTTCTGACGTGACCCGTAATTTGGATGTCCTCGATCTTTGTTTGGTGATAGCGAGAACTAAGTTCTGATTTTAATGAGATTGCTGGGTATCCACAATGTTTAATGGGTATTCAAAAGAAATTTACTCACCTGTTAAATGACATTTGGGTACTTGTACCTGTTTTGTAACGATCCCTGTAAATCATTTAAAACTCAATGAATAGTAGTATTCCCATCTGCGTCTGTTTGCCAAACCTAGCATTGTATGAAAGGTGCTATGTTTTTAATCACCAGTCAGCGACTGTTTAGGATACATTTACTAGGCACAATGTGCTTTTCAATTGAAATCTATTGGTATTCAAGTTTGTTTGTCGCCCAATATTTTCCAAACACATCTGTCAGCAAGTGAATTTCGCGATCGACTGATACGCAATCATTTTATCTAACTGTTGTGAAAAACACAATTGTTTTATCTAATAGTTGTAACATATGCATTAGTTTTATTTCAATGGCATATTTATAGTTTTTGTTGAGTATTTGATACACTAGGAATTGATTTGTCTGCACATTTCAGTTTATTTAATGCATATTTTACGCAACTACCCAGCTTATCTCGAGCTCTGGATAACTTTCACACACACCTCTGCTGGTCATTGAGGTGACTAAATGGATTAGGTGGTCTGGCTCGGTGACTTGTTTGATAGTGTGCATCCATCATATCAGACACAGGATTATTTATTTATCACCATATCGCTAGAATCTTGCTAAGTGTGGCGTACAACAAACACACACAGACACACAAGACACTTATTCTCTCTATCGCTCACATGCTGTCACACATATGAACACGCACACATATCCCGTCTGAGCACAGAGTGAAGAAGAGTTCTGGTTGTGGTTTCAGGTAACAAGGGAAAACAGAGACAACATTCTGAAGGAAATTGTGGAGTCCGTGAAGTGTTCAGTGGAGACCTTCAACTCTTGATACAATGTGATGTGGAGACCTCCAGATCGTGACACAATGTGATGTGGATGCCTACAGCTCGTGACACAATGTGATGTGGAGACCTCCAAATTGTGACACAATGTGATGTGGAGACCTCCAGATTGTGACACAATGTGATGTTTAGACCTCCAGATTGTGACACAATGTGATGTGGAGGCCTACAGCTCGTGACACAATGTGATGTGGAGACCTCCAGATTGTGACACAATATGATGTTAAGGCCTACAGCTCGTGACACAATGTGATGTGGAGGCCTACAGCTCGTGACACAATATGGTGTGGAGACCTCCAGATTGTGACACAATGTGATGTGGAGACATCCAGATTGTGACACAATGTGATGTGGAGACCTCCAAATTGTGACACAATGTGATGTGGAGACCTCCAGATTGTGACACAATGTGATGTGGAGACCTCCAAATTGTGACACAGTGTGATGTGAAGACCTCCAAATTGTGACACAATGTGATTCGGGACCTCCAGATTGTGACACAATGTGATGTGGAGGCCTACAGATCGTGACACGATGTGATGTGGAGACCTCAAGATTGTGACACAATGTGATGTGGAGACCTCCAGATTGTGACACAATGTGATGTGGAGACCTCCAGATTGTGACACAATGTGATTCGGGACCTCCAGATTGTGAAACAATGTTATGTGGAGACCTCCAGATTGTGACACAATGTGATGTTGAGGCCCACAGCTCGTGACACAATGTGATGTAGAGGCCCACAGCTCATGACACAATGTGATGTGGAGGCCTACAGCTCATGACACAATGTGGTGTGGAGACCTCCAGATTGTGACACAATGTGATGTGGAGACCTCCAGATTGTGACACAATGTGATGTTTAGGCCTCCAGATTGTGACACAATGTGATGTGGAGACCTCCAGATTGTGACACAATGTGATGTTTAGGCCTCCAGATTGTGACACAATGTAATTTGGGACCTCCAGATTGTGATGCAATGTGATGTGGAGGCCTCCAGATTGTGACACAATGTGATTCGGGACCTCCAGATTGTGACAACGAAATTCGGGACCTCCAGATTGGGACGCAATGTGATGTGGAGGCCTCCAGATTGTGACACAATGTGATTCGGGACCTCCAGATTGTGACACAATGAAATTTCGGGACCTCTAGATTGCGACACAATGTGATGTGGAGGCCTCCAGATTGTGACACAGTGTGATGTGAAGACCTCCAAATTGTGACACAATGTGATGTGGAGACCTCCAGATTGTGACACAATGTGATGTGGAGACCTCCAAATTGTGACACAGTGTGATGTGAAGACCTCCAAATTGTGACACAATGTGGTGTGGAGACCTCCAGATTGTGACACAATGTGATGTGGAGACCTCCAGATTGTGACACAATGTTATGTTGTTTAGGCCTCCAAATTGTGACACGATGTGGTGTGGAGACCTCCAGATTGTGACACAATGTGATGTGGAGGCCTACAGCTCGTGACACAATGTGATGTGGAGGCCTACAGCTCGTGACACAATGTGATGTGGAGGCGTACAGCTCGTGACACAATGTGATGTGGAGACCTCCAATTGAGCATTATAAGCATTGAGAATTATGTTGGATGATAAATAAAATCTCACCCTCGTGTCTGTTTATATCAAATATATCAACACTCGTTGATAAAAGTTGAAGAAATCCTTGGCAAGCCTCGGAGTTTTCCCACTTTTAACAACTCATGTTGATATATTTGATATCAAAAGACACTCAGGTGAGATTCTCTATATGGCAAACATGGAAAAATGAAACTTAATTATGTATTATTTATTTGTTGTTAATAATTGAATACCCTGTATTTGTTGAGGGAAAATACCAATTGCTTAAGATGGTTCATTTTGTGTGAGTGAGTGAGTGAGTTGGATTTAACGCCGCTTTTAACAGTATTCCAGTTATATCGCAGCGTGTCAGCTTAATGTGGGAGGAAAGCCCGAAGTGATGCAGGTCTCAGACGTTTACCACTTCGGTGAAACCCACGAGCACGGGTATGGTGCTGACAAACCCAGAAACATAATTGGGGCGAACCGGGATTCGAACCCACAATCATAGGTTTCTGGCGTGTCCAAGGGACGCAACTCTGCACAGCAAATTGCGGCGCCTTAGACGACTGGGCCACCCGTGCCCCCCATTTTGTTTGAGATATTTGCACTATTTGGCATTTGTATAGTACCTGGTATACCCCTCACACCTTCCACATACAGGTTTCTGTGATCACAAATGTAACTGTAGTTAGTCATCATGATGGTACCATGTTTTTGTGATAATACTTGTCATGTTAATACACTTGGTTACCATGGTTACAGGACATACACACAAGGGGATGTTGATGATGTTATGTAGTCACCATGTTGTGGGAAAGGTTCTAAGTTGTGCCAGATGATATTTCCCTTTTGTTTGAAAATATACATGACATTTTGTGATACAGGTCTGGTTACCATTGTTGAGTATTTTGCTAGTTTCAAGAACATGGAAACACATATATTTGCTACAGAAATATATTTCCCATATTTTGAGTAGAAAACAAAGCAAAATCTGCCACATCATTTAAATAAAATTTCTCCAGGACTCTTTGATCAGTGACTTACCATGCTTTCGTCAAGATTGGTCAGGCTATATATTTTCTGTTGGGACTAAACTTTTGCAGCATTTTATAGAAAACAAAAGTAATAAATAAAAATGTTGATTTGAAGTTAATTTTGTTATATAAAAATTCTTGAATAATCATAAGATTAAGTCAAGCAGGTAGAATTTTAATCTAATTTAGAAATTAAGTTTAGTTATTCATGGTAGAATATTTTTTCTTTTTCTGAATGAGTGTGAATGTAGTTTTAGTCCACGGTCGGTTCAAATTCCAGCCATGTGACAATCCTTAACCCGGCAAACCAGGTGCTGAGGGCGTGAGCAGCAATCCCTATACAACAACACGAGGGCGGCCAGGTCACAGACACTGACCACTTGATCTTTGCAGCATACCTACAGGCTCTGATCTAATGGACGTTTGTCATTAAGGTCACTACCTACAGGCTCTGATCTAATGGATGTTTGTCATTTGGGTCACTACCTACAGGCTCTGATCTAATGGATGTTTGTCATTTGGGTCACTACCTACAGGCTCTGATCTTATGGATGTTTGTCATTTGGGTCACTACCTACAGGCTCTGATCTTATGGATGTTTGTCATTTGGGTCACTACCTACAGGCTCTGATCTAATGGATGTTTGTCATTTGGGTCACTACCTACAGGCTCTGATCTTATGGATGTTTGTCATTTAGGTCACTACCTACAGGCTCTGATCTAATGGACGTTTGTCATTTAGGTCACTACCTACAGGCTCTGATCTAATGGACGTTTGTCATTAAGGTCACTACCTACAGGCTCTGATCTAATGGACGTTTGTCATTTGGGTCACTACCTACAGGCTCTGATCTTATGGATGTTTGTCATTTAGGTCACTACCTACAGGCTCTGATCTAATGGATGTTTGTCATTTAGGTCACTACCTACAGGCTCTGATCTAATGGACGTTTGTCATTAAGGTCACTACCTACAGGCTCTGATCTAATGGACGTTTGTCATTTAGGTCACTACCTACAGGCTCTGATCTTATGGATGTTTGTCATTTAGGTCACTACCTACAGGCTCTGATCTAATGGACGTTTGTCATTTAGGTCACTACCTACAGGCTCTGATCTTATGGATGTTTGTCATTTGGGTCACTACCTACAGGCTCTGATCTAATGGATGTTTGTCATTAAGGTCACTACCTACAGGCTCTGATCTAATGGATGTTTGTCATTAAGGTTACTACCTACAGGCTCTGATCTTATGGATGTTTGTCATTTGGGTCACTACCTACAGGCTCTGATCTTATGGATGTTTGTCATTTAGGTCACTACCTACAGGCTCTGATCTAATGGATGTTTGTCATTAAGGTCACTACCTACAGGCTCTGATCTAATGGACGTTTGTCATTTAGGTCACTACCTACAGGCTCTGATCTAATGGACGTTTGTCATTTAGGTCACTACCTACAGGCTCTGATCTAATGGATGTTTGTCATTAAGGTCACTACCTACAGGCTCTGATCTAATGGACGTTTGTCATTTAGGTCACTACCTACAGGCTCTGATCTAATGGACGTTTGTCATTAAGGTCACTACCTACAGGCTCTGATCTAATGGATGTTTGTCATTTAGGTCACTACCTACAGGCTCTGATCTAATGGACGTTTGTCATTTAGGTCACTACCTACAGGCTCTGATCTAATGGATGTTTGTCATTTAGGTCACTACCTACAGGCTCTGATCTAATGGATGTTTGTCATTAAGGTCACTACCTACAGGCTCTGATCTAATGGACGTTTGTCATTAAGGTCACTACCTACAGGCTCTGATCTTATGGATGTTTGTCATTTAGGTCACTACCTACAGGCTCTGATCTAATGGACGTTTGTCATTAAGGTCACTACCTACAGGCTCTGATCTTATGGATGTTTGTCATTTAGGTCACTACCTACAGGCTCTGATCTTATGGATGTTTGTCATTTGGGTCACTACCTACAGGCTCTGATCTAATGGACGTTTGTTATTTAGGTCACATGTTATGTACAAGTATATCCTAATAATACCCTCCAACCTTACCCTCGACCATGGGTTCTTGAGCCTAGAGGCGAAAGTTGTTTGCAAGAGCTGTTGACTATATGCACTGACATGCTACCCATGGACAGATAGAGTATTGCCCCTTTGTTCTTGCCACTGTACCTTTATAACCCAATATCATACTGTTACTTTCCCTGTACGTTGTATCTAGTACTTGGCTCTAACGAAAGCTAGCTCCTCTTACCCAGGATCCCCATGGGGCCCTCCCAGTGGGGCTAAGTGTCACAGAGGTACTCAAGTGATGGCAGATTGATTGTTGTTTTCCTTCATCTGTAGAACATGTTGACGAAATGGCACGTTAATTGTTGGCGTCCTTTATCAAGAATTTTGTTTACAAAATGTATTGTTTTAAAAGCTTCCCCAACATGAGCTGTGAAGGAAAATTATGATGATATATGTTAAACAATGCCACGCTCTTATTGCTTTTACAGATTTCACAGGTATTTTGAGTGAGTGAAGCATTTGCATTGCATGGTTCAGCTGTACAATTGTCCCATTTTGCTTTGTTTCTGCCTGTAATTTTGCAAATGATTAAAGGAATTTGTGCTGAACTTTTTATTATTCTTTTGAATGATTACTCCGCTGCAATACCTCCTGAGAAAACCTTGGCTGAATGAAGAATGTGTTGGTTTTTGAGCCAGTCATGATGTCAGATTTCTAAAATGATTCGGGGTTCATTTTAAAAAAAAACATATTGACATACATATTCCTTCGATGCTACTCCTTTTTAAGTGTAGATGCTATGGCGCTCAGAAACAACAGTGTGTTTCTTTCTTGTTTTTCTACATTCAGAACTTGTTGTTTTAGTTTGTTTTATCATGTTTATAGAAACTGAAATCAGACATGCTGATCTGAATGCTTCGCTCAGAAAGTTCACCTGATATGACCCCTGTGGAGTAGACCGTATGCAGACAGGTATCGTATCAAAGCAAAATATTTGCAGTACATTATGTTTGTGTTGGGATTCCAGTTTAGGGTATATCCCCAGTACATCATGCTTGTCTCTGTTGGGATTTCGGTTGAGAGTATATCCCCAGTATGTCATGCTTGTCTCTGTTGGGATTCTGGTTCAGAGTACATCCCCAGTACGTCATGCTTGTCTCTGTTGGGATTCTGGTTCAGAGTACATCCCCAGTACGTCATGCTTGTCTCTGTTGGGATTCTGGTTCAGAGTATATCCCCAGTATGTCATGCTTGTCTCTGTTGGGATTCTGGTTCAGAGTACATCCCCAGTACGTCATGCTTGTCTCTGTTGGGATTCTGGTTCAGAGTACATCCCCAGTACGTCATGCTTGTCTCTGTTGGGATTCTGGTTCAGAGTACATCCCCAGTATGTGATGCTTGTCTCTGTTGGGATTCCGGTTCAGAGTACATCCCCAGTAGGTCATGCTTGTCTCTGTTGGGATTCTGGTTCAGAGTACATCCCCAGTACGTCATGCTTGTCTCTGTTGGGATTCTGGTTCAGAGTACATCCCCAGTACGTCATGCTTGTCTCTGTTGGGATTCTGGTTCAGAGTATATCCCCAGTATATAATGCTTGTCTGTTGGGATTCGGGTTTAGAGTATATTTCCAGTACATTTTACTTGTCATAAGATCGGTTTCAATGAAGATCAGTTGTCATAACATCTCGTCATACCCTGTTTATGGTTTCAGTTTCTGGATTGCTTCAGCCATACTTGATAATGGACAGGCCGTTGAGATACAGCTGGATATTTTGGTTGGACGGTCGGTTTGTTGTTTAACGCTGCACTCAGCAATATTCCACCTATGTGACGGCGGTCTGTAAATAATCAAGTCTGGACCAGACAATCCAGTGATTGATATGAGCATCGATCCACGCAATTGGGATCGATGACATGCATCAAGCAAGTCAGCCAACCTGACCACCCAAACACGTTAGTCGCCTCGTACGACAAGCATAGTCGCCTTTTACGGCAAGCATGGGCGATGATACAGCTGGAAAATTGAGGACTGTAGCAATATGATGGATGACATTCACTCACTCATTCTTGGCCCAGAGTCCGACTACTTCCCCTTGCAGCAGTGACATTCAATAACACGAAAACGATATAAAAAAAATCCCAAATCATCAAAAGGCACCAGTTTCCTACTAGACTGATCTATATAGAAAGTTTGAACAAGAAATATTTTACTGGTTTAGAGTTCTGCTCCTGTATTTGAAAACTGCCGGCTGACAGACATGGTGATCGCCATATCTCCCCCCTTTTTTCAAACCAGGGGATAAAAATAACATTCAACACAACATTGGAACAGACAACAGAAAATGATTTTTTATGAAAAGTATTTACCTCTTTATTTTCATGTGGAAACAAATTATTAAAACAAACAAAATGATAGCATAACAAAAATACCATGTACACTCGAAAATGAGATTGGTCAGCACTGACCAGTTAGTTCCTCATTGAACTGTCCAGTAAATGGCACACATGAAGGCTGCAAATACAACATTCTTGCCTCCGAGACACCAGTGCACACATGACATTTTATTTCTGCTTTAAATGACTACAAACAGTAACACTCAACCTAGGTAGCCCCTTTGCCTACAACAACTCGCGGCAGTCGCCATCTTGGAAAAGGTCTAAACTTGTCTGCTCATCTTAGACTTGTGAAAATCTCGGAAGAAACGACTTATTGGAATCTGCAATGCTTGGTATACACCCCATCAGAAGCATTGAATGTTTTTAGCCAACAATGGTCAATGTTAGTGATAATGGTTAAGAATACTAATATGCCTATATTATCGCACACATGATAACCATATGGTCATTGCCATTTCGTAGTCGTGACAGCTGCGGCCACCATGATCTCAGGTCCCTTCATACTTCAGGCCTCATGCGGCATGGTCAGAAAAGGCCATTGGTCCTGTGGGGGAAAAGGTACCTGCAATTTAGGGCTGGGACGGGTAACTCGGGTACTCGGGTCAGGTGGGTACTGAGCCAGACCCTGGTACCCACAGGACTACCTGGACCCATGGTTACTCATATGATATATTGTTTAATGATTAAAAATGATCTAGAACTCTATGGTTACACTACAAGTCACTAATGTTCGCATTTCTTTCTGACTATGCACACATTCCTTTTGACTTTTATATGTTTGAATAGAGATAAAACTTCTGTCAACTACAGTGTATGCATGACCAGATGATTTAATATACACGTGTATATCTAAATACAATTTTCCAGGCTACGGTCAAACTATTCCAAATCAGACATTTTGTACCAATCTCTGGAGTCCTACAGCGGGTACCCAGGTAGGATCGGGTAATAGTGGGGTGGGTACCTGGGTAGTAAATTTAGACTCATCCCAGCCCTACTCTAATTCCTTGTCTGCTAGAACCCCTGAGAATTTAAAATATGCAATGTTTGGAACTCTAATGAAGTTCGACTTACATTATTATGTTCAAATACATGCTTGTGGACTTTAAAATTGTTTTATTCAAATGTAAATGTCTTTACCATGTTGACATGAATAATGTAGATATGAAATACCTGGAAACATTTTCATGTTATCCTGTGCTAGGGTATTTGTTCTCCAGTATTAATTAAAACTGCTAACTGCAGTCGAGTCAATTTCACTGGCATGTCAGTACATCCAAAACAAAAGGTAAGGAGATGTTCTGCAACATTCAAATACTGCCTTGTGATGCTGTTATCCCTATGACAGGTGTTATTAATTTTGTTTATGAATGAACTTTGACTCAACCATTGCTGCATTTTGATTGAAGTGATGCCAATCCTGAATCAAATTAAATTAGGAGTTTGTAATATAAAGATTTTTATAATCCCCAAAGAAACGAAAATATTTCAAAACTTTCAGAAACATGGCAGTCAAAAGCCAATGCTGTTGGGATGATCATTCTGTATTTAGAATTCTTTTCCTCTCTAATCAAATGGTATATATCCACCACAATTTTGACATCGGAAGCTGGCATCTCTGCATCTATTGAATCAAACATACTGAGAGTAGAGAAGATACTTCATAATTTCAAAATACATATCAATAGAAATAGAAAGCCTATATTGGTTAAAATAATGTCTTCAAAGTGACACACTGAACTATCAAGAATGTGGCACTGATTATGTTCCCAGTTCCATACATCATGTTTGAAGTATAGTTTCCCTCAAAACACCGGAGTCTACGCTCCATCTGCATGCAATCCATTCTAACCCATGACTTATGACATATCAAGGGTAGGTTACTCTAAGACATTCAGGAATATTCACATGTTATCTGTATTCTGCATTTGTCATATCAGTTTTGCTTCATACCACAAGAGCTCTTGCAACACTTATGACATGTTTGTAAATGCACATGCATGGAGTGAGTGAAGTGATGTACTGCCTTCAGCAACACTGAAGCAATATTACAGCATTATCATTAAAATCATATCTTTTACTCGGATACGACACCTTCCTGCATCTAGATTTGCGGACACCTCCAGAGGAGGTTGTGTCATGTGAATTTTGTGATCAGCCAATCAGCTAAATTCTCGATACAGTGAGTGAGTGAGATTTTACACCGCTTTTAGCAATATCAATGCAATGTCATGGCGGGGGACACCAGAAATGGGCTTCACACATTGTACCCATGTGGGGAATCGAACCTGGGCCTTCAGCGTGACGAGCAACACTTTAACCAACAGGCTACCCCACCGCCCTTCTCGATACAAGTACCGGTAAGCAAAGCATTGCAACAGTATATCATATTTCTGTATCTCGAAAGAGACCTTGCATAATATATATAACGAAGACCGCTGCCATTACATTGGGACATTTTATACACACTGATGTTTACAGCCAGAAGGAAGTACCATTGAAGCCATATTTGTGTGGATTTCCTGTTGCTAAAATAAAAATTCAAGGTGGTAGAGAAATGAAGCCATATTATTTTAGAAAGCTGACAGCTGATTGTCTCAAAAAACCAAATCATCCTTTATTTACATTGTAAGTCAAAGATGGCTCAGTATCCACCTGACGTCACCTTCTGTGGAGGTAGGTGTCGTCAGATGGTCACACAGAGAAGTGTTGCATCGGAGTAAAAGATCTGATCTCAAGTATAGGCAGGGGAAAGTAGAATTGCCTTCACCAATTGTGCCTATAAAAATAATGAAACCCTCTTCTCACGTTGGGTATGCAAATGAACACATACTAGCGAAAGAAGTACTACAGAGACATACATCACAGAATAGGAAAACAGATGTACAGATAACAATCTTTATAATCACTAGGCCAGACCAATTTGGTAAGACCTTTAAAGATTTATTTAGACAACATGCACGACAGGAGGTAAATAAATAAAAATCAGCTTATTGACAGGCTTCATTTGAGGTTAAATAAAGTAGACTAGTCTGGAAAATGTGATACAAAAAATATGAAAACACAAATTTAAGATTTCATCAAACAGTGATTTATAGATATAATTCTTTTTAAATTACAAAAAGAATATTAATGTTGCACAATTTAGTTGAGGCGGATCTGTACGAGCAGAAGAAAAAGTCTGGTCTTAACATAAGAAGACATTTTAAGTTCTCCCATGTTTTCACTGACAACTGAGAGGAGTGTTTGATCTTCAGAAGACAGTAACACAGCACAAACACAACAGGCAGGATGTACACTGTACAGCAACAGGAAGTCACTCCCCAGGACTACATGTAGTGCAGCTAATGTCACATTTACTGGACAACTTCTTAAAACAGAACAATATCACAAACATTATTATCAGGCTACCCACAAAATACCTTTAAATTCATTTGATGTAGATGTCTTTTGTATATTTGGTAAACGTTTGTGACAAGTAAAGTCAACATAAGGACAATGTCTATTTCAAACATCCAATATTGCATAATTAGCACTAATAATTGAACAATTATAAATCTTGCATAATGATGTACCTTTCAAGCTGTCCGGTTGTGCCTGTTCACCATGCACAATCCTGGTGTACTAGGAGGGTCCACCAAGCAAGTACCCTGGTACACTGTTGGGTCCACCAAGTAAGTACCCTGGTACACTGTGGGGTCCACCAAGTAAGTACCCTGGTACACTGTGGGGTCCACCAAGCAGGTACCCTGGTTCACTGTGGGGTTCACCAAGTAAGTACCCTGGTACACTGTGGGGTCCACCAAGCAAGTACCCTGGTTCACTGTGGGGTCCACCAAGCAAGTACCCTGGTTCACTGTGGGGTCCACCAAGCAAGTACCCTGGTTCACTGTGGGGTCCACCAAGCAGGTACCCTGGTTCACTGTGGGGTCCACCAAGCAAGTACCCTGGTTCACTGTGGGGTCCACCAAGCAGGTACCCTGGTACACTGTGGGGTCCACCAAGCAAGTACCCTGGTACACTGTGGGGTCCACCAAGCAAGTACCCTGGTACACTGTGGGGTCCACCAAGCAAGTACCCTGGTTCACTGTGGGGTCCACCAAGCAAGTACCCTGGTACACTGTGGGGTACACCATGCAGGTACACTGAGGGGCAAGGGGCTAGTAAGGCAAAAACACAGTAACTGTCATGTGAAACCTGCTGGAAACACGTATGCTGCTTAGTGGTTGTTGACTGCTGCATTGTTGGAGCTATAGCTAACACTTCCCGACAACCTACCACGAGTAGGAAAATGCCCTTGAAACGGAAATCAAAACAGGCATGTTTGGCTTCACTCCCAACAGCTCTTTGAGGGTAGATCTTGATGTTGGAACAAAATAGGCTTCACATTCTATCAGGTCTATATTAGGGTCTTCACCTCTGAATTCAGTTCTGACGTCATTGTAGATGGTACCAGCGACCAACATATGAAACAGCTGGAATACCATTGAAACAATGATACCTTTTTTAAAAAATATTTTCAGCTCCTATTTTTCGTATTGATTAGGTTTGTTGTTACTTGAATTACAGATCATCCGACCCTAATTTCACAAATGTGGAAAAAAAATAAAGAAAGCAAACAGTTATTTCTTATTTCTGCAATGTCTGTTAATAATAAGTTCACAAAAACAAAACTGTAATTGTTTCGGAGGCCCATTTCCAACATCCCCAAACTTCCATATAGTGTATAAATGAGAGGATGTTTTCAATAGTTGTCCACTGCTTCCAGATGTTTCTGCCCTAATAGTTGGAAAACTGGGGTCACATATCTTACTATTCCACACTACAGACTACACTATTTAGTGACCACAACCTAACTTTGCAATAGCAGTTCTACACAGGATCTGTTTTTAAAAAAGAAAATCTGTAAACCAAGTAATTAAAAAAAAGAGGTTTCTTGAAACACTGTTAACCCTGAGTCAAGAACAACACTCCAAGTGATCGTGTAGTACCAGAATAAAACATCAAGCAAAACCTTTTTCGATATGTTTATAGGTCAGACTGAAAACAATTTTTCAATATATATCGATATAGAGACATCACTGCATTTTCAAAGAATGTCAGAATATCTTAACTCATGTATTCCTGGGTTCTTGATGTCATGCATCGTTTCTTGTAACAGACCCTGAAGAATGTACAAGTCACACAACAATGAATGCTGTTATATGCCCACCTACCAACCCAACACTCCCTCACTCTCCGGACACTTCTTGTCCTGGTCAATACGAACCAGTTCCTTCATGCTTTCTCATTTGGCAGTTTTATACATGACTTGAATATTGAAAAATAATGCAGCGTCCATTTGGCATTTACATCATTTCTACCTATGAACATTCACTTGCATGTGTTCTGTCAATACAAGGCAACTAACAAAAGACTCTTCCCACAAGATCAGAAAATACGTCGAAGGTTTACTCCCAAGACTTTGGGAAGGTTGATATGTACTTTGAAGTAGCTCTCATACAAGCTAAAGCCAAGCTGACCTCCCACACAGATACTGTAGGCGCCCAGTCTTTGATATTCTGGGTGGGCGGGCATTTTGTTGACGAAAATACCATGCTCAAGAAACTACAGGAAAACACAACTTTTGTCACAGATTTTACAATAAAAAATATATTGTTTACTAGACATGCTGTGTGTTCTGAGTACAACTGTGTTCAGCTTCAGGGAAAAGAATTGTATTTCTTGTCCAAACCCCTCCCCAGCCCTAAAATATGAAATGATTAGTCTGAAAAGATGTATAACCAAAAGAGCAATGGATTTTGATTTTGTCACATGTGTGTTAGTTTCATTTGGGTGAAACAAAACACCCAAACTCTGATTCACCCCAATATGTGCATGGTCTTCTGAATGATACATGATACAAAATGACATGCAGACCTGTGTTGCAATACATGACCATAAAAATACTTCTTCATCAAGAAAAAGTGACCATCATGTAAGTACCATTTTTTTTAAATTGATAAACTTTTTAATTCCATGGCCTTTGTATTATTCTGGCGGACAGAGATACATATTGTACATGACCTATGTATCGAGATATGTATTGTGACGGTATCAGTGCTCCTGGGGAGTTCAGGCTGTATGGTTTTCCACCTGATGAGTGAGTGAGTGAGTGAGTGAGTGAGTGAGTTGGGTTTAACGCCGCTTTTAACATTATTCCAGTTATATCACAGCGTGTCAGTTCATTTTTGGCGTGTCAGCTTAATGTGGGAGAAAAGCCGGAAGTGATGCAGGTCTAAGACGTGTACCACTTCGGTGAAACCCACGAGCACGGGTATGGTGCTGACAAACCTAGAAACATAATTGGGGCGAACCGGGATTCAAACCCACAATCACAGGTTTCTAGCGTGCCCAAGGGACGCAACTCTGCACAGCGAATCACGGCGCCTTTGACGACTGGGCCACCCGTGCCCCCTCCGCCTGATGAAGATGTGGTGTTGAATAGATCATAACAGAATGGAGATATGACACCGTTGAGCACCGAGGATGCTGAAAGCATGGCTGAGTATCAGCTACCTATATATGGATCCTTGATGAGGACGAGTCTGACACTGTGTGCTGATTAGGCAGCGGCTACAAGCATTCCTTCCATCCCAACATCCAACTATCACCATACAAGTAATCTGGGGTATGGTAAATCTCAGGGATGCCAAAGGCCATGCGCAATAACATGGCAACACTGGGAAACATGCATGCCTTCTTGGGCTGCACAGCTGACTGAAGATACAGTACTTCCATGCGTCTTCCCGGGGCAAGGGAGTTAACTGACTATAAAAGTCCACTTTCCATCCTTGGCAAACTAGGCAGGAATTCCGCAGTGATCATGGTGATAGTTCTGCTTGACTAATGAGTCTATGCATAGTCCCATCAAAATCTCGTAACGAAATCGACATCCCGTTCGTAAACTGCCATGCAAATTAAGGTTGTTTGCATGGTTTGCAAAGAATATGTACCGCCAACTCGGCATCAATAGATATTTCCCAAATCATATCACAATTTTAATCAAGGTGCTTACCTGATTTGATGCACTTCACGAAGTAAGACCCCTTATATCACAACATAGATTTTGATTATCCACCAGATCGTCTTGATCGTCGCCATTTTGTTTGAAGCAAATGCATGTGACATGACAGGTGGAATCTGATTGGTCATCAGGAGGGACATAGATGGGACATAACTTGTAATAGCCACTGGTGGCACTACGTTCGAGCCACAAATTTCAGTCTAGTTCGGCAAGGGAGGAAACTGGACTATTATAGTAAGTTAATGCCCTTGCCTCAGGAAGATGTACAAAGTGTACTGGTACAGGCTCCTATACTTACATCGATGGTACTACATGATCACATTCGCCTCCACATTCTTACAACATTATGTGGTCCCATGTGTAGAAGTCTTGGCTGCATCAATACAAATTCCTGCATGACAGCTCTGTAGTAATGACAGGAGTGGGGAAATACCATTGCATGACATATCTACACTCTTCGTATTAGATAATATACATTGTAAATAACTTTTTGATGATTAAGAAAATTTACTTCATAATGAAGTATTATTACTGGTACTTGTCACTTTTTCATCATTGACATTCAAGGTGAATAATTTGTTAAAAAAGAAACATATTTAACCATACACGGCAAGTAGCCTTTCACCCAGAACAAGCAGATTTGATAAGTTTACTTGTGTGTGAGTGGAAGGTGAATGTGTTCCATTTTCCACATACCAGGATCATTTGAGACAGAATATGAAAAATGTGTAACCATGGTAACACTCAAGTTGCACATAAAGGTAAGTCTGCCCACAACAATTTCAAAATTAGAACTAATTGTTCTGATGTTTCACCCTCATGATGCCGACATGTTAATGTTCACAAAAGCAGGAATAATGTCAAATAAACATACTGAGTTGAGTGTTAACACAATGCTTGGCATGCTGTAATCTATAATCAGGTTCTATCATACACAATCTCATGGTTCATAATTTACATCCTATTCACAGATGTTCACACATATCTTACACATATTTACATTTTGTTCCTAAAACAAATTAAATAGTGGACTTGCATAGGCCATAGGTTTCACGTTTGGATGTGGCTGCAAAGGAAAGAGAAGACAAATGATTAAACAACAAATAACCTAAACAGAAAGAGTTGAAAATACAGGGTTCACGTTTTTATTGTCTATCTGTGGTGTGTTGCTATAAACGTCACTTATTATTAATCTAACAAAATCATGGCATTCTGTAAATAATGAGATAAAGACCAGTCAAACCAGTTATTGATAATATGAATAATGTACCAAGCTGTTAGGGGTATGTAATATTACTGGTATATTGCAATACGTTCGTTAGCAACAAATATCGCAATACAACGCTTGCGTATTGATATTTTCCAATAGTCACAGAAGAATTGACATATAATTACATAAGTTATATCTACCATCTTGAGGGATTTGGATGGGACTGGGTACCTATCTAAACCATGTAAACACGACACACCGTTTACGTTGTTTACATAAACATTCCATATTGATTAATTAGTAGGTAGTCTTGTTTATCAATACCTCCCATCTCGCAATCTGAAGTCTGGATTATTGAATGAAGAAATACCATTTCAACAGTACAAACATATATAATTTGGGCTCCAATACTTATTGCAATATGTATCACAATACAGCTCTCCATATTGCGTCATATATAGCAATACGATTTACGTGCCGTCGGGTACAATGTTATCCAATCAAACATGTCACCATGCCTGACAATCCGACCAATTCAGTTACCTCTTATGAAAAGGATCAGTTGTAACCTGGAATCCCAGTTTTAATGACATGTAGCCAAATAAGTAGGTACTAATGAGGACTGCAAACGTCTTTGATGAAGGACAATATGGAGAATGCAATACTATAATGATGTTTGTTCATGTCCTATATTCAGCAGGAGAGAGTTCCAGTGAACTGGGGCGGTCGGGCAGCCTTGTGGTTAAAGCGTTCGCTTGTCACGCCAAAGAGGTGAGTGAGTTGGGTTTAAAGCCGCTTTTAACAGTATTCTAGTTATATCACGGCATGTCAGCTTAATGTGGGAGGAAAGTCCCAAGTGATGCAGATCCCAGATGTTTACCACTTCGGTGAAACCCAAGAGCATGGGTATGGTGCTGACAAATCTAGAAACATAATCGGGGCGAACCAGGATTCGAACCCACAATCATAGGTTTCTGGCGTGCCCAAGGGACGTCACGCCAAAGACCTGGCTTCGATTCCCGACATGGGTACAAAGTGTGAAGCCCATTTCTGGTGTCCCCCGCCGTGATATAGCTGGAATATTGCTAAAAAACATACTTTATCACTCACTCACTCACTCCAGTGCACTCTACTACCAGAGTGAAACCAATGAGCACAGGTATTGTGTCAGCTGACCAAGCATCATTCAACCCTAGGACCAGTAGATCCTTGGGCACAACAAACTGTGAATACTTAGACCACCAGGACTCTTCTGGTGAGAATACTTACCACAGCGTCATAGGAAGTAAACTTAGGTGTGAGATCATTTCCTTGGACAGTTATGAAAGCACCTTTGTTACCCATGGTATCACTGAAACAGCAAAATGTCAAGCTAAAATAAAGAAAGGAAATTATTGTTGTCATCCTGACACTGATTTGAAAGCTGCAAGAAACATGAATCAGACAATCACCATGACGCCATCAAACATGCAGCAACCAATGACTTTTGTTTTACCACAAACAGGCAACTGGCACTCATGGTATGTCCCTCCCAAACATGCAGCTGCCATTCACAGCCTAGCTCTCCCAAACATGCAACTGTGACCCATGGTATGTCCCTCCCAAACATGCAGCAGCCAATCACAGCCTAGCTCTCCCAAACATGCAACTGTCACTCATGGTATGTCTCTCCCAAACATGCAGCAGCCAATCACAGCCTAGCTCTCCCAAACATGCAACTGTCACTCATGGTATGTCCCTCCCAAACATGCAGCAGCCAATCACAGCCTAGCTCTCCCAAACATGCAACTGTCAATCATGGTATGTCCCTCCCAAACATGCAGCAGCCAATCACAGCCAAGCTCTCACAAACATGCAACTGTCACTCATGGTCTGTCCCTCCCAAACATGCAACAGCGAAACACAAAGGTTCTCCCAGACATGTTACAGCCAATCAACAAAGGGTTCTCCCAGACACGTTACAGCCAATCAACAAAGGATTCTCCCAGACATGTTACAGCCAATCAACAAAGGGTTCTCCCAGACACGTTACAGCCAATCAACAAAGGATTCTCCCAGACATGTTACAGCCAATCAACAAAGGATTCTCCCAGACACGTTACAGCCAATCAACAAAGGGTTCTCCCAGACACGTTACAGCCAATCAACAAAGGATTCTCCCAGACATGTTACAGCCAATCACAGCCAAGCTCTCACAAACATGCAACTGTCACTCATGGTCTGTCCCTCCCAAACATGCAACAGCGAAACACAAAGGTTCTCCCAGACATGTAACAGCTAATCAACAAAGGTTTCTTCCAGACATGTTACAGCTAATCAACAAAGGGTTCTCTCTGACATGTTACAGCCAATCAACAAAGGGTTCTCCAAGACATGTTACAGCTGATCAACAAAGGATTCTCCCAGACATGTTACAGCCAATCAACAAAGGATTCTCCAAGACACGTTACAGCCAATCAACAAAAAAAAATTCTCCCAGACATGTTACAGCCAATCAACAAAGGGTTCTCCCAGACACGTTACAGCCAATCAACAAAGGATTCTTCAAGACATGTTACAGCCAATCAACAAAGGATTCTCCCAGACACGTTACAGCCAATCAACAAAGGGTTCTCCCAGACACGTTACAGCCAATCAACAAAGGATTCTCCCAGACATGTTACAGCCAATCAACAAAGGGTTCTCCCAGACATGTTACAGCCAATCAACAAAGGGTTCTCCCAGACACGTTACAGCCAATCAACAAAGGGTTCTCCCAGACACGTTACAGCCAATCAACAAAGGGCTCTCCCAGACATGTTACAGCCAATCAACAAAGGGCTCTCCGAAACATGTTACAGCCAATCAACAAAGGGTTCTCCAAGACATGTTACAGCCAAGCTCACACGGCTTGCCAAACAATGGATATGTAGCAAGATATTCAGGAAACTATTTGATACATAATGTAAACCATAAAGAACACATTCTCAATTGACTAAATATAAGCATTAGGTTGGAACAATTCTTACCAGTAGTTGGGAGCTGAGAAGACAGTGATGCACTTTCCATCATGCGCCATCTCGTAGCCATCATTCTTCACTTCATGGCTGCGGATGACATAGTCCAGGTTGTTGTATTGCAGGAACTTCTTGGTGACATCAGGTCCGAACTGGACCCCTACTCCCCTCTTGCTGGTGGATCTCCCGGGCTGGGGCTGGGGGTCTGACCACAGGAGTTCACACATGATGCCTGGGCGAGAGCAGAACATTCGTTAGGTTTTGTCGGTTTGTTGCTTAACTAAGAATTATTCCAGCTATGATGGCAGCCTGTAAATTAATTTCAGGACCAGACAATCCAGAGATCGATACTGTAAGCAATGATCCAAACTTTCGGTGTTTCAACCAAGTCGCTGAGCCTGACCACCTGGTCTATTTGGTCACTTCTTATGACCAGAATAGGTTGCTGTAGTGTTTGAAATAATAGGCCCGTGGCAGGTAGATCTCATGTCAGGCCTATAGTTTTAAAATTGTATGGGTCCTTATGGTCTGCAGTACATTTACACGTCAATGTATTTGTCACATTAAGCTGTAGTTTTTTTAAAGGAGGGCGTTCAGCTTCTAAAGTCTGTAGAAGTAACAATACTGGCTTGCCGGGAAATTTATTCCAAACCAGAATCCCCACAGGATCATTTTGTATGTCACCACACATGTATTGAGAGAATAGCACTTTTATGAAATACACAATGACATTGTCTAAAGTAGGGAATGGTAATCCTAGGGTCCACAGCTGAAAAATATGAAGAACCACCAAAACACTAGTGTAGCATGACTTCAAAATGATGCGATACACTTCATTCTGTTTTGTCATGTGTCAGTGTACATAGTAACTTCATATTAAGGGGAAAACTGAGTGAGTCGTTATTGACTTGCTCCGAAGTGGTACTTAGAGTGACCTGCCCTTGGTGGCTGATGTTGACATATGACATAAATCCTGAAACTTTGTGTGGTAACTATTTCTAGAATGCTGGCCATACCTATAAAGGTGTGAGACGAGGGTGATATGTGGACTTTCAACAACAAACTGACTTGTGGGAAGCAAATCTATCAGAAAACATCGACTTTTCTGCCTGTTTCCGACACAATCTCATTAAAACCAGTTCTTAGTTCTTGCTACCACTAAACAAAGATCTGAGGACTTCCCATTACGGGTCACATCAGAATGCCTTTCATCTGACTAATCAAAGTGTCGCTTACCAGATCATGAAAGCGACAGTCGGAATGTGCTTTCTAATCATGCAAACTCGAAAACGTTAACATGGGGTATTCCAACATTTACGGGGTATTCCGACAGTTATAACAGTTACGACCCTTACGACTGATTCCCTCAAAATTATCGTCTTTCTCGCTTCCATGGGAAAAACATTTGAACGGAGGTGTTGCACAGTACGTGGGAAGCACTATCATACAATCGCAACCATATATTAGACATTCCGGAATGTTCATTTGTTCAGTTTTCAAAATGTTAATCGAGAACTGTGTCAACATATTTTTACCAAAATAGTTGATCCATACTAGACCGTAAAAAAAGTGTCAAGATGCATTTTGCTCAGTGAGTGAGTGAGTGAGTGAGTGAGTATGGTTTTACACCGCTTGTAGCAAAATTCCAGCAATATCACGGCGGAGGACACCAGAAATGGGCTTCACACATTGTACCCAAGTCAGGAATTGAACCCAGGTCTTCAGCATAACAAGCGAATACTTCAACCACTAGGCTACCCGACCGCCCCCATATTGCTCAGTGGAAAGAGTGTCAAGAAACAATGTAATTTGACTTTGGTGCAGCGTTCCACCAATAGCTGAAGGGATCTTTGATCAAAATACTCCTGCACTATAAAGATTGAAGTCATACATTGTGATAGTATTATAAAAATGTCTTTAGGTCTGATTTGAATATGGATAATCTCTGAGCCCTTTGCAGTCCAAAATGACGTAGGTTCTAGATGTTTACACATGGGTGAAACCCACCAGCATTATGATGGTGTTGGATGACCCGGGTATGATTAGGGCGTGTCTGGTACTTTAACCCATGTCCTAACTGCAGACCCGGGAATGATTAACTCTGCACAGCCTGGTCCAGAGCCTTAAGACAAAAGGGCCACCTGTACCAGTGTGTCATGATAAACACTACAACACATCCTTCTGCAGGACTCACCTGTCTCAGGAGGCTGTCTGTTCCGTTCTACCTTCCGGATGTCGTCAAGGGATACCGTGTCCTCGGAGAACAGGCCTCCATGCATCACCTACATCATATTTAGATTTATGAATAACCTACAGGGCCTCATCTAGTAGTACTCTAGCTTGAAGTGGGTGGGTGGGTGAGTGTGAGTGAGTGTTTGAGAGTGAGTATGTGTGTGGGTGTTTGAGAGTGAGTCAGTGGCTGGGTGGGTGTTTTAGAGTGAATAAGTGGCTGGGAGTTTTAGTGTTGGTGTTAGAGTGTGAGTGATTGTTTGAGATTGAGAGAGTGGGTTGATGTTTGAGAATGAGTGACTGAGTGACTGAGTGTTTGAGTGAGTGTTTGTGTGTTTGTGAGTAAGTGAGTATGTGTGTTTGAGAGTGAGTGAGTGTTTGAGAGTGGGTGGGTGTTTGTGAGTGAGTGGGTGGGTGTGCATGAACTTGAGAGTAAGTGAGTGTGTGTTTGAGAGTCAGTGAGTGAGTGTTTGAGAGTCAGTGAGTGAGTGTTTGAGAGTCAGTGAGTGAGTGTTTGAGAGTCAGTGAGTGAGGGAGGGGATCACCACTGGGAAATATAGACTTAAGTGTATCAGCATGGGCATGTTGATAAACATTAATGACTGTAGTAATAAATGGTATAAATGTCATTGTTCTTTTCTCAAATCCCTAAACCTGGTACTGGACATGGTAACACTTTTCTTGAAATGTGCACTCTCCTTACCAAAATCCACTGAGGTGAGGTGAGGTAAAGTGGGGTTCAACGGCGTGGTCAAGATTCTTCCACTTATATAGCCACTGTGTGTGTGTGTGTGTGTGTGTGTGTGTGTGTGTGTGTGTGTGTGTGTATCTGTGTGTGTGTGTGTGTGTGTGTGTGTGTGTGTGTGTGTGTGTGTGTGTGTGTGTGTGTGTGTGTGTGTGTGTGTGTGTGTGTGTGTGCTTGTACTAGTCTGGACTAATGCCAATTATATAGTGCAAGCCCACTGCGATACCATATTGCTGTTTAACATGAATACCCCGCTCAGACACAGTATACTGATTCCAAGCTGACGAGTATTTGTTTTAGCCCCTCAATGCCGAGTGCCAGACAGGGTAACATCTTTTAACATCTTTTTGTATGACATGGCCGGGGATGGAACCTCCATCTTTCTGTACTCCTCAGTAACTGTCAGTGACAGTGCGTTTGGTTTAGCGCAGCTATTAATAATATTCAATTATATCAGGGCGTGTCAGTTCATTTTTGGAGGAAACCCCTAAGTGATGCAGGTCTCAGACGTTAATCACTTTGGTGAAACCCCGAGCACAGGTATGGTGCTGACAAACCTAGAAACATAATTGGAGCAAACCCGGGATTCGAACCCACAATCATAGGTCTCTGGGGTAGCAAGGGACGCAACTCTGCACAGCGAACCAGGCCACCCATGACACCAAACGAAGTAATAAACAAAACACAATGTTGATAAATATTTATGGTTTTTTAACTATCCATAGTGAAAGTGTTGATGAAGAGGTTACTCACCATAATTTTGTTGTTGATACAGTGAGCAAGTGGAAGCCAGTTGAAGACCTCTGTGAATAGTTGAGCCATCTGACTAGTGTATGTGGCCCAAGTTAAGGCAATAAAACGCACATCGTCACATTGGCAATGTTCTCAGAATGTCAACATGAAATAATAGTGTCACGGCACTGTAGCTCACCTGGTCAAGTAGTCAACAGAGCAAAATGTTAATAAAGACAGCCACTAAACAAATTGGCTGTCAGATTTGATATTCAAATATTTACACTATAGTTAGATTCTGGAAACGAAATGATTACGGACGAATGTAAATCAGACAAGGCGTGGACTACAAAAGGAGGTTCATGTGTATTCTATTGAGCTGGGTGCACTTATTAACTACCGCACCAAAAACACTGTTTACAAGGTCTATAGGAAAATGACCCAGTTTTGATAAAAGCATAACTAATAGTGTTTGACTCTTCCAAATATTTTATGCACATACAGATAAAACATTTATCTATAAGACAATATAATAATTTCTATATGTTTGTGTGCTTATATTTGCATTATATAATATATTTGAAATTAATTCAAACTTCGTTTGATATACAGATATAAACAGAAAGATTTGACAATGCATAGATATATACACATCTGCAGACAAACAGTTTTTCAAGTCTTGTTGTTGTTTCCATGTTACCTCGGAGACATTTGTGTTGCAGATACACATTGAACCAGGATCATACAAAATCTTGCAATGCACATCGTACTGTAACTTTGGTTTCTTTGTGTGTTTGTTGTTTAATGCACTCAGCAATATTCCAGCTATATGACAGCGGTTTGTAATTAATCAAGGATTAATTGGGATACGATAACATGCATCAACTAAGTCAGCGAGCCTGATCACCCGATCCAGTTAGTTGCCTCTTACAACAAGCAAAGTCGCCTTTTATGGCAAGCACAGGTTGCTGAAGACCTATTCTACACCGGATCTTCACGGGTCTATGGTGTATCATTTCAAGCTCCAGAACAGAACAAGTTAATGTTAATGTATGAAAATGTTTGCTGCTTTTAAGACATTTTTCAACCTACTCAAAATATTCTCTTCATCAAAGGTTCTCCTAAACATATCACTGACAACAAGGATATTTTGATTTCACTTCTCCATCAAATCCATACATCTGGTTCATCGTCACGCTTTCATGGTTCCCTGGCAACAGAACAAACAGTTGATCAAAGTGATTTGTAAATGTACGCAACTTGTGACTGACTTGAGTAACAAATAGGTCTTGAAATAAAGTTATGAATAACGTTAAATGAAACTAATTGTATGAAGCTACCCTAGAGTGTTAGGAATCCTCAAGTCTCTTTATTTCTGAGCAGAAAATGGGATGAGATCGGAATGGTGTGATTGTTTCATAACAACATATGGTCTGTAAGCATATTAAGATTGAGTGAGTTGGGTTTAATGCCGCCTCGAACAGTATTCCAGTTATATCATGGCGTGTCAGCTTACCGTGGCTGGAAAGCTCAAAGTGATGCAGATCTCGTTTACCACTTTAGAGAAACTATGCGAGCAGGAGTATTGTCCTGACAAACCTAGAAACACAGGCGGGGAACACCGGGATACAAACCCACAACCATAATATTCTAACGTCGCCAATGGACGCAACCCTGCACAGCGAATTGCGGCGCTTTAGATGACAGGGCCACCCGTGTCCCCGCATTCTAAGAAACTAGAGACTGACTAAAAGTGACACAGGGGCAGACGATTTCTCTGTGTGTTCCAAATACCTCGAGCCATGAAGAAGTGATTGGGGTAGAGCAGCTTCAAGCTGAACAGAGTCATTATACACTCAACCGAGAAAGAGCCGCGGTCCACGAAGTCTCCATTAAACAGCTGGATAGAGTTAAGGCATCTATAAAATCATAATTATCAAATTCTTAGAAAAGTGTGTGACTGATGTTGACTTACATAATGTGACATAAATCAAGAGCAACAATCCACATTGGGTACAATGACCAGCAATGAGGTAAGTCATTGCGTCCAACCATTAGGCTTCCCCAAAGGCTCTAACCATTGCATCCAACCATTAGGCTTCCCAAAAGGCTCTAACCATTGCATCCAACCATTAGGCTACCCTAGAGACTCTTACCATTGCTTCCAACCATTAGGCTACCCCAAAGGCTCTAACCATTGCATCCAACCATTAGGTTACCCCAAAGGCTCTTACCATTGCTTCCAACCATTAGGCTACCCCAAAGGCTCTAACCATTGCATCCAACCATTAGGTTACCCCAAAGGCTCTTACCATTGCTTCCAACCATTAGGCTACCCCAAAGGCTCTTACCATTGCTTCCAACAATTAGGCTACCCCAAAGGCTCTAACCATTGCATCCAACCATTAGGTTACCCCAAAGGCTCTAACCATTGGGTCCAATCATTAGGCTACCCCAAAGGCTCTAACCATTAGGCTACCCCAAAGGCTCTAACTACTGCTTCCAACCATTAGGTTACCCCAAAGGCTCTAACCATTGTGTCCAACCATTAGGTTACCCCAAAGGCTCTAACCATTGCTTCTTAACCATTAGGCTACCCTAGAGGCTCTAACTACTTCCAACCACTAGGCTACCCCAAAGGCTCTAACTACTGCTTCCAACCATTAGGCTACCCCAAAGGCTCTAACCATTGCTTCCAACCTTTAGGCTACCCCAAAGGCTCTAACCATTGCTTCCAACCATTAGGTTACCCCAAAGGCTCTAACCATTGTGTCCAACCATTAGGTTACCCCAAAGGCTCTAACCATTACTTCCAACCCACTAGGCTACCCCCAAAGCTCTAACCATTGCTTCCAACCACTAAGCTACCCCAAATGCTCCTTCCTTAGAGAAAAACCCAAAGTCATGCAAGTCACAGACATCTAAACCAACAATCACTGGAACCTAGCACAGCTGAGGGAAGCAACTCTATACACTGAACCCCAACTGTTTCCTGGGTGTTGTCCTAATGAGGCAAGGATACATATGGATTGTCTTCAGATGGCTCCCCGTTGAGAGAGAATATGTTCATGAGATCATAGAACTGGCCATGGATGTCACCACACACTGTGAACTTGTTGCTCTGGAAACAAGCAAGGTATTTATCATTGACAAGTGAAACAACAGAACTAAACACATTTACCTTTTGTTCAAATCCATACATAATATGATAATAAAGATTTTAGTCAGGCAAACAAAATGATCTGCACTCTCATTTCACTGTTGGTTATTCAAGTGCAAGTCTCATGTTTATAACTTTGTAGATCTAGAACTGGAAAGATTGTAGCATTGTTAATGCAAATATTGTATTTAAAACATTGAAAGAGGCACGTAAATAAGGTTTATTTGCACTTAAGTACTATCTGTCAATTTCAAAGGCTGAAACGAGAGGCAGATATAGAGGCTCCATATACGGTCATGTTGGTGGTAATTTCCTCTCAAATTACATGCTTGATTGCCTGCCCCTCCTGTGCGCACCCTAGCAAGCAAGCCACCTTTCACGTTCATGGTCAGCTGCACAAGTTCTCAGCAAAGCAAACCTATTCTTCACCCTTTTAAACCCTTATATATTCTATCTACAATTAGATAATGACCATACAAACACTGTACTACTCTTTGTATGAGTGGGATTAAGGGAAATGTGATAAAGGTCTTTACATCATGAATTAAGTTTGCCGTTTGGTGAGAAAATGACGTGCGAAAGATGTTATTTCTTCAATTGCGTTTATTTTTTGTTTTGGTACTTTGATATATTTCGCTGTGACATTTCTGTGTTTAAAATATTCACTGATCTCTGTATAAAATGATGAAGCATCAGTCATAGTTTCTTTGTTCCTCTTTGCAGTATCATGAGTTCAAATCAATCATAACCTGCAAATATGGCCAACTCTGACAGTGACAATACTTTTTGAGTTATCATAGAATGTGAATGTTTTTCGGAAGATGAATTGATAATTTTTTAGGAAGAAGAACAAGTGGATAACTACATGTTTGGACTTGTGACCGACAACAGTAACGAAAATAGCCAGGATGATCCCCATCTTGGTTGCGTGGATCACAAGTGTTTGTAAAACACACATTGGTCAGTTTGTTAAGTATACCTTCTCCACATCACCATATCCTGTTGCAGTTTCAAATGGCAGGAAACTGAATTAATCTCCAGATAATAGAAATGTCAACTCAACATTTACTCCAGAAAATGAAAATGAACTTGACAATGTTTGGTTACTTCACAACATACCCCTGAAACTGTGATGTCAACTAAAGATGGCTGGCTTTGAAAAAGTTTCTTTACTTGTAACAGAACCTGTAATATGAAAAGGCAATAAATAGAAAAATGACACATTATTTTGGACAAAAATTACATCATGCAAAACACACAAAAACAAGAAAAAGGGAAAGATAAAAATATTAATTCTTCTAGTCTTATGTTAGCCTCGTCATAAAACTTGATAAAAAAAAAATGGTTTTCCTGTAAACATGTGATCAAGGGAGGAGTGTCTGTATCTGTATCTGATCCTGTATCACTAATCCTGTGACACTCTTACTCTAACATACAAAGCTATGCTCCATGGCCCTAGTAGCTGTAAGCTTATAATGTGATGCTGATATGATTGGAAATTCTGAGTGAGTTGGGTTTAACAGTATTCCAGTTATATCACAGCATGTCAGCTTAATGTGGGAGGAGAGCCCGAACTGATGCAGGTCTCAGACGTTTACCATTTCTGTGAAAACCACGAGCACGGGTATGGTGCTGACAAACCTAGAAACATAATCGGGGCGAACCGGGATTCGAACCCACAATCATAGGTTTCTGGCTTGTCAAATGGACGCTACTCTGCACAGCGAATTGCGGCGCCTTAGACGACTGGGCCACCCGTGCCCCTGAGTACATCTGTGTTACATAACCAGTCAGCTACTGTTCCAATACAAGTGGCCCAAACTGGTACATCATCCAGAGATATCAAGCATGTAGTAGTTTGCAAAGGTGTTGTCCGTACGTGTGATATATGTGCCTAAGGAGGATGCAGTCATTGCTTGTATGCTAACAGGATTGTCACCCTGAGCCAGAATGCCATGGTATTGTAGTGACCTCGGCTTTCCTCCAAGACGTCAGTGGAAGGGACAGTCTGTTACACTGCTTCCTGGTGGCCCTTCTCACTTCCTTGACTCTGTGCACAACCAGGACATGAAGACAAGTCCTCGGTGTCACTGCGCACTCGTCCTGATTTATCTCCCCTAGTTGTTAGTGTTTGATCATAAATTCTGACGTGAAGCTCATGCGCACTTTGGCATCTGATCGCCTGTCAAACTATATCTTGGTTACAAGCTGCCATAGGAAGGTTTGGAGAATAACAGTCCATTGGGTCAAACACTAAAAATGTCTGCTCTATTAATGTTAACCTCTCAGACACCAGATGCTGTGGGACTACCAGATCTCTGAAGCACTTCTTCTGAACTCCAAGTCTGGAGTTCTCTGGCATTGTGCTGAACTAAGTCGTAATCTCTATGTCTTGTTAAAGATGCATGATTATTCCGAGAGAAAAAAATAAAAATATATGGAATAGAGTGAACTACGGTTATAACGAACACGCTTATAACGAACTAACGGATATAACGAACTAACTTTTTAGTCCCGACTATTTGCTGTAGCTATACTGTATATATGCTTATAACGAATTACGGTTATAATGAACTAAAATTAGTAGTCCCTTTGAGTTCGTTATAACCGTAGTTTACTTAATACTTATTCAGATACTTATCCTGACACAACTGTATGCAATATTCCTTCTTACAGCGATTGTAAAACAGCGTAGAACAATTACCAACAAGAGGGTGTGTTCGGGTGAAGGTTCTACTTCTACATTGTCCTACACTGTTTTATGATCAAAGCAAGAATGAATATTGCATACTGTTGTGAAGAGACATGGTAAAAAATATATTCAATTATCCATAGCTAAAGACAAGCTGAGAGCCATTATTAAACCACCATGATTCCAGGGCCAAAGGGTTACATGTCAAGAGCCGAATGGATTTAAGAAGTTAATACTGTAATGAACTCAAATCAAAGTCATCAGAAGTAGCGGTCAGTCTAACTTAAACTGTCCCATATTGCATGTCATAGTGTATTCAGCCGGTATAACTTTGAGATGCCAGCGTTAGAAATTGGCACTAGTCCTGTAGTCCTTGCCAAACTGCCCAATAGTTAAGGTATCATAAGGACTAATTGACATTTGCCATTTATAAGTCTTGTGCTATATGTTATCATCATAAGGACTAGTGGACTAAAAATGTTAGTTTCTCTTGCTGGATATACCGGTAATATCTACATTGTGGAGGGAACTAAAGCCATGTGACAATGCTTCAACCAACGCATTCCATCAGCTAGATCACCCATGAAATGAAAGGTTTTGGTTTGGTTTGTTGTTTTACGTCGCACTCAGCAATATTCCTACTATATGACTGCAATCTGTAAATGATCGAGGCTGGACCAGACAATCCAGTGATCGATATCATGAGCATCGGTCCACGCAATTGGAATCGATGACATGCTTCAACCAAGTCAGAAAGCCTGACCACCCGATCCCGTTAGTCGCCTTTTACAACAAGCAAAGTCGCCTTTTATGGCAAGAATGGGTTGCTGAAGACCTATTGTACCCCGGATCTTCACGGGTATGAAATGAGAGGAAACAAACAGCAGAGCTGCTGACAAACTGTCAAGCAATCATAGTTATTGTGGTTTTACCTGGTCAAATATCAAGGACAGATAACTCTGATTGATAACCAAGGGCAACGATGCTCGGGACTCTCTAGCAATCATTGTTATTGTGGTTATACCTGGTATGCATATTTTCGATGTAATCGCTTTTGGTCCTTGTATGTTTGCATGAGATCTTTTACAAATGTGAGCGTCACTTGATCATCCTCAAGAGCAGGGCCGGTGTAGTCATCTTCGATAACTAAAACAGACAAATAGGAATATGCCGTGTGAACGATTACAATCATCTAAATTATACTATTTCAATACTTCTACGTCCACTCATAGCATCCCATTATGATACACGTCTTCCATGACCTATTACACTCTGTTCATTTCAACACTGCATGATACGATAAATAACTCCAAATGTTGAGACTAAAATGTGTTGAAAGTTTGACCTTGTAGGTTTTAACTTCAGTTAAACACGAGCGAATGTTTATCACAGTCATATGAACAGGTTCTATCAATTTCATTTTAATATTCAGTTGTGTTCAGTATCATTCAACAAGTTAAATTTGACATTTCCAGTTGGGAAAAAAGCACCACTGCAATAACTTGTCCTTTGTTTTCGAAACCTCAAAGGGGCGCTTATTGCAGAAGGGTATTTGATGTGAAAATGTTTAACTGCTGATTAACAGACCATCAAGTGTTGGTTGGTTGGATGATTTGTTGTTTAACGCTGCACTCGGCAATATTCCAGCTATATGACGGCAGTCTGTAAATAATTGAGTCTGGACCAGACATTCCAGTTATTAATATCATGAGCATCGATCCACGCAATTGGGATAGATGACATGCATCAACCAAGTCAGCGAACCTGACCACCCGATCCTGTTAGTCGCCTTTTACGACAAACATAGTCACCTTTTACGGCAAGCATGGGTTGCTGAAGACCTATTCTACCCCGGAATCTTCACGTGTTTCCATCAAGTGTGTGTGCTCTGCAAGGAAACAGTGATCAGCTACCAACCCATGCTTTCTATGTCCAGCCTCTGCTCCATGGGGACATCATCTTCAGAGGAGATGGCCTTCTCAAACGCAATCATCTTCACAATCTTATTGCACTCACTGAATTTCATTTTGGCATCTTTGTCATTTGGTCTAACTTTGGTGACCTGAAAGTTGGATATTATATTATAAGAATAAACGATTTCTCAGTGATTAGTGAGAATGAAATGTCTCATGATTAACAAGTACCTGGGTGTTTTTGTACAAAGTAATCTTAGTGCTAAGGATATTGCAACTGCCATACCGTAACATAATTAATTTTTCACTGTTTAACGCTGCACTCAGAAATATTTCAACTAATAATTAATGATATCATCAGCATCAATCCATGCAATTGGGATACGATGACATGCGTCAACCAAGTCAGCGAGCCTGATCACCCGATCCTGTTAGTTGCCTCTTACAACAAGCATAGGGTCCCGTAACTGAACTTATGACAGTCGTATTGCTAAGCTTATTTTTAACAACGGCACCCAGGAATATAAATATTCCTAATATGACATACATGTACTAATAATGTTATGAAACAATATGTATGGATACAGTAAGATCACAATATTACAATATATAAAACAGAACTTTGTGACAGGGTCTCTCTTTACATTTTCCTACAATTTGTACATATACTGAACATAAAAAGTTTGTTTATTTGGAGTGATATTTTTTGGCAGGTTTCTTTTAATGTGTACAGTATAGAGAAATATTTCATGACCCTGAACAATTACCTCCTACCATAAGCTGCAAATCATTCAAATCCATGAATGTTTTCATTTTCATATACCAAACCTACAGAAGCAAACAAATGAATCTATGGTCATAGGACTGATGTCATGACTTACAGTGTCATAAACAGGTGACCCAGCTACAGAACATAACCATGACAACCCGTCATGAACAAAGGGCATATCTGTAACATGCAGGTCATTTGTGTCAAAGTTCAACACGTTTGAAACTGGTCAAGTATAGTCAAATTAAGTTTGAAAATACTCACATTCAGTGACCCAGTGACCTATGTTTTTCTGTCTAGACCAAGGTAGACCATGCTCAACGTGGGCCTCAGACTTTTGGCTTAAATAGCAGACTGATAGAGATTTACACAGTTTGTTTGTTTGTTGTTTAACGCCACACTCAGAAATATTCCAGCTACATGACGGCGGTCTGTAAATTATTGAGTCTGGACCAGATAATCCAGTGAATGACATGAGCATCGATCCACACAACTGGGATACGAAGACATGCATCAACCAAGTCAGCGAGCCTGACCACCCAATCCCGTTAACATGGTTAGCCGCTTCTTACGACAAGCATTGTCGCCTTTTATGGCAAGCATGGGTTGCAAAAAAACTATTCTACCCCGGATCTTTACGGGTCATTTACACACTGACAACTGTTGGTCTATAAATGGAAGTTACACTTACCATTTCAAAATCTTTCAGAGCCAACTTGAATTTACCCAATGCCATGTTTGCTGATGCTCTTCGATAATAAGCCTGCCAAGAAAGCATAATAATCAAGTGATCTGTATTGCCATCTTTTGACCTGCCACTTATTCTGTCATTTAACTAAGCAGAAACATTACATTTAGTAGAACTAAAAGTAAAGCCAGACCAACTTTTCCCTCTCATTACAGATTTGCTGAACAGAATTTTCTATCATCTTTCATTTCCTAACAAAATAAAATGAGAAATGATGATTATTAAAAACATAATCTGTCAACAGATCTAAAAAATAGTTTTTTCTTGTGTATACTGCACACTTTTTTCTCCCAAAAATACAATTGTGTAGAGAGGGGTGCAAATAATACACACATACAAGTTTCAACGTTTTTTCCTTACGCAAAGACATTACCGTGAGCATGTAACACCGGAAATGTCAACAAATCTGTCATCTTATATCAGGATTCATGTTTTTATTTAATCTATTATATTAATTTTATTCCAAATTTCATTCAATAATGTTGACATTAATTTTGGCAAACTGGTGTGTACACAGAACTGCACATCACACCAACTCACTGTTACTTACAGCAACCACAATCAGATTACTGCTATTGGTGCCTTGAAACAATCCTTAGTCATCACAGAATTGATATATATATGCAATAGATGCCATATGTTGACTTGTTAAAAGTCACATACCGGTATGCTGTTGCTTGACAATTATTTCAACATGTTTTGAAATTTGACATAGCATGACTGCAGGAAGCTTCAAACGGTGGCAAGTTCAAACATAAAACAAATCTAGCAACATACCAAAATGCTATGCTTATGGTTACTTTTATTTGAAACATATTTAGTAAAAGCTGCATTGAAAATAACTATCTTTTCAGTTATGACATTGGGTATTTTATAACTAAGTACATGATATAGCGGAGCATGTTCTGGCTTATTTCACGAGACAATTACACAAGGTAAACTCTGTATATAATACAAGAGTCATCAGGAGATGACATATTCCCCTGCTCTTGTGCAATTCGGAAATGGGAGTTTGGCTACATATACCCCACATTTGGTTCATCTGTTCATTGCCATTTCAAAATCCCAAATCATCAAAAGGCACCAGTTCACTGCTAGACTGATCTGTACAGCAAGTTTCATCCAGAAATATTTAACGGTTATTGAGTTCTGCTCCGGAAACGAGCACTTCCTTCATTTTCATTGAAATCCAACATGGACATATAAAAAAATAAAACAAATGATCATAAATCATCAAAAGGCACTAGTTCCCCACTAGACTGATCCATACAGCTAGTTTCAACATGAAAATTCAACGGTTTTGGAGATCTGCTCCAGAAACGAGAACTACCCTCATTTTCAGTATGAATCCCAACATGTCATCTTGGAAAAAAAATTAAAATAAATAAAAACATCCCATATCATCAATAGGCACCAGTTGGAAACAGACATCAACTTGTTTTCATCATGAAAAATCATGAAAAAAAGAACAAAAATCCAGAACAATCAATAAGTTTCAACAAGAAATATTTAACGCTTTTGGAGGTCTGCTCCGGAAACGGAAAACCGACGGATGGACATTCTGATGGCTAAATCCCCTGATTTTAAAACCAGGGGGATAACAAAGCCTAGCATACATAAAATACAAATGAAAATGAAAATCATCATGTCTTGTAATACGTATCACAAATTTCACATTTTCATTGAACACGTTTGCTATCTCCTGTTTGTTCAACTGAAGCAATACAATGTAGTTTTTGACTGCGCACTTTATATGGACATGGGATAAGCAAGCTACTTCTCTTGAAACTTTTACAGTGTTTTACCCAAGAATGGGGTTGCACCATTATACTCAGTTGTGTATAATACATGAAAAAATAACAATCTGGCACCATTAATCAGTAATACATGTATACATGGTATAATTATATTTTTTAATTGATCAGGGCTTTTTTTCATCCACCGCATTTCAGTCAATTTGGTGTAAACAATCCATGATACAAACAAAATAAATTGGCCTGGCCTCAACAATAAATAATAAAAATCATAATTTGGCGTCCTGTCTCTTACTATTTTGACCAGAGACCATATATGGTATATGGTCTCTGTTTTGACCAAGAAAATTAAGTAAAACAAGAAATCAAACCATCCTGGCTTGAAAACAATTGTCACCATCTTTTTTACAGAGAGTTTCGGTTACATGATAGGCCAAAAGTAATTCAACAAAGTAAATTTAGGGGTGAGATTTCAAAAAATCCATGCAAGTTTGTGCAATCCTTACCTTTATGTAGCCGCGGTCGATAGTAACAGCTTGGCCTGCATCTTTCAGAGCATAGCCAAAACATTCTGTTTTGAGATAGGCCAAACTTCTGTTGCTGTAGTAAGCTGCAACCGATGGGTCAACCTCTATTGCTTCTGAATAGTACGTTATTGCCTGGTTGTAATCTTCCTCTGTAGAAAAACACAAATGTAATGATATTTAATAACATGATAACAGTGATAGATTCTGAGAAAACAGCTGATTGCTGCTTCCAGGTAAGTTTTTCGAGACAATACACATGGTAACCTAGAGCACTGCATTTAAATAATGCCAAGCAGAAAAGGAAATACAGTTTAATCGGTAAATCATCACCATGATCACGTCTAGTGATGTTTTATCTCCAATTTCAAATTTGTTTTGACCAAGTTTAAATGTTATCACCCGATCGTTTACCTGAATTCACTGATCATGCTGATGGGATACCATGTAATTTCTTTCTGCGGAAGACAAACGTTTTTATAGAAAATGTAAGGATTTTGTATGCAATGGGGGGCACCTTATAGCAGTTATAGGCAGGGGTCGCTTTATAGACAGCAATATATGGTATATATCCTCACATACCCTATTTTTGAACAGTTTAGAAGGCATTGCTGATACATCGAGTGATGAATGAATCAAACTTCAAAAGTAATTTAAAGTTTGCAACCTATTTTAAAACATGGTTTAGAGTGATTTACAGAAATGTTCACACTATTTCACTCTTCCTTTTTATCATGACATGGGCACCAAAATTCTGAATGGCGATGGACCGCTCTGACAGGTGTATAGTTCTACCCATGAACCCAATGTTGACAGATGTGTGCACTGTCAAGTCTGCAGCTCTGATGACGTCACAACTCTTATGATAACCTGACAAATCATCCAAGATATGTTGCAGTTTCACCCGTTACCCCTGCCTTGAAATTCTTAAAAATCATAACCCTATAACATCCTTTGTGTAGAGCAGGATGCCTTAACCCAGGCAAAAGTTGAAGTAGGGGTTACAAGTGGAAATCTTTACACAACTTGAGTTGTTAGAAAAAAGTACTCGCCAATATGTGATTTGTTACCAATGAGGGCAAATATATCAGGGTTCTTGAGAATGGTATGTGCCCTATTTACAGGCACATTTCGTCATGACAACAGTCCTCAAACAGTGATTGGTTAACAAGTTTACTTCATTAACTTTATCATGTCGTTATGCATGTCAATACAGGAAAGCAAACATTATTTAAAGATTAAAACGCTTACGGGTTGCCTATGGTAATAAATAGAACATAATATTCGTGTTCATGTCATACAATGTGTTCAACACAAATGACTAAATTTAGCCAAAATAAAAGAAGTTTTCGTTACAGACGTTGATTTTGGTAATATGGTATCTGTAGTGAGAGGTTCATTTGGAGTAAAGAATTGACACAAACATGGACAGACTGAACACCCGAAATGCCCACAAAAAATCAATTGTCAGAAAGGTCTACTGCGTGATCGAAAATAGAACAAACAGCTTACAAGATGTCAAGACTGTGGCAGGGAACTACAGTCGTATTTGGTATACATGTTTCAGCTGAATTGATAGATCATCAAAACATTAAAGATAGATTTTCAGTTATTATTAGACGCATTAGTGCAATCATGTTCGAGCAATGATACACAATATATGACATTACACCAACAGTGAAATGCTGCGCACGTGCCTATCGTCAGTATCGAGCGGAATAGTAAAAAACCTGGTGGTGGACGTACTTTTGAAAAACGAATTAGCCTTTTCTTTCAGTTCCTCCGCCCTCTTCTTCCTTTCATCACTGTCACACTCTTGACTTCCAACATGTTCGTTGGAATTAGTAATGTCCCCCGATCCATCCAAAGTTTCCGGCTTTTGATTGTAATCCGCCATATTGTTACTAACTATGCCCCAAGGGAAGCAACTCTAGTTTGCGATTCGAGTGCTCTCTTGACACATTCAATAATTCTACTAAAACTTTTCAATTGCTGAATAAAGAGATATAAGTACATCTCGCATAAAATAGTATTATATGTCTATTTCGCTGGTCAGAGAAATGCTTTGCATACGATATCAATGTTGAAATCTTATTTTTACAAATTTATGTGATCCATTTCATCACTAAGGCCTATGACGTTACGCAACATTGTCATTACGTAACTAATTATTTGTTAATGCTTGTTCCTTGTACTTCCTGCAATCTGATTGGTGGAATGGATTAAAATCATTCATTTCTCAATGATTGTAAAAAATAAGCAAAGAGACTACGGCCACTGAGGCTGATCGACTTAATTCTTTCACCTCAATGCAATGTCTGGGAATCCACATAATAGTTTACGGTGGTGTTTCCAGGTAGAATTGTACTTGTAATAGATAACTAAACAGTATTGGATGAGGGCGACTCTGTTTGTCGGCGTGACCCGGGGTGATCCGGAGTTTGTCTGGTCCAGGCTCGATCGACTATTTATAGGCGGACGTCTTATACATCTTAACTGAGTGCGAAGTTTTAAGAAGAGAATTTATACACCATACTAAGGAGGACTGACTACCATCAAGTAGTGATTCCATAGTGTCAGCATACTGAGAAGATACCCACAACCGTCTACCGGATACCTGTAAGGCTGGATCATATATATTGGCTGGTATGTCTGCACAGAGAAACTTACGGTGACGCTGGGTCATAGTCCTGCCGACAATGGCGTCTGATGTTAAACCAAGATGACAACTGACCATTTGTGGACGTTCAGCTTATTATATCATTATATAAGATAGCTACGCGATAAATCGCAAAGGGCAACGAAGAAAGAATGTGGTTTATCGTAAAAATAAAACACTGCAGGGAGAAGAAACCATGATGGGCGCAGCCCCGTGTGGTTTATTCTCCCTGCAGTGTTTTATTGTACGATAAATAACCACCACGAGTCGTTTATTTCTTATAGAGACAGTTTTGATCTGGTTCTGTCAAGCAATTTTTAAGGTGACTGAAGATATGGGGTCTATATATTTCTCCTTGTTCTCACGAAGAAGCAGATGCTAGATTGTTCTTGCATGCTTTGGATTCGTCGCACCATTCGACACAAGCGGTTTTTGCTTCAAACTATGGACAGTGATGTAGTTGCCCTTGCCTTTGCCTTATTGCCTAAACTGGATGTGTCACCTTTGTGGATCGCGATCGGAACAGGGAAAACGTTCAGATATATTCCGGTACATACGATTGCTTCAGGAATGGGTGAAGATGTAGCCAAAGCTCTTGGAACCTTTCACGCATTGACCTGTTGTGACCAAGTGCCTTTCTTTGCAACCAAGGGCAAAAAAACAGCAGGGAACACATGGATAGCTGACACAGAAGTCGCTGATCTATTTCAAACACTACTGAAGATGATGTGAAGAAAATCTCCCCACTGTGCAGCGCTTTGTTTGTCTGATGTATAACAAAACCAGCCCCAGCAGCAATGTCAATGATTTCAGTAAAAGAACTGTTCACCAAAAAGGGCCGATCAGTTGAGACTATTCCACCAACAGCTTCAGCACTGTATGGACACACCAAGCAAGTTGCCTACCAGGTTGGATCACATGGGCCCGGGCCCTTGAAAGAAATCCAGCTCTCCTCTGTCCAAGTCAGTAGTGTTGGCTGAAAACTCCAACGGATTCATACAAACCCATGAATCTGGTACTACAAGAGGCGTCGAAGCCATGTGGAGAGCTACTTAAGTGCGGATGCAAGAAAGAATTCAGAGCGCGATGTACATGTGTTGGTGCAGGTCTTGTGAGTACACCTCTTTGCAAATAAGGCGACAGTTGCAACCGAACTTAGATGACAGAGATACGAGATGTTCAATGTACAACTCTGGATGAAATGTTTGATCATTGTGGTTGTATTATTTGTGAGTGAGTGTGGGTGAGGTAGGTTTAACGCCGCTTTTAACAGTATTCCAGTTATATCACGGCGTGTCAGCTTAATGTGGGAGGAAAGCCCGAAGTGATGCAGGTCTCAGACGTTTACCACTTCGATGAAACCCACGAGCACGGGTATGGTGCTGACAAACGTAGAAACAAATCGGGGCGAACCGGGATTTGAACCCAAAATTATAGGGTTCTGGCGTGCCCAAGGGACGCTACTCTGCACAGCAAATCGCGGCGCCTTGTACGACTGGGCCACCCTTGGCGCCGTATTCTTTGTTAGGAACATGGCCATCATGCACTGTTTATAACACGTTGAACTAGTAACATCGGATAATCTTCGTTATGAAAATACTGTGAAGGATGGCAGATGTGTTGAATGCGACAAGGGCTTTGCAAAATGTTACTTTGTGCTACTGATACTCTATTTATATGTATTCTGTTTATTAAGTGAAGTGTTCAAAATTCAAACATCGTAGATTCATCAATTTCTGGTTGGTCAGTCTGGTCTTATGAATATGGAAAGGGTTTTTGTCGCCTATATTCATATCATCTATGAAATACCAATTTTTTGTACCGTTTTGTGAATCTATATATTGTTCATCTTGCCGAGGCAAAGGAGTTTACTGACTATAAAAATCAATTTTCCTACTTTGCCGTACAAGGCTGGAATTATGAAGTTTTGGCTGGGCGAACGAGTTTATGCATTGTCCAATCAAAATCGCGGAACGAAATCCGGTTCGCAAACTGCCGTGCAGATTTCGGTCGATTGCAGGATTTGCAAAGCATGTGTACTGCAAACTCGGCGTCAACAGATATTTTTCAAATCTTTGAAAGTTTTTTTTGTTATTAAGGTGCTCACGTGATTTCATGCACTTCGCAGAGGAAGACCCGTTTTATCACAATATTGGTTTTGATTATCGATCAGATGGGCTTGACTGGGCGCCGCCATTTTGTTTGAAGCAAATGCTGATATGAGAGGTGGAATCTGGTTGGTCAGAAGCTGGGACATTGAAAGGACATTACTCGTAACAGCGCAGCGGCGCTACAATCGAGCTCAGCAATTCCAGCCTAGTTTGGCAAGGGTTGAAACTGGACTTTTATGGTCAATTAACTTCCTTGCCTCGGGAATTCGAAGATGTTGTTGAGATGTTTCTCATGTTTTAATTCATGTCGGCCATATTGGATTTGACGATTCATCTTTAAAAACCTATTTTAACCAAATATTCATAAATGTATCCCTACTATTGTATAACTATTGTGATAAGCTTGACAACAAGTACATTCATATGATCCGGGGTGGAATAGGTCTTCAGCAACCTATCCTTGTCGTAATAGGCGACTAACGGGATCGGGTGGTCAGGCTCGCTGACTTGGTTGAAGCATGTCATCGATCCCAATTGCGTGGATCGATGCTCATGATGTCAATCACTGGATTGTCTTGCCCAGACTCGATTATTTACAGACCGCCGTCATATAGCTGGAATATTTCTGAGTGCGGCGTAGAAAACAACCAACAACCAACCAACATTCATATGTCTATTTCACTGTTAGAGACTGACTGGCATTTAAAGAATTTATCGCGGATTTTGCATAATTATAGTTGAGGTATATGGTCACATGATGCAACAGGATAACATGTGATGTTTAATGTTGATACACAACTAAAAATTGTGAATTTTTGTGCATTTGGCGTCCATCTTGGATTTGGCTGCCATATTGGAAACACATCCACACCCCTACATCCAGCCACACCCCTACATCCAGCCACACCCTTACATCCAGCCACACCCTTACAACCAGCCACACCCTTACATCCAGCCACACCCTTACATACAGCCACACCCTTACAACCAGCCACACCCTTACATCCAGCCACACCCCTACATCCAGCCACACCCTTACAACCAGCCACACCCTTACATCCAGCCACACCCTTACATACAGCCACACCCTTACAACCAGCCACACCCTTACATCCAGCCACACCCCTACATCCACCCACACCCCTACATCCACCCACACCCTTACATCCACACACACCCTTACATCCACCCACACCCTTAAAATTACATCCACCCACACCCCTACATCCACCCACACCCTTACATCCACCCACACCCTTACATCCAGCCACACCCTTACATCCAGCCACATGTGCATGTCTGTTGCAACCCCTTTCTGAGTGAGGATTTCCAATCTGTCCTTGTCAGACTCACAAACAAGGGCGCGGTTCGTATATGTAAAATTTCTGCGGATAATCAACAGTTCCACTAACTTCCTCTTCGACTATATGTTTGGAAGTTAGTTCCGACGGACGCTTATAGCCTGTGTTAGAGAAATACGAACAGGGTGTAAAACTGTAACGTCAACACATAAAGGCTACATAGAGACACCCTATACCCGTCCATGGGGCGGTGGCCAAGTGGCGAAAAGGCGATTGCTGTCACCTCAGATGTGTAGCCCTTTTCAGTTGTGACTTTTGTCCATAGCACATATAGCGTAAATATACGAGGTCTGGTGCCCACGTTCCCACGTTATTGTCTGGATGTTGTACTTAGCGTCATGTTGAGACAATTCCCCTGCGTCATTAGTACAAAGTGGTGCTGGGGACCTCAATCAAACATGCTAGGACTACCGAGTAACATATGTTATATTTGGGATATATTATAATCGCCAGCACACAAAGTCAGCGATCTAACTCACTCAGCCACCGAGGCTTCCACTAAAAATGAAAGTCCGACAACTGGTAGTCTAGATCACGCACTTTGAGTACCCCTCTGACAAGTTTAAATTGGCAGGGCTCCCATGGGAGTTGTCGGACTTTCATTTTTAGTGGAAGCCTCGGTGGCTGAGTGGGTTAGATCGCTGACTTTGTGTGCTGGCGATTAGGTGCCTCACTCTGGCGGGACTCAACCCAAAAAAGTACGAGAATCTGTACTTTACTAAGAAAGTGTTATCCAAAATATAACATATGTTACATTTGACCACTTTCTAAA